GATGTGGCTCATAAACCCACGGTCCCTCTGCAACAGTTTCTTCACCTAAATCATCAAAAGTGACTCTGAGGTTTCTGATGGCTGGATTCATCCTCATCTGATGAATCAACATGCTGTTAAAGCAGGCCTCCATCTAACATCTAAACCTTAAAGACGATCCAGAATGAGGCCTCTTATTTTCTGATCCCTGTTTTTTGGATGGTTTTAACTTCAGTGATCATCTTTGATTTCAGGGCTTCACTGAGCTGCTAAGTTTCCCAGTACAGTGGGTGTAAAATGTTTGTAATACAGATGAAGGGAGAGGAAACATTGACGAGTAAATGTAGTTTGGATCTGTAAGACATTCATGACATAAAATGTGTGAAACAAAAGAACTTTTTAAAACAAAGTTTGAAATGATCTGTAATTTTAATGAAATATAAAACTGAAATACTGAATATGGGAAGAAGCAGGTCCACACACGGGTATCTACATCAGTGAGGTTTTCACCTTTACCTGCTTTAGAGGATTTTAACTCTGATTTAAAATAAACTGCCTTCCCCACAAATGATATAAAAGTTTTATTTATTTAAAAGTATTAAACTCAGACAGACTCATTGAGATTAAAAATGTCAGTATCAGGTTTGTGTCCAAGAAGGTTCAGACATTTGTGCTATGTCTCAAAATGATAAACAGTATTATGATTGGAATAAGAATAGAAATATAAACAAGTAGAAGCTTTTTTACAGCATCTCTGTGACTGTCAAGGAACCTTACAAAAAAAGAGATAAAATTATCAAAAGAATATATAATTAAACAAACTGAACCTGAAAAACACATAGGCCTACAACCTTTTCACAGGAGAACTGCATCTGTGTATGAAGGCATGAGTGAAAAATCCAGGAGTCAAATAAAGTCAGCTCAGAGGTTGAAGTAACAGAGTCCAGAGAGGTCTGACTAACAGAGATACAAAGAACATGACACAAGTACACACACAGGTCAGCATGAACCTGAACACATTACAGTCATCTGTCAGAGCGCTACCTGTCCATCTCTCTATCTCTCTATCCATCCATCCATCCATCCATCCATCCATCCATCCATGAGTGAACTTCTAACCACAGTAACAAACCTTTATTTTTAAATTCAAACACTCAGATAACCACAGTTAACAGTTCAAATCTGTTCTGATGTAGTAATGATGTAGCAATAATGCAGTAAGTGATGATTAATTAGTAATGTTGTAATGATGTAGTAATAATGTAATAATCATTCAGTTATAATATGGTGATAATGTAGTAATAATGCAGTAATAATGTAGTAATACCAGTAAAATTATCCCTTCAAGTGTTCCAGATGGATTTACAGTTTTATTCCCTAAATAACCTGTAGAAACATACGTTTTCATGTGTTCAGATTTCACCTGTTTTCTGTCTGTAAATCTATGAGCTGATTTCAGGCTGGGTAAATGTTTATTTTCATCTCTTAAAATTAAGATATTTTAAACCGTTTATTAGAAACTTTATTTAGTCACAGTGAATTTCTGTCAAAATTTAAAGCAGGTCATAAGTAAACACAGGGTCCTGGTGAGGCAGTTTAGAGAATACAGGCAGAAAATCAGAAAATTATAATGTAAGAATACATACATTTATGAATTATTTGTCTGGTTTTCTGCTCATTGAACCATCTTTTTTTCCACATAAATACCACAGTTCAGATTTACTGACTATCAGGTTGAAAACGCTGAAGTTAACACTAAAACAATCAGGAGCAGCAGAGCTGAACTTCATAACTGAACTAAGAGATATTTGGCCTTATTATATTCCTGCTTAAACGTCTTGTTTTCATCTGTATTCTGTAAAAAGTTTTTATTCAGAATCATAAAGGTACATTAATGTATGAAACAAAGTGTGAATAAAAACAGGATGATTTTACACAGTGAAACAGTCTGTATGATTTACTAAATTTGACATAAACACTTTGACAGATTCTAGATAGAATACCTGTCCTTTGTGACTCTGTTTACATGCATTAAAAGTAAAAGAAAAGGCCTTTTCTTTGACACATTTCAGCTCAGTGCTTTCAAACATTACAAACCTGAGCAGAGCTACAGCAGAAAATACAGTTTTCAGCTCTATTTAAAGAATTTAATATTCAATATTATTCATATATATAAATATATTTTTTAATTGTATTGAGATTTTAAAACAACAAATTTGTTTGATTTTAGCTTTTTTTTAATGTGCATATTTCTGTTTCCCTTCTTTTCTCTAGGACTTCACTTGTTCATCAAAACTTAACTACTAACTCATCAATTCATAAAGATGATAATAAAAATGATTCATTTAAATATATTTTTAAAGATCCTTTGAGCAGATGTTAAATGAAATGCTGAGATTTATTTCAGTTTGTTAAATGGATCATTCTGTTGAAATATCTGAATGATTAAATTATTAAAACATTTTAACAAACAAACCAAAAACAGCCTGAACTCTTTCAGATTAAAAATTAGCATTTATTCAGCAGTTTTAATTTGAGATCAATTAGATTAAATAAATGACTCTAATTGTTCGTATTTGGTGTTAAACACTCTTGATTTAGTAGGATAAACTCTCGTTATTTATTTAAGATTTTTATAATAATAAAGTGAACAAACTCTGGATCTGTTTTTAGAAAATGATTTCATAGATTATCAGTTTTTTACATTTTCCCTGTTTGTGTTAATGATTTTCAATTATAAACTCTGCCTGTGACAGACGTTAAACTGTAACTGGTTAATGATCAGTAATCGATCACTCTGATTGGAGTTGTTTACGGACTGACAGAAAATCCCCCTCAGCTTTCCTCTGGAACTTCTGTCGGCAGTTCTGGGTCGAGTTCTTGGAGAAGTTCGGGTTTTCAGGTGTGGTATCAGACTGGATACCTGCAGGTCGGTAACGGTGACCCGTCTGTCTGATTCAGCTGCAGGTCAGCGGCTGGGTGAGGGTTGAAAGTTATTTCCCTCCGAGCTGCTAACTGGGTTTTCCGCCCGCTGCCATCTATGCAACACGCCAACAGACTCTGAGGCGTTCAGGTACGCTCGGAAAAAACACTACCACGAGTAAAAAACGAATCTGATCGGGTAAAACTGAATTTCCCTAGAAGTTGTCAGTCTGATTCATCTTTACAGACCAGGAAGCAGAGACATGTTTGATGAATTATCTCACTCTGAGGGATCTTAAACATCTGATCCAAACATTCATGTCCCAGCTCCATGTAAGAATACATTTTCAGGAATACATTTCTGTTGTCTCTGCGATGTTTATCACACTTTTTTCTGAGTTTAAGAGCCAAATGTGACAGATGTCTCTCTTTTCTTTCCCTCTTGTTAATGTAAAATATGAGCAGCACCTAAACGTCGCATTAGTGAAGACTCTGGTTCCCCCACCCCCACTCTCCCTCTCTGCACAAACACACTCACCCCGCGGGCTCAGCGTGCTGTTTGGGAACCTGTGTGTGTGTGTGTGTGTGTGTGTGTGTGTGTGTGTGTGTGTGTGTGTGTGTGTGTGTGTGTCAGTGTGAGGAAACGAGTTGATGTGCCCTGGAAGTAATTCTTTCACCCCCCCTCCACCCCCTCCTCAAAAACACACACACACATAAGGTGGGAGCAACGGGACCACCACCAGCACGTGGGCTCGAGAGAGAGAGAGAGAGAGAGAGAGAGAACACATTCCTGATGAAGAAGTGATGGCCCTCCTCCTCCTCTTCCTCCCCCTCCTGTAGCTGTTAGTGATAAAAACATCCCCAAAATATCAATATTCGTTTAAAATCACATTCATACTCCACTTTCATTCACTTTTTAAAAACTTTTGTCTGTTGCATTAATGACAGTTTGTATTATTTTCACCTTTTTTAAACCTTCTTACAGGTTTATAAGTGAAGCATTCTTCATGAAATACGCCTCATCAATTATTTTATTTTGACTTTTAAATAAATGAGCTAACAAATTTATAAACAATAAATCAACTGGCTGCGAAAACATTTTAATGAATATGCAAAACACATCACATAACAGGCCTACAAACATATAACATGCACTGTAAAAATAATGAAACTGAAAATCAATTTTTCACAACATACAAAAATATAGTTTTCAAACAGAAATGATAAACTAGTTTCAGTCTTTACAGTTAGAATGTTGTGATACAGTTAGTATGTTGTGATGGCTTACTGCTTTGTTTGTTTTTATCCTTTTTTTTGTTCTGGTACAATACAATGAAGATGTTTGAAAAGAATGAAGAAAATAAAAAGAATTAACATTTCATTAAAAGCCAAAACATTTGATGAAACACAAAAAATAAAAACACAAATATGTTTCATCAAATGTATAGATATGTTTCTCTTTTGTAAAGTTGTTAGTTTTATGAATATCTTCCTGTTTTGTTAAGTTTCACCTGTTTGATGTTTGGTGAAAAACTTTTGTGTGATGAATGTTGGAGCAGTTGACCTTCAGGGCCACCGTAGCTAGTCTGTGTGAGGATAAAGAAAACAATAATAATTAAGACTGTAAGAACTGAATTAATAGCTACATGATATCACGAATTTTCATGATTTAAGTGAAAACATACTAATTTCATATTTATTACTCATTTCAATAGCCCACTTTTTTCATATCTCACTGGAATATTTAGTCTGTATTTATTGTATTTATTTAGTATATTCAGTCTGCATTGTACATACTTGTTCTTATATTTAATTTCATTTTGTGTTTTTATTGCTGCAGGAAAATGAGAATTGCCCAATAAAGTCTATCTATCTATCTATCTATCTATCTATCTATCTATCTATCTATCTATCTATCTATCTATCTATCTATCTATCAGGACAAAAGATAGCAAAAATCAAACAAACACATCAGTAGCTTATCAAAAATTGCGGTTTTATTGGATAATTTAACATTTAAAGTCTGTGTCAAATCTCGGCTTTGGTTATGAAATTTACAGGCTTTCATTAAGGTGTTAAACACTGAACTATGAAAGTTAATGAATATCAAACATGTAAATATGATCCTAATTAGATCACTCTGCCTCAGTAACAGGAGTTATAGTTCTGATTTACATATTCTAATTATATATGAAATTATTAGGAGTCCTCCGAACACTGGAAACCAGTCTGAGTGTGTCAGTGAACTTGTGTGTGTGAGTGTGTGTGTGTGTGTCCCCGTTAAAAAAAAAAAAAAAGTTTGTGAAAGTGGAGTGACGTCACACTCCCACAATGCTTACCGCCCCATAACTCTGCAGCAGCAGCAGCAGCAGCCTGAGGGGAGCCAGCCGCTCTCAGGCCCAAATACTACAAGCTCTGAAAATCTGGAAAAGGCCAAAATAAAAAAAACTCCGACCGAGCTGAGGAAGCGGCGCGAGGCGGCGGCCGGGGTCTGCCGCGGAGGGATCGAGGTCCGGGTCCGGGATGGAAGCGGACCGGGGCTCCATGTGAAGCGGACTAATGCGGCGCTGGAAACTTTTTGGTGGGTAAACTGCTCGTTTTTTTTTTTCGCTGTGAGCTCATAATGTGGCTGCACGTCCTCCCCTCTATGTGTGTGTGTGTGTGTATGTGTGTGTTTGTAAAAGTGTGTGAGAGAGAGTGTGAGTCCGCGCGGTGACACTTGTTATCAACATGTCCTCACTGCCCCGCAAACTTTGCGTAATTGTGCTTGTTTGTGCGGCAGCAGCGTGGACGGATCCGGGTCTTTAATCTTTAATCACGCATCGCCTCCTCCGCTCGTCGCTCTGCCCGCTCAAAGTGCAGCTAAAGCGGCTCCGCGGAGTCGGTCAGCCCGCTGCACTCTGTCCGCAGGGCCCGCGACGCTCAACTTTAGGCTGGCTGCAACTTTTTCAGCCATCCGGTGAGTTTGTGGTGAGTTTAGTGAAACGTGTGAGCAGAGGAGGGGGACCGACCAGGTCTGCTGCACGAGGACGGAGAGAGAGTGTGTGTGCGCGTGCATCATTCAGAGTGTGTTTGGGATGTTGTTTAGAGAGTTTGCTCCGGTTATCTGCAGCCTCATGTCATGCTGCTCTCTCTCTCTCTCTCTCTCTCTCTCTCTCTCTCTCTCCCCCTCTCTCTCTCTCTATGTCGGTGTGTGCTTTTCCTTGGAAGCGGGTAAATAACAAGCAGGACCCCAGCAGAGGAGGGGTCGGGGTCAGAGAGTGGGGGTGCAGTCTGTGCACTTGTTATTGATAGCTGACTCTGCTGCAGGATTCACGTTTTTTCTTACACTCAGAAAAACTACAAACTACAGAGGAACTGTTAAAGATCAGAGAGATGCTTTGTAGCTGCTGTCTGTAGGATTTATAAAGTTTGTCTCCACTGGGAGTTTGTGTTGTGTGATCATGGAATTGCATGTCACTTTCTGAGATGTTTTAACCTGTTGCTCTGGAGCTGCACACCATAAAGAGCTGCTGCTGTTTAAGAATAAGAATAACTTGATTGATCCCAGAAGGAAAATTTAGTTGTCTGTCGCCTCATTTCTCATGTCTCTAAAGCCATCTACTATTTATAAAAGAATTGTAAAATGTATATTTGTCAAGTTTTTAGTTTATTTCCCTTTAATCTGAAAACCTTATTTATTCATTTTTCACAATCTAATCCTGCAAGCAAACAAAACACAAACCATGAAATACTATGTTTTCTATTTGTTTTGTAACACACACACACACACACTTTCTAATTAGTAACCGCTTTCAAACCCTTCACCCAATCCCAGGTCACATAAAGTAAAAAGAAAAAGCAAAGTTAAATCACAAGTTAGGCTGAATGTTTCATATTTAATTGACTTGATTTCATGAAGCCTTATATAACCTCTAGTTTTCTCAGAATGAGCGCATGAATCCACTTTATTGATCCACTCACTAACAGCAGGATCTTCATGATGCTGTGTGTCTCAGCATCACCCTGTATCAGCTGATTTGGGGTTTTCAACTGATGATGATGTTGATATGTTGATATTTGCAGAGCAGATCAGCTGATGTCAGATAGATAATCTGCATTTGATAAAATGTGATAATGATAATAGCTATTGTTCCATGATTATTATAATCTCATACACATATGAGCCAGAAACACATGCTGGATGGATTTTTAAGTAATTCATAAACTCAAAGAAACTGACGCTGAACTTTTTAAAAAATGATCCTGAAGATTAATGTCAGAGGAAACATCAAACTTTATTATTTTGTAAATCCTAACAGAATATAAGTCAAACTTTTCTCAGTGACTGTTAGATTATTAGGTGCGAGATCATTGAAGGGGATAAAAAAGCTCCTGATCATGTAAAAATTACATTAACCTGCCAGTTAATTCGTCTGTTTTTACCATTTAAAATATCAAAAGTGAAGTGTCTAACTCTTTCAGCTCTCTACTTGTTTGTGACTAATTCACTTTCACCCTGGTCAAATCAAAACCTGCAGATGTATTTGGTGCTTTAGCTTCCGAAATGACTGAAACAATAACTTTATTTTTAGTTCATGAACTTTTTATTTTGAGTCATTTCATTCTGAGCCGACTGTTCCAGCAGATTAAAGAGACAGTCAGTGATTTTGTAGGAGATAAAAGTTGCAGCAGTTTTTCCCCATGTTACTAATGAAGTGAGATCTTTATAACCAGCTTGAGAAAGTTTCTGTTTGTGTTTTTATATTTAAGAGAAAAAGTTTAAAGATAGTTTCTGATGAATTTTCTACTGACTAAAAAGTTTTTGAACTGCTAGTTTGAGATTTAGGGCGACATTACTGGTATATAAAGACAGAAGAATTGACAGCTTTTACCCTGATGATGTTTGATTCACTGTTTTTTCACCTTTTATTTAACACGTTTAGTCCTATTGAGATCTATTAAAGGAGCCCTGGCTGAAACAGTCAGCACACAGCACAGTTCAGAGCATGAAAACAGAGACTGTGCAGGAAAGAGGCAAACAGTTACCTGCTGGTTCACTTTAACTGCTGCAGTTTTACATTTCAGACATGCAGCATGGAGACGGCTGCTGGTTTCCAAAAAGCTGCAGATTAATTACAGGTGTAAAAACTCACTGGCTATCGTCTCTGTTTGCTGGTGTGTTTGAAGATGCAGCACTTACCCGAAATGGCAGATGTGCTCTGCAAACAGGATAAAAACATTCAGCTGTTCTTCATGTTGTGTAGAAATAATGAGTCTGGCTTAGGGAGAGTAAATGCAGTGATGAGTCTCTAGTGTTGAGAGTGAATTAGTCTGACTTTCCGACTGTTTCTGAAACTTCTGGTTAAATTTCAGAATCACTAAGTGTTACAGGCTCTGCACTGATCGTTTTCAATTTTATTATAGAGATACTTCGTAAGGAGGCAGCAGTTATGGTTTCAGGTCTGAGGTACTGACGGCGCTCCTCTCTGTCTGATGTTGGAGTTAAATGTCAGAGCTGCAGATGAAGAGTGTGTGACAGGGTGCAGGTAGGTTTTCCCCTCTGCAGCGGTAGCAGTTCGGTTTCAGGCTGCTCCATCAGAGCCTGAAGCTACGTAATCAGTAAAAGGAAGTGAGTTTGTCACAGGACAAAGTCTTTGTTTCTGCTGCGGCTCAGCAAGTCCAGACCCATGTGTCTGTGTTTGCTGCTCACTCACTGAGACCAACCTGAGAGCTGAGAAACACTCCATCACAATCTCAGAGAGAGGATCTGCAGCACCTGCTCACAGAGACGTGGAGAGGCGGATGAACCCGCTGGTGTTTTTATCAGACTGCAGAGATCAGAGTTGAGGTTCAACAGAGCAGAGAGCATGACAGAAACTTGACAGAAGTGTGACTACCGAAAGTTCAGGGTTCAGTCAGTCAACTTTTGTTTCAGGTGATGTTGAGAGTTGAAGCCCCACACCGCCTCCTGCAGGTATTTCCTCTCCGCCGCTCTCTGCTCCAGCTTCTTCTCATTAATGTCCATGTGGCGCCTTGCATCAGTTGCGTGCCCGTGTGGTCGCAGGCAGCACGTTTCATGTTTGCTATTGTGATTGGCCGAATGTGTGAGAGCGTGCACGCAAGGCCTGTTTGTCAGAGAGTGTGTGTGCGTGTGCACGTGAGCTCCCGGTGTGCGCTTGTGTGTTTGTGAGAGGGAGAGAGGAGCTGTTTTTGAGCCGCAGGGAGGTCCTCTCCCCTGAGAATCTCCCACAATGCCTTGCACCTCTGCAGGCAGCGGTGGTGGTGGCAGCAGAGGCGGCGGCGGCGACAGCAGGCTGATTTCCATGAGAAAAGAGCATCAGTTGGGTTAATGGGGGGGAGCGGCCTCTGAGCGGACAAATGGTAGTTAATAACCAGAGAAGAATCGGAAAAGCTCTGATCCCTCTCTTTGTACTTCTTCACCTTCGAGAAACAGCCTTCAGAGGGGATGGAGGGGGAGAAGGGGGAGAGGGAGATGGGTGAGGGGACACCGGGTTCATGCTGGAAAAGATGTTTGTGACTAAAGAGCCGCGAGAAGATTTTTCTGTTTGTTATTTTATCAGGACAGAAAAAAACACTAAAACTGAGAGCCTGAGAACAGGAGCACATTTACACACAGTATTTACCCTGAGAGTGTGTGTGTGTGTGTGTGCACTCGCATGTTTGTGTGTGTTTGAAAGATGAGCAGAGACAGATGTATTTATTTGTGATATTTGAGGTTTCACGCAGGAGCTGCAGAGAAAAGAGAGACGGATGAAAAATCAGAGCAGAAGGGAGATGGAGCTGTACAGGTGTAAAATCAGTGGTTTTAATTGTTCGGTGTTTGCAGCAAAATTAAAATCCTGCACGTGGACACAATAAACGATCGGTGAAGAAATCAGGATTAAACTCCTTAAAATGTGGTGAAATTAAATTTACATGCAGAAAACTTCAAATAAAGTGTAAAAAAAAGATTTTTCCCCCTCATATAAAATTGTTTAAATCCTGTTTGTATTCTGACATTTATAGATAAACATCTGAGTTGTATCTGCTATAGTTTATTGTGTTAACTCCTAAATCTGAATTTTTCCGTCTGTGCTGCTGAATGTTTGTCAGACTGTTTTAGCTCAGACTGTAAAATCCACCTTATGTAACCGCTGAAAAACAAAATATCACATTCTTCTTGTAAGAAATGAAAAGTTTTATTCATAAGCCATAAAAATCTCTGTTGCTCAACTTACTTCAGTCCTGGACTTTATGCTACCATGGGCCTTACGGCCTGCCCAGCATGAGCAGCAGCTCATGGTGGCTAATGTTAGCATAGCTTTATGAAGTAACAACAATGACAGTGACGTGGACAACAACAACAGTGACAACAATGATAACAACAATTAATAACAAAATGACATTAATAACAATAATATTAACAATTTCAATAACACAGTAATAATAATAACACTATAACAATGGTAATCATAAAAAAATAATAACATTGATAATAAAAACAACAGCAAAAACAACAATAATAAAAATAACAATAATTAGAATCTGAACACTTAATTTATAGAAAACAAAAAATCCTAACAATAACAATAATGTAAGAACAATTATGTTTATGATGATGAAATGGGGTTTTAAAGTGTGCTACACGTGAAAAAAGCTAATAAAAGAGAAAAATGAGGAATTCAACAACTTAAACTTTATAATACCCTGACAAAAAAAGAATATAGATAAAAAGAATGAACCAATGAATAAATAGAAATAGATTAAGAAGTGTAAAATAATTAAAAGGTCATTAAAATCAGAGAAAATTAATTTACAAAGACTAACTTGAGTAGACTTAAACAGTGAGGAGTTAAAACATGAGAGCCTATAGTACAGAAATGGGAATAAAATAAAACATTGAACAAAAAATATAAAGATAAATAAAGCAAATAAAAAATGATAAAAAAACACAAAAATAATAAAACAAAATCAAACAAATTTAGAAGAAAAAAAAACAACCAAACGTAAATGCTCAAACAGATATGATAGACAAATTTCTTGATGTTTTGACTGCTTGAAACTGGAATCAAGTGTTTTATAAGGATTTAAAGTCACATTCAGGTGACATCTGCTGTGTATGTATGTATGTATATATATTTTAAAGAGTTTCAAAGATGATTATGGATATAAATCTTATACTGCTGGTAAAGGGGGTGTAAAGTAGACTCTAACTGATCCCCCTACCTAACTCAAAGGTAATTACTGTTTTAAGGCTAAACCTTCATTTATGGACAGAGTTTTTATTTAAACTGTTATATGTACAGGTAAAATATAGCCCCTCTGATTGGATGGTTGTTAGTGTTACCATGACTACAGACTCAGATCCTCATGCAGCAGATTCAACATCAGAGAAAACATTTGAATAATCAGTAAAGTGAAACTCTTGGCAAATTTAATCATCATTTAACTGAACATTTCCTCTGAAGGGAGGTCGGTAGGGACATTTTCAGCTAATTTATCCTCATTCAAATTCAATTAAACATTTAAACTCACAATAACTTCAGACAACATGAGCATGTTTTCTGCAGGAATGTAAGTGTTGACTGTTGACCCCCCTCAGTTTACCGTCTGAGATTTGACGTTGAAACACTTTTAGAAATAAACTTCAGACTCTGCTGCTGTTGCCACTTTTGCTCTTGTTTTTTCCTCAGTACTTTAGAGATGCTCTCTTCAGCTCTTCAGCTCTGCAGTTAATAAATGTTATCAAGAGGTTTAGACCAATCAGAATCAAGTATTTGTAGCAGGTGGGTAACATCACTGCGCAACAGGTGGAGCGTCAGGCTCTGTTACTGATTCTTGAGTTGTAATTCCTTCACTGCTGACCTTGTCTCCACATTGCGACACTCCTCCTCCTCCTCCTTTCCATCTTCATCTCTGATGTGAGCAGAGTTTCTGCGCAGCAGGGTCTCTATAGAAACTGTGGGTAGAGGGGAGCTGTCTGAACTCATCTCCAGCAAAAATATATGTTCACATTTGCAGAGGTGATGTAATTACCTCAGCATGAATGTAAACGTGAGATCAGCTGAGATGAGATGTTGCTTCAGCTGAAGTGTTTAAATGAACAGCAGAAAGTAGGGCATTTAGAACATGCTTCTTCTTTGTATGTCTTCTCAGGCATTGTGTTGAACTTTGCTGAATCATTATCTTAAGCCAAACTTCCATTCACCTGCTGCAGTCGGCCATGATCCTCCTCCCACAGTGACACAGACATATACTGTATCCACTGTATCCACAACATCGTCTGTGGACTGTAAACTTCTCACTCAGGCTCATCCTGGAAGAGTCATGTTGTTGTTCAGATCTGTAAAGTAGGGCTGAAAATCACAAACCTAATCGATCCATGAATCTCTGACATGTTGGAGTCATCCACAAACTAAGGATGGTGTTTAAACATGAACACATTATTAGTAAACATGCACCGATAAATCAGCCGGCCGATCGATCAGCACAGATTTCCTCAATTTTGGGGGATCAGTGATCGGCTGATCCTTCCATATGAAACCAATTTTGTCCACCAATCTTATCTACCTCAGCAAAGGTCTGAAAGTCAGCTGGTTGTAGCTTTTTGCTTTGCCAGAATGACAGACCCGCCCACCAGGTCAAGTGTGTTCGCACAGTTATCCAGAGCATGATCAACCAAGCAAGTTGAACCCACTACAAGGCAACCTAAAACTCAGGACAGTCAATTGGTGGTTTAAGTTGTGTTGTTAGTTTGTCCTGTAGATGATTATTTTACTAACTTCCTCAAATCTTGTGATTTCCTTTATTTGCAAAAGCAAAATACTGCTGTGCACTTTATTTTGGTATGAGGCTCAAAACAAGCCTGCAATGTGACCTGTTGCACAGGTATTGTTAATTTTTTAAATGTGGGAAATAAAAACACTAAAGGAACTGATATAATTTAGTCGTTTGAACAGCAATATTCTAAACTTTTCATTTATATTTAGGAGAACTACCTTGTGCAGTTAAAAAAAACACAAAAATTGTATTGTTTCAAGTATTGTTCAATGTTTTTCATAAAATAAGATTGGAGCATCGAAGGTGCATGTTGTCAGCTAGAAAAAAGAATTGCTCAAAATCAAGCTTTTTAAAAATCTGTGATTGGCCAGAAAATTGTGATCGGTGCACCCCTAATTATTAGATCTCTTACTGTACGAGGTCAGATATCGGCAGGATCTCACTGAGGCTAATGTTCAATTACAGATTCATAATAATTATTGTTCTTTTACTGACACTGAATCACTTTGTTCATTTTAAATATAAAGCTGCTGCACTGTGCTCACTGCTGCTATCATCCTCCCAGCTCTACCAGGAGCTAAAGTTAGAAAATTATCAGTCAAACACATCTGTCAGCCTTGCTGCCTGTCCTCAGATTAGCAGCTTTGATGTGTCCTGCCGTTTTATGTGGTCTGATATCAACAGGAGCTCAAAGTGGATAACTTTGGTCATTTCTCTGCAGATATTACAGTTTAAATGACTCAGAAAATAAAACAGATGAGGTGAAAAATAGAGGCTGCTGAGGTGTATGCTCATGTTTATAGTGTGAGGTGACCAATATTGTCTCTCTTCCTGTAAGGATTTAACGCGTTTGTTAAAAATACTGAAGACATGATGTAGTTTCAGCTCAGTCTGCAGACAGTTCAAAATTCAAGGAGAGTTTAAACTTCAAAATAAGTTTTAGATTGCAGCAGCTAATCAAACTTTCAGAGCTAAACATGTCATTATTCAAAGCTGCCACAGAGCTGCCATATCAGTATCAGTTTGTTATCGGGTAATGATATGATTGGTTTGAAAGTGCTTTGAGACTTGAATTGAAAAAGTAATGCAGATGGTTAAGTAACATGTGGAGAAATACTCAGTGTAAAGCGCACTTAAACTGAGCTAGGTACTTGGGACAGAGCCTTTGAAGGTTAGCCAAATTATGTGGCAGGCTGTGGCCTAGCTAGTGTGCTGCTTCTCCATACAGTTTCTCATTGAGGGGTACGAGCTGACCGAAATGTGACTAATACTTTTAAGAGATATGTAACTCATACAGCCTGAGTTCAGCTTAGCGCTGGGCGATATGGCCTCAAATCAATATCACAATATATTGATTGAATGATTAATGGACAATAACTACTCCACAAGCTGCTTACCCCCTACCACATTAACTTTGTCTACTTCAGCCTCCGCTCCAGCCGCTACAACTTTTGAACCGTCCTCCATCTGCTCACCTGTCTTTCCCTCTTTGTTACAGACTGGATGTTCAAGGGACATGAGACCATAGTCTACATACACACATCTGAAACCAACTTTTATTTATTTATGTTTTTGACACTAAATATATTGACATGAGCAAAATAACGTTGGCTGTTGTAAATTTCAGTATTGGTAAATTTTTGGTTTATCGCCCAGCCCTACTTCAGAAATAGTGAAATATCCCTCTAACACAGCTTACCTGCTGCCAGTTTGAGTTATAAGATGTTTTATCCAGTCAAAGTTCACCTGAAGCTCAAATCAAAAGCTCTGCAAGTGACGTGGATCACCAAACAACTGACCTGGACACAACTTCAAATTAAAAGCGCTGCGTAAAAACAAAAACCTTTTCTCCACGAAAAACAAAACAAACAAACAAACAAAAAAAACAGAGGAAGCTTTGGCTTTAAAAGGAATTCGGGTAGTGTTCGATGTTTTTCCATGCTTGTGACACAAACACGGTTAATTCCACCATCACTGTCATTTTTCAGTTTTGGTCGAGATCTTTGCACAGTTAGCAGAAAAAAGTCAGCAGGCTTTCCTCTCTGTAGAATTTCACCACACAAGATAGACGCCATCTGCTCGCGCTGTTTTGAAGCTGTCATGCAGACAACACACTTCCTGCATGAACTGCCAGGGTAGAGTTGGCTTTGAAAAAATGGGCAAGATCAGAGTTTATTGTACCAAATTGTTCCAAACTGGTCTGAACCACTTGGTGGAAACACACCAGTAGAAACCAGGAACAACAGGATGATAAGTTCACGTGTTCTTTTTATAACTTTTAGATCTTGAACTCTCAGGACATGTTGAAGTTATCTGTTCATCTCTTCAGTATGAGCAATGGGTTTGTGAGGTTTTTTAAGTGGCACCAGTTCGGATTATAAGTATAAACTGATTTCTGAGGTAAAATATGAACATTTTCATGTCCGTCTCTCACATTAACAAGCTATTTAAAAAAAAAATATGTTCAATAGGTGCTCAAACCTGTACAAACAGCCCTCTTCATAGTGTTTATAGTTACACAGCCGTGAACCTCATATCTTTGGCAGCCTTGACAGAGAGCAGAGTGATGCTTTTCTGAGTAATCGGCTGATTGGAAACAGACATACAAACATGCAGAGCTGCATACACACACTTAAATATTTACAGGCTAATTAAAGTCAAAAAGACCGTTCACATTTTCATTTTTATTATGCACAAAGTTGCACACGTGCGTTCATTTATTCTGTGAGTGTGTGTGCTTGTGTCTGTGCCTGTGTGCGCACATTCTGTCGGCTCTTGCAGCATGCCGTGCTGAAATAGTAAGAGGATGCTACATGCTTGAACCACATACTGCCACTTTTCCTGCTGGATCTTTTTCTAGGAAGAGCGGGGCAGCTGTGGCTTTTCAGAACCTCCATCCATCCATCAAGCAGCACCCATGGTTTACACCACACACGCACACACACACACACCCTCCTCTCCACATTTCTGTGTCTTAATTTCTCTCCGTCCTCTCTTTTCTTTTTCTTTCTCTCTCTCTCTGTATGTCCCTCTCTGTGTTGCCCTTCATCCTCCTCCTCCTCCTCTCAGACGGAGTTTACAGCCCCCGGGCCACTTCCGCCAGCCTGTCTGCTGCAGGTTTATTAATAGTCTTTTCTCTGGGTGCAGTAAACATAGTGCTGGTTCAGGGGGTCGTCTCTCACACACTGATAGACTTGTACTGGAGCTGAGACTGGAACGGAGAGGCTGTTGGTTTAGAGATGACCCACAGAAGGAGTGTGGGAAGTAAACACTCACCCTGAAATAACAAGAACAGATTTACAGATTTGGAGATATTTAACAGCTTCTTCAGGCCGAGTTTGGTGAGGAGAGAAATGGGCAGAGAGGCAGGATGTAATGTCACAAAGATCATCATGTGAATTTGTGATTTGTGTTGAAAATCTGCAGAAACACCTCGACATGATGATCCACCTCAGCAACTGCTTAACACAGTCAGGTTCAGCTAGTAACAGATACAAAACTCATGTTTTTGTACAGATGTGCTTCTACCTGGTTTCCTGACAATGGTTCATAAGGGATTTTAAACCTATATAGTGATCTCCATTCCTGAGTCCTGCCTGTTTTTAATGCAGTGCTGCCTGAGGATCTTATGATCAGGACCAATCTTGGTTTTGGTCCTTGTCCCTTTTGTACAGAGATTTGTCCAGATTCTCAGAATCTTTTAATGATATGATGTTCTGCAGATGATGAAATCCACTCATTCTTTCACATTTGACACTCAGGAACATTATTCTGGAACTGTTGAACTATTAGCTCACACAGTCTCTCACAGAGTGGTGAACCTCTTCCCATCTTTCCTTCTCAGACATTAAGTTTACATGACACTGGAGAAAACGGAATTATTGCCTTATTCCGATTAAGACCGGACAACTGAAGTGCACGTAAACACCTTCGTGCGACTGTAATCAGAGTTTAAGAACTCAGATTAAGACACCCAGATAATGCGATTGGAGTTAGATTTTCTCTACCATGTAACCAGCGTAGTTGGAATATGAGTGGAAAATGCATGTGCGTGTGTGCCACGCCTCCATAATCCCGGAACAAAAACACCAGAGAAGAAGAGTAGCGTGCACCTCATCTGCAGAAAAAGTAGTGCATACATCATGTACGACAAAAACAACGATGTACAATGCTCCATCTTCTTGCTCGAAAATGCCCAGCAGCAGTTGTAGCCACTTCTGACGTCTGGCACGGACCTGCTGTTGTTGTTGACAGTTGTATGGGGAGGAGGACATGTTCACGTCAATAATTCGATTTTCTCAGCTGCATGTATACGGGGACAAGGGGAGAAGTCTGATTTGGCCAAAAAAAAAAAAACACGAATTATAAGCTTTGTCTGATGAAGCTGTGCATGTAAACACACTGAGTGAGGCTCAGCCTCTCTGAATGTCCTTTTTATACCCAGTCCTGTTACTAACCTGTTGGACATTAACCTCATTAGTTGGGGTTGTGTGTTTGATGAAAGTCCTCAAATCCTTCAGCTCTTCATCTGACCTGTTATCAGTTTGCAGACTTGCAGCTGGTTTATTGAAAAGTTTGGTAGAAATTACTTCAGAAAAAGTTGTTGTTTTGTTATAACTGAAGACAAATAATCCATCAGTCTTTGCTTTGATTTTGCTGACAGATCACTCTGTAAATGTTGAATTATCAGATTCATTCAGCTCTGATCAGTTTTAGGTTGCAGATCATGCATCTTTGGATCCAAAAGTTTATGCGGACTTTCAGGTGAATGCAGACTGTTAAATCTCTGTCTGTTAGAGTTTTTCTCCACAGAATCTTTTGGTTCTATTTGGAGACTCAAACAGCTATGTGGTCAGGCGTGTTTTCAGCAGATATTATTTTGATATTGAAATAAAAAAAAATGTGTTGTTGATATGTTCATGTTAAATAAGCAGCACTGCAACAGAATAATCTATAATGATAACTATAAATAATTATGCATAATTTTTATGATTTAAAGCGGTCTAACCAGCTGAAAACAAACATCTCTGTCTCAGTTTTAATGAAAGTTTAAGTTTGTTCCTTTGATGAAACTTATAAACCATTTCGTAATCATTAAAATTTTCGTTCTCTAAAAAACCTGAAGTCCATTAAACAAAGCTTTTCTTCAGTCTGATAGTATTTTTCTCATCATGGAGTGATGTGATGATTTCATGCTTCAAACATGGACCTGATCTGACAAATTATGAAGTTTATATTTGATCGTTTATCAAATATGATGGACGCGCACACTGATCCGTGCAGGATTCAGACACTGAGGTTTCCTGGGATGTGACTGTAAACCCAACAGTCAGTGAGCGCGCTCAGAATGATGTACGAGAAAGAGTTTTTAAGGTCCCAACACGTGACTCAGCACACAGTTATGTGTGTGTCACACCTTAAAAATGGACCTGGTCCGTGCGGTGTGTTGTGGTGCGGTGCGGTGCAGAGATGTTGTTTGGTGAGTCAGTGGCAGTTTGAAACCTGATCCTCAGACAGTCAGTGTGACTCAGAGCTGCAGATACAGAGACAGTTAAAGACTCACTGAGCTGATCCAGAGTCAGTGTGTGAGTCAGTGAGAGAGGAGGAAACAGGAGGAAACAGCAGGACAGAGGAGAAAGTGTCTAAATCAGAGCGTAGGTGAATCAGCCCCTCTTCCTTCCTCCAAAGTGATTTTTAATGAGCGCTCCACACCCTGCTCAGACATCCAGCTCTCACCACAAACTGAAGTCGGACCGCTGCTGAGAAAGAGTCCATGACTGAGAAAATGAGGGGGAGAGAGAGAGAGAGAGAGAGAGAGAGAGAGAGAGAGGGGGGGGGGGGGGGTCATCAGACATGACCTGAAATCAGAGCGCTAACCCTAACCCTCATGAACCACAGAACTCATCCTCAGCACCTTTCAGCAGAGTTACAGACACACAAAAAACATCACAATTACACAAAACACCTCAGTATCCCCTTCATCATATCACAGAGTTACGGTCAGAGCATCTGCAGGCTGATGCATCCTCCCTCAAAACCTTTCACCTTCTTGGAATTTTAAATGGTGCATGAAACAGACTGAAACTAACAGTGATGTGTCTCTATGATGTGAAAAAGCAAATAGGACTATCAACGACAAATTTATCAATGTGTTGTAGATTTAAATGCTTCTGTCTTCTGTGAGGAGTGAGGCACGGGTGCAGAGGAAATCAATCAATCAATCAATCAATCAATCAATCAATCAGTCAGTCTTTATTCATTTAGCACCTATTCAAGTGTTATCCGCAGATGCTTAACAAAAAAACCTGGTCTAGACCATCCTCTATTTACAAAGACCCACTGTGAAGATGGGGTCAGACTGAACCCCATCCTATAAGATCAGACCCATCTCATCTTCACCCACATGAGTGAAAGACTCATTTATCGAGTTACAGTGGAGAGGAAGAACTTCCTTTATCAGGCAGAAACCTCGGAGAACCAGACTCATGTTAGACAGTGATCTGCTGAGATTGAGCTGGGTTTAGAGAGGAGATAGAGGGAGAGGGAGAAAGAGAGAGATGGACAGAGGAGATACAGATAGAGGGAGATGAAAAAAGAGAAAAAGCCCATGTAGAACCCTGTTTATTAAGGCTGGGACAATGTGCTTCTCTCCCAATTCGATTCTTCTACGATTATTTGGATGCCGATTCAATTTAAATTGTGATTCTACGATATTGTCGATTTTCTCGATCTTCAGTCTGCATTTTTAACACCAGTGAAACAGCTGAATGATTACGATTGTCTACTGACTATTCCAGGAACCATATTTCAGCAAAAAATACACGTCACATGTGAGTCAGTTTTTAAGATTTATTCTTAAGTTTGAAAAAAAGAAAGATCGATTTTTGAACATAAAAATTGATTAAAAAATTGTTAAACAAAAAATCTTGATACTTATGTGAATCAATTTTTTCTCCCACCCCTACTTTTTACTGGAGGTTTTCTTAAAAGCAGCCACACTTGTGCAGAGTGTGCAGACATTATATTTTCTTTAATCATTTTCTTTATTTTATTTTTTATTCAAACTTCTTTACGTATCAATAACAAAATAAAATGTACAAGAAAGACAAAAGTAAATCATCACAACATACTGAGCCTTGTGAGTGTAGGTATGGTCCATTGCTAATTTTCATCTGCCTAATTATCTGGTTAAAATGAGGTGAAATATTAAAGTAACATCAGTGTGAGCTTTGTAGGACTCTTTCTTTTCTGCTGTAAACCAGCTTTGTCAGTGAGTGCAAAGAGAGTCATCTGAACCTGAACTTTGATCACTGTGACCGATGTGTTATTTGTCCAGAACAAAACTCAGAGCACTGTCACTGAGTAAGAAGAAAAATAGAGAAACAATCATTTCCACATTTGTGTTTGTACCCTCTAATTTAAATTGAACAGAAAAATCTTTTTTTTTAGCATCAATGACCCCATTTAATATTACCTAAACTTAAAAAAAGCATTAAAAAAGTTTTTTACAATAAATCAGAGCTGTAAGCATCTGAATACTAATGTTCAATTTTTAATGCATTATAATAAAACCCTTGATTCACTGATCATTCATGATGTGAAAAGGTTGTTGTACATAATCCAGTCAATATAAACCTGAGTTCTCTATTACACTTAAATTTAATAAAGACCAGTTTGATTCTGCAGCTCTTCCCTCATCCCTCTCTTCTTCTTCTGTCCTTCATCACCTGTTTACTCCCTCACGCACTTGTTTGTCATGCCCCCCTCCCCTCCCCTTACCCTCTCTCCCCCTTTCTGCCGTGTTTTGATCCTGTCTCCCCTTCTTCCCTCCCCCCTCCTCCTTCTCATTATTTCCTCGAGTGTGTCCTCCTCTCAGTCTTTCTCTCCTCTCAGCTTTGATTTCCCCTCCTCTTCCTCACCCCCTCACCCCCTCAGAGGTGTTCCTTCAGATTCACATGTGGTCCCAGAGCAACTCCACTCTGGAGTTTCACTCTGCCTTTCGCTCCTTTCCTATTCCTCTCCTCTTGCCCCCTTCTTTCTCTCCTTCCATCCTCTTCTCTTCACCCTTCTCTCCTTTTCCTCTCTCTTTTTCTCCTTCTCTACTCCCATTAACTTTTTCCTTCTTCTCTCCTTCTATCCTTTTCTTGTTTCCCCTCCATCCTCCCATTTGTCATCCTCCCCTTCCCTCATCCTTATCTCCTTTTGCCTAAAACTCTCTATCTCTCTTCCCTTTTTCTCCTCCTCTTTCTTTTCCTCTGTTTTTCTCTCATCTTTTCTTTCCTCCCTCTTCTTGTCTCTCTTCCTTCTCTGCCTTCTTTTCTCCTCTTTTGCCTCCTTTTTTACCCTCTCTCATTTCCTCTTGTCCCTTCCCCCTGCTGTCCTCTTCTTTTCTTACATCCCTCCATCTTTTATCTTCCTTCCCCTCCCCTTTCTTTCTTTCTTTCTTTCTGAGCGACAACAACAAGTAGAAAAATGAAGTTGGTTTGGAGTGTGAGTCCCCTCAGGGCCGCTGTTTTCGGTGTGATTGAAGGCCTCTGTGTGCCTTGTGTGTGTGTGTGTGTGTGTGTGTATCTGTCCGTGTGTGTGTGTGTGTGTGTGTGTCTGTCCTAATTGAATGATAAAGTGGCCTGAGATGGAGAGCGGTGAATAGCCAACAATGGCCGCCTGTGTGTGGTGGAGGGTTTTTGGTTCAGGTCCAGCCTCAGCCTCTCTGCTCCGAGAGGGGGCTATTATAACACTCTCTGCTGGACCCGGTCACGTGATGCTGCCTCACCCCTCCTCCCTCACCTTCCCAATTCACCCCCCTCCTCCCCCCTCAGTGCGAAGCGGCCAATCGGCTCTCATCATGTTTCTCTTCTCTCTCCTGCTCCAGTCAGATGATTTTATTTATCCGGCAGGTGACGTTTACTAGCTGCTACCTGAGTGTGCATGCATGTGTGTGTGTGTGTGTGTGTGTGTTGTGTTTGTGAGTGAGTGAGAGAGGTATGTTGATAAATTACAGCCCCAATTCTGAAAAAGTTAGCGTGCTATGTAAAATGTCAGCTAACTTTATTAAACTAAAAATAGAGAATGAAAAATAAGTCAGATGTTAAACTGAAAATGTTTTTGTTTTATGAAAAATCGACACATTCTCAGTTTTGGTCTAATGTCTGTAAAAAGTAGTTTCAGCCTCATGTATTTTATTCTGTGTCCTCACCTCTCCTTTTACCATCTCTCTGTAAACCTTAGTGAGTTCAGCAGACCAGTTTTTGGAGTCTGAAAGTGAAATGTTGTCCCATTCTTGCCTGATAGAGGATTTTAGCTGGTCAACAGTTCAGGGTCTCCTCAGGAGTTGCGAGCATCTCATCTGCAGAAAAAGTAGTGTGTACATCACGTACGACAAAACTTCTGATGTCTGGCACGGACCTGCTGTTGTTGTTGACAGATGTATGGGGTCAACTGAAAACAGCACCACTGAAAAGACCCATATCACCCCCTAGTTTTGGGGAGGAGGTCACGTTCACGTCAATAGTTCGATTTTCTCAAGCAGCATGTAAACACAGACAAGGAAGGAAGTCTGATTTGGTGAAAAAAAGGATTATGAGCTTAGTCTGATTAAGCTGTGCATGTAAACGCACTGAGTGTCTCGCTGAAGTATGAAGGTCTTCCCTGAAAAACTCCTAAACCTTGCTCCTAAACCTGTAGATATTGTACAGCATTAATGGAGCCTTCACAGATGTGGAAGATACCCATGACATGTACTCTGGTGATCCACAAACCATCAGGGAGGCTGGCTTTGGTCTGGGTGTTGAGAACAAGCCAGGAGGTCCCTCTACTCTTGAGAAAGGAGGATGTAAATTCTATGATTTCCAAGGGAGTGTCAGATTCTACTCCACCAATCCACAGGACAGTTTTCCACCTGTGAAGTTACTGTAAATTTCTGTAATTTCAGCTTAATAATTTGTCTTCAGTGACATAATTTCAGCTAACTCCTGTGTTGTCCTGTTTGTGTTTTTTATTTCAGTGCGACTCATTAACAGTCTGTGCAAATAAATTTAAATCATAAAAACATGTTGATGGAAGTCTCTTAGAGCTGCTGGAAAGTCTCACTCTCACTTTACTCTAAAATCGTTTCAGTTTGTGAGTTGTAGGCTTTTAAACGTTAATCGTTAGTGGTTTCATTTCTTGTTAACAAAAGGAAACTAATAAAAGAATTTTACTAACATATTTTATTTTTTCAGGATATATTTGGACATTTTTGTGGGGTGTAAAATAATGTCAATCATCATCATAAACAACACCCAACAAGTATTCGGATATTAAATTTCTAAATATTGTAAACCTCTTGTCTCTGGCAGTAACTCTGTGTCCAGGTATAATCCGCGGGTTTCTGTTGTTTGGTTTAGTCCGGTTTGGTTCAGTCTACTCTGATCTTGTATTTCCTCAGCGGACTGAACTCTACTCTGGTTCTGGACTCCGGCAGCACGTTGGCTGTGTTATAGCCTCAGAGCTGCTTGGTTTTTTTGGAGCGCCTGTTAACAGATCGAACTTTTCAGACTGTTTGCTCGAGCGGTGCCTCTCACCTGATGTTGTTTTAATGAGCAGCAAAGATCTTGGTCAAAAATATACACAAAAATGATGAACGGAGAGCTGCTTTGACTTTGTGTCAGAGGAATGACAAATGTATATCTCGAATCATTGTCAAAGTAAAAGTCTGATCCCTGTTTTCTGTTGAAAGACTCTCTTTGTTTTCCCAAAATGCTTTTATTTGAAATTGTGTCCAAGACCGGTAGTTAGCGATAGAAGTAACTTACTCTAACACTTAAAGATGAACTTGTTGTCATGACACCTGGCTGCATGTAAGCTCTGTTAATTATAAAACAAAATCAGTTAACAGGAAATACTTCTTTCTGTGTGAATTTTCTCTCTCTTTGCAGATGATTTCTCACCTCTAATGATGGAAACGACTGTTATTGTGCAGAGAAAACCTGTAAAAATTCACTTGTTTTTAGATAGTTTAAAGCTCTGCTGAAGGAGTCACATCTGCTGTGAGTTTTTAGAAGTTGAAATGTCTTACTGTGTTCAGAAACAGTCACATAGTCAGCAATGAAAGGGAGTTAGTCCTGTTAGAAAACGATTGTCCCTTGTCTTTTAGCCTGAGAAACGGAAAGACTCAATGTTGGAGTCGATAAGGACTGGAAACATTGAAGAGTCCTAATAACAGTGCCAGTATAACTAGAAGCTAAAGATCTCCGTCCTTAGACTCTGACAGAGAGAGGAGACATGAACACTCCTCAGACAGAGCTGTGTTTTCACTCTGACAGGGTTCAGTCTGATTTGAGTTTTAAAGAGAAAAAACAGACAGACTGACTCTGAACTGAAATAACCCTGATCATCGTCTCTTCATCTTTTCCTCTGTCTCTATCTGTCTGTACCTGTTTGCCGGCTCCTTTCTCTCTCTCTCCTCCTTTCATCTCTTTCTTGTTATGTCCTTACCCCTCCTCCTCCTCCTCATCTTCCCTCCTCGCCTCGCCTGTCGTACGGCCGTCACCCTCCTGGAGGAGCCGCAGCCTCCGATCCTCTGAACCTGATCAGGTTTCAGAAATATCCCAGGAATGTGAGCTGCCCACTGCCCATTTTTCAAGACCCTGTTTATGCAAGAATGTTATTTTTACAAGTCAGTCTACCCTTAACACACACACACACACACACACACACACACACACACACACACACACACACACACACACACACACACTGCTTTCCTCTTTTTCCCATCATTAATCTGAACATCCTCTGAAAATACACACTCATAGAGCAGATAACAGAAAAAAGCAAGAGGTGTGTGTGTGTGTGTGTGTGTGTGTGTGTGTGTGTGTGTGTGTGTGTGTGTGTGTGTGTGTGTGTGTGTGTGTATCAGATGTGTTGAAACCTGTAGATTTCTGGAAACAAAAGCTGGTCTAACAATGCCTGTTGTTTCAGTCTGAGCTGACGCTGCCAGACTTAGAGATTGTTTGTTGCTGACCTGACAGAGAGAGAGAGAGGGAGAGAGAGAGAGAGACTCAGTGGTCGAACGAACAAATCAGAGCACAGACAGGAGCTCTAACTCTGCAAAGTCCTAAACTCTGATCTGATTGGAGGATTTCGTTGTCCTAAATAATAGTAATAACTGTGTATTGATGGAGATTATAATCCAGGGTGATCCTCCTGTTTAGTTCTCTGTCAGGTTTGAGTTTACTGTGATTCAGCCTGAAGCTGGTTTTGATAAAACTGTCTTTACCTCCTCGCTATAATGACTTTTCTGTTTTTCAATGTGTGTTTGGTCAAATCAGAGTCACAGTGAGCTCTGTTAGCAGGTCTGTGTGTAAACAGAGGAAACCTGACTGTCGTACAGATTTGTGTTTACATCCAGAATAACTTTCCTCTTGAGTTGTAGGGGGGGAATCACCTCAGAGCACAGTAAGGTGTGGGAGTGCCTGGTCTGCTTGAGTGAGACCAGGTGTGGGAAGGTGATTTAAGTCTTTCAGCTCCAGTGCAGAGTGCTGACTCCTCTCTTCCTGAGAGGATCTATCTCTGTGGTCTTTCGAGTCGTGGCGAAGTGTCCATTAAGGCACTCATATTTTGTAGAAGGAATGTTTGTTTCTGGCTTAGATTGGGTTGTAGACATCGGTTCCTTTAGTGTATCCAGCATTTTATGTTTAATGTTCAAGCATCCCTGGCAGTCTTGTTTCTTTGGTTAAAGAGGTTATTTCAGATTTTTCTGAGTGTTTGGTTTGGGCCAGCTGCTAGGCAGCGGTGGTTTTGTTTCCTGCTTATCCATCTGTGTTTAGGAAGTTTGAACTTCCAGACCTTTGCATTTCCCTCTCCATTTATCATGTGTGATTTCAGTGGTTACCCCTACAGGGAAACTTTTAGGGCCCTCCCCCTTCTTGGTCCGCAGTTGTTTTCCCTCCCTCTGACAGAGGACTGCAACCCTGTGATTTTTTTTACAGTTTATATTACAGAATATAGAAAATACAGCTAAAGGCTGTGAGTTTTAAGACCTTCTAAATCATGAGTATTTTCTGTCACACTAATAATGTTTCATTAGCAAATTTATAAAGCCTTATAAATGAGACTTTAAAATGACTCTTATAAACAATTGCAAGCATTCACAACAACATAAATCAATGTGTATTAAGTGATAAAAGCAATGAATACAGTTCTTTATATATACATGATTTTTAATGTATTATATCCTGATGAAAAACAAAGGGCGGCGTCTTTTAATTCTCAGGTTTACTTACACATTTGAACTCCCCAAACTTTATCCAGTTCTGAAATACGTCAATGTCATTTGACTTAAAAAATCTGTTTAATTTGAATTATTTTGTTTAATTTAAAAAGCTTTAGTTTCTGATATAAGAGTAGTTTACTTTTGTTTTACCTCTACAGAGTGAATCTCCAGCTGCAGGCCTCTGACAGCTTTATTTAGCCTCTGGCTTAAGGAGTCTAAGTGTTAGGGCTGGGCGATATGGCCTTAAATCAATCTCACCATATATTAAGCAGTTCACCTTGATAACAATCAATTGACGATAACCACTCCACAAGCTGCTCACCCCCTCCCACATTAACTTTGTCTACTTCAGCCACCGCTCCAGCTGCTACAACTTTTGAACCGTCCTACATCTCCTCACCTGTCTTTCCCTCTTTGTTATGGACTGGATGGGGTGGAGTCACATCTCCGACATAGGACAGCGTCTTAAAGAGAGATGAGACCATAACCTACCTACACACATCCAAAACCAACTTTTATTTGTTTATTTTTTTGACACAGATATACTGATATGGGCAAAATGATTATGTTGTTATTGTCGTAAATTTTCGGTATTTGTAAATTTTCGGTTTATCGCCCAGCCCTACTAGGTGTACATTAGGATATTATTACAGCTCTACTTTACTCACTCATAGTCATTTATTATCTCCACTGTTTCCCCCAGTCATCACTTCCGGTATTAAAATGCTGTGTTCATCTCTTTGTTGTTACTTGTTCTTCAAATATTTATTTATTTTTCACTTCATCTAAGTCATGCTGTAAAGTGTTGTAAGACTGAAAAACACATTGAATGAGTCTCTATGATTCCTGACCTGTAAAATATGTCATTCAAAAGCACGGTTGAGCAGCTGCTTGACTACAGTGTGCAGGAGGGACAAAAGGGCTTGTGATAAAAAGAGACTTGTTTCCCAACATGCTTTATGTTGGACTGGATACCTGGTTTGTTCAGCTTATTGTTTACGTCTGTGAACATGTGATGGTTTCCTGTTGGTTGGTGTTCATTTTGTATCAGAAGGATGTTGTTTCATTCAGTCAGGTGTTACTTTGTGTTTGTCTTTATTTTTGAGTTTTGAGGGAAACAGAGATACCCGGAGGACAGACTCAGTTTAGCAGAAATATCAAAAATGTGTTTTGATTTGAGAAGACAAGAGAGGGAGACAGAAAGAGAGAAAGACAGGGAGTGAGAGAGACAAAGACAGACAGAGAGGGAGAGAGAGATAGAGGGAGGGAGAGGGTGTAGAGGGCGAGGTAGGGGGAGGGCGTTTGGCGTGGAGCCCGTTGGCACAGTGCCCACATCTCCGGCTGCTGTGGAGCTCGGAGTGACGGCCAGGACTCCCCACCAGAAGGGCTTTCCCCAGAAACACCACACGTACATACACAGACACACATGCACGCATGCACACACACACACACACACACACACACACACACACACACACACACACACACACACACACACACACACACACACTGCCCATGTGCTTACTGTCAACATTTTGATAAAGCTCTGCCAGCAGTGTGTGCGTGTGTGTGTGTGTGTGTGTGTATGTGTGTGTGAACCGCTGATTGTGACTGAACAGTTTTTACCAACTTTGCTGGTATCAGCTGATGTCAGAGTAAACGTCAGTGTCCTACTTATTGGTTTCAGTCTGCAGGTTTAGACTTTTATTCTGCATATTTGATGATGTTTCAGCTGCACGTCTCCATTCTGCTCGTCACTTCTATCCCTTTGTTTTCTGCAGCTCTGCACAGGTAAATTCATTTATGGGTGATCAGGATCACCTGGTCCTGAGTGACTGAAAGCCTCAGAGGACTCTGCTGTCCTATCTCTCAGTCCGAGGATCCTTGTTTTTCATCTCAGCTCTGTTGTTGTAGTTATCTTGATTTTTTCTTTAGTTGATCTTGATTACATTTTAATTTTTTGTTTGTTTATAATGGTGAATTCCATGGCTGAGTGTTTTAGTCTGTATTAACATTTAACTTTGGGTCATAATGTGGACAGTGGTTTTTCCTTGAGGGACACTTTAGGCAGGAAGTAGCTGTAATCTGAACTCTTCTTCTATGATACTGAGTTTTTCTAAATTGTTCATGAAAAACTTCAATAATCTGTTGAACTGTATCAGTTGAGTTTCTGTGTGCCAGGAAAAGATATTAATTAAATTATCTGATAAGGCTCTGAAAAACTTGATGTACCCAACCTGTTGAGTATCATTCATATTCATGTTCATAACATTAATAATTTGAGTGTTACAACCATAGACTGTATACTGAATGGAGAGCATCTGCCTCCTTGCTGGGTGAAGCCACTCCGTGAACAGCACCCTCTGGTGACGGGCTGCAGTATAGGTCATAAATCCCGCCTCCTCCAACCATCCTTATGGAGCTGTGGACAAACTCTAGTAATTTATTACACAGAATATCCATTTTTCCCCCCCTGGTTGCGATGTTGCCATGTAGTTACTGTAAGACTGGTTTGTGCTCAAGTCCTCTTTTTTTTGTACAGCTCAGTTTTTAAAGTTATTAGGGGGTTCATGTTTTCTTTGATTGACACTTGATACAGCCTATGAGCATACGAAGATTGCATAGCTCACCCAGTGGATACGCTGTTTGAGTCGAGCGTCATCACAGCAATTCTCCCGCTAAATACGTACAATGCTACTGCGCAAGTGGTGGAGTGCGCACAACGCTACTGTGCAATGTTGGTTTCAGGAAGTGGAGAAAAAACCCGGAATTACCGAGAGCTTTTTGGCTTCAAATCCATATACTGGCGGAAGGCGGAACCAAGTTGTCCATAGTTTAGACAGTCAATGTTTACAAACCAAAGTGCAGCTCCTCCTGCTCCTCCTGCTCCTCTCCCTGCTCTCCTCCTGCTCCCGCTTTATGAATGAATACAAAGAATCAAGGACAGACCTGCAGGAGGAGGATCTGCTGATCTGAGGTCCAGTGAGTGAGATGTGCTGTTCTGAGCACCCATGTGGAAGCTATGGGCCTGTTCATGCATGCATATGTGTGTGTGTGTGGTCTGTGTTCTCACTAACACACACATTCTCAGTGTCACATAGGCAACATGGACTCAGTGTCACCCCAACAACCTGACTGACCCCACCATCCTCCTCACTCACACACACACACACACACACACACACACACACACACACACACACACACACACACACACACACACACACACACACACACATATATACAGAGAACTTGTTGTGTATTATGAATGGTTTTTGTGTATGGTTGTGTGTAGTAAAGCAAACTTTTTTGTGTTTATGTAGTATAGATGATGATAATGATGAGGATGATGTGTATATGTGTGTGTGTTTGTAGCCCTCAGTCCATCACTGTTTACTCTGAGAGTGCAGATATGATAGAAATGATGAAGATTATGATGATGATGATGATCGTAATTATGAAGATAATTGTGATGATGAAGATGATGATAATGATGATGGTGATGATAGTAATTATGAAGATAATTGTGATGATAAAGATGATGATTATGGTGATGATGATGAGGATGATGATGATGATCGTGACGAAGTCATCATCGTGATAAAGTTGATGATGATGATTATGATGATGAGGATGCCGATGATGATATTGAAGATGATTGTGATGATGATGATTAAAATGGTGATGATGGTGATTATGTTGATGATGATGATGACGACGACGACAACGACAACGATGATGATGATGATGATGATGATGATGATGATGATGATGATGATGATGATGATGATGATGATGATGATGAAGATGGTAACAGTCTTATTTCTGGCTGTGTCCGAAATGAATCCCTAACCCCTAACCCCCATATGGGGTTTCACTATATAGTTGACTATGTAGTGAACTCAATCACCAGAGGTTTCGGACACTACATGGCAAGATGCAATAGATGATGGGATTCCCACCACCGGTGAGTGACCATCAGATGGTCTCTACATTTTGCAGTGCTTTATGGGAAATTTTGAGTCGCCTATATGGGGCACTGGAATTGATCACTCAGGTTTCGGACAGCCCTCAAAACGGCGCTAACCCCCATATAGTCACCTATATAGGGGTTAGAGATCCATTTCGGACACAGCCTCTGTCTTAGCCTGCTCATGCTTGATAGAGGCTGCCATCTTTGTTTTGGTCTGTCTGTCAATCAGAGGCTGTGTCTATGATCAGCTGACCTGTGAAGGTGAAACAGCCTGAAACTGTCGTACCTGTCTGTTCTCACTTCAGATGAAGGAAAGCTCAAACTTTTCTGAGTGGGTTTTGTCCTGTTTGTCCTGATCTGGTATCAGTAGAAATTTTCTCGCATTTTAGTCTTAAAGAGGGGTTAATGGTCTTATGATCAAGGCCGTGTCAGCCTCCCTGCTGTGAGCATCATGTCCTGTCTCCTTGCATACATACTACAATCACAGTATTAGAGGAAACTGCAGTCAAACAAAAAAAAAAGATGAGCCGCTAAAAAATTGAGGTCTGGGTCTGACCTCAGTGAAGACAACACAGGACAGAAAGAAGTCAGGAAATAATGTTAAAATTAAAACCATAAATCTGTTTCAACACTAACAGCCCAATCATGTTATTGAATATGAAGAACAGAGCAGAGCTCAGAAACAGGGACTGATGAGGGATAGGAGCCTGGATGACACATGTATACACAAACAGTTGCTGAATGATACTGTGTTCCCAAAGCTGACCTCAATGAAAGGAAAGGGCTTTAGTGTTTATCTTTGTTAGTTAATCTACATAAATATACTAAGTTTGATTAAAGCCGTTTTCCAGATTTAACCCCACACACCTCTTTCGGGTTGGATTATCTGATGCGTTGCTGCAGCAGAGAAAGGAGAACACATTTCAACAATGTTAAAACTGATAAAAATGTATCTTAACTCCATTTTTAAAGAATAAAACCTAAAGTCAAACAGAAAACTGGCATTACAAAAGAATTATATCATATAGTCTGTATTTATCAGACAGACCCAGAAAATGATTTACCTGCATGTTGTTGAAAAAACCCATCTAACCCAGCCGCTGAGTTTTGATCAGTAACTGTCTGCAGATTCAGGCTGATCCAGGATCAGCAGCTTCAGGGTCTCTGGGTGACAGTTAGTTTCCCTCCCCCCTCAGACCGCAGACCAGGCTATCTTTAGCTCCGACCCAGGGTCGTGGTCTGGTTTTATGACCACATCCCGACCCAGCACGACCTGGACCAACTGTCAGGACAGTGAGGGTTTGGCACTGAAGAGCAGAAACTCTTCCTCCCTTACCCTCCTCCTCCTCTTTGTCACCTTCCTCCCCTCATCCCAACTCAGGTTAGAGACCCAGGCAAGAGAGGAACTGAAACCTGGGGAGGAGGGGGAGGGAGGGAGAGAGAGAGGGAGGCAGCAGTGATGAAACACAAGTTTGAGCTGTTCTTATTTTTACTCTCCAGAGTTGATCTGCGTCTGTGTCGGGTCGTTTTTCTGCAGCATGTTCTCTTATTTTATTATGAAATGAATCACAGAATAAAACTGATCAGATTTCACTTCATGATAAATCTTAACAGATTTATACCTCTGCCTGCTCAGTCTTAAAACTTTATTTCTCTCAATCCTCTTTCTTGATACCAGCATAGAAACTTAAAGCTTCAGTCAGGGTTTTTCTCTTTGTTTTGAATTTTGGCGCCCCCTGTGGACAGATCGATGCCTTTGAAATCACAGCTGATTCCTGTCTGTTCTCAAGAAAGTCCTTTTTCCTACAATAATATTTCACCTTGTTTAATTTTACGACTTAACTACATCATTAATTTAAAATCTATGCTAGGAAAATGTTAATCAACTTAGTGGATCCCTCTGCGGTTTTAGACACTATAACTGTGTCGAAATAATCAGTCTCACTGCTGATGGACAGAAAGAGGCCTCAGAATTAACTTCAATTTCTCAGAGAAGGAAATGTGTCAGGCTGAATTTGTGATGACTGATTGTGAGCTCTCATTGTGTGATCAGTAAAATATCGTAAAGGGGGTTTCGTTTGATAAAAAACATTTTAAAGAGTCTGTCTTTAGTCTATCTTTTAGCCAGTTGGGTCACTTAAATACTTAAAATTACATGATTTCTATGGACAGAAACATCCACAAGTTGGACTGGGCGATTATATGATCGTGATCGATGACTGTGATAAATTTCAGTTCGATCACGGTGATCAGCTGTGAGCATATTTACTCGATCAAACATGGTGGAAATGTGAGTCACAACAGCCAATCACAGTCGAGCCTGTCCTGCTCGCTTCTGTTAGTTGCCGGAGAAGTGAACAAGAGAAGTAAACAGAATGACTGAACATGGAGCTAAACGCGGAGCTGAGGGCAGCAAGATAGTTGTCAGCCATGACTTTGAGTCATTCTCCAAAGATGTTATTGTTGAAAAGTTATTCAACGTCGGTTGTGTTGCGGTGGTTCGGGTATCTCCAAAGTGACATCGAGTAATTAAGCTGATGAGCAAGGTATGTCGGCGATCGGTGCCCTCAAAAACTGGCTACACAACAAATCTGTTTAATCATTTGAAGAAGTACCTCCCCAATGATTATGCGGAAAGCATGAAAATGTGAGCGGAGTCTCTACAGCCTGTCACTGCTGACAGCACGAGTAGCATTAGCAGTTTAGCGACAACTAGCAGTGCAGCCACAGACCTAGGCAGCGATTAATCGTATCATTTACGTTTACATCATCTAATGTTTACATTTTAAAGAGTCTTTATTATCTCTAAGGGGGCGATTTGTTTATTTTGGGTCTTGCATACCTGCAAAAACACACAGGACTGTAAATGAGTTCACTGTATTATCTAGTATTTATCTACATTTGTTGTACTGTTGAGTTAAAATGTTTTATTTGTTATATTTTTCTAAGTTAACCTTATTCAATTTGCTTTGTTATTTGTATGATAATAAAATGTTGAACTAATCTCTAGTTTCTTTAGTTTTTAGTGCAGATGCTTTAAAACAGGCAGTTAAAAAAATTGTGATAATAATCGAGATCGGATTTTTTTTGCCAAATTGTCCAGGCCTATCCACATGTCCACAAATAAAAAAAAAGATTTAATAAGTATTTATATTTCTGTGTTTATATTTCTCTTACTGTACTCTCCTCTTCTTTGATAATGGTAATGTAAGATATATGTTTTCTGTTTGCATTGATTCTATTGTTGGTTTTTAATATTGTTTCACTCAATAGATTAATTTATTAGGACTGTTGTGGATGCAGTTGAGCATGTGCAGAGCTCGAATATAAAACTAATTTTCCCAAAGTTACAATAAGGTCTATTGTGTCATATTGTATTTATTTTAAGCTAAAATTTTAACTCATGTTTCAACAGGATGAAATCAGATATAAAAGATTTTAAACAAAGACATTGAAGCCTTTCTCATTCTGTATAAAACGTCATCACCTCTCCTTATTTATTCTGTTTCCTCACTTTAACATCAGTCACTGTGAGATTTATCAATTATATTTAGATTTTAGTGGTTTACACATGCTTCAAAAGGACTTTGAGATTATAGAAAGATTTCAAAAGCTTCAAAAGCAACTTATTAATTCAACATGAACTCAGAGAGGGAAAACACCCTGCAGTCTGTTCCCTGTTTAACGATGTTTTAATATTGCTGCTATTTTATCTGTATTGGGTGTTTTTCAGTGTAAATGTTTGTGCAGAGCCCCTCCCCCCCTCACTCTGCAGAGCGGCTGTTGTCACTTTAGCTCTGGATAGTGAACTCACTTTCTATTTTTAGTTTGTTGGTTTAGTTTAGTAGAGGTCCGTCCTCTCATGTGCTCAGACTCTCCGTTTGGTCCTGGCCCGGTTCAGCCCGGTTTAAACACTCAACCCTTAGAGACCCAGAAAAACCCTGAGAGCGCTCTCACGTGTTGCTTGGTGTGTCTGCGGGCAGTAAAGGGTTAAAAACAGTCACTCAGCATGCGGGAGCCGTGGCGGGCGGGCAGGCAGTGCAGAGGCTGACCTTTGACCCCTCAGGAAAGGAATGTGGAAGCTCTTTCATCCCGAACAGAAACCAAAGACACGCTCAGTTCTGCTCTCAGCGTCTGATGGAGGAAGTGAGCGGCGTTCACAGTCAGTGGGCTGCACAACCTCTGTCGCCATTTTGGAGTAAAGCCTCATCCAGAGTGTGTGTGTGTGTGTGTGTGAGTGTGTGTGTGTGTGTGTGTGTGTGTTTGTGTGTGACCCCCCTGAACAGCAGCTCTGTCATAACTCCATGTGAAGATCATTTCAGTGACCTTAAGTCAGTTTCTCTTTGATAAACCGCACACTGTTTTATTTAATAAAAATAGAGATAATACATTTATCAGAAAAAAAATATTGATTAATGAGAATAAAGATGTGAAATTAGTGAAATTAAAAAATAAGAGTTGTACTTCAATGAGACAAGTGATTATAGGGTTTTTTAAACATTTTCTGTATTTTACTTTGAAGGGACAGATCAGAAGATTTAGTAAAATAACTAAAAACAGATCAGCTGTCTTAAAAAGCGTGATTTAAAATAAACTGAGTAAAACATGAATTTATTATAAAGACGCTGAACTATCAGACGGCCTGTGTGGTTGCTGAAATCTCTGTTTGTCCTCAGCTTCAGAATTTAACCTTATGAGATGATCCAGAGTCATCTTAGTCAGATCAGACAGCCCTAACATTTAGTTACTCTGGATTTGGATCTGGCTATTTCACTTCTGGTTAGGTGCTAAACTGCATTTTGTTGCATTGTTCTGAACAAGTGTAATGACAATAAAGTCTAATCTAATCAAATGTGGACCTTCATACTGCTCTACATGAAGAAAGGTAAAGAGTGACCCTGTCTTAAAAGCGTCACAGCATTAAAATATAAGAATAAGAGCTGATGCTGCTCCACTGACAGAATAAACTGTAATGTAAGTGAGTGAGAGAGCGAGCGAGTGAGCTGTTATTATATCATCTATTATCACACGCACGCACACACACACTGTCCATTTTAACTCTGTTTACAGGCAGCAGAACTTTTTCATTCCGTTTGTTTGATTTCTATAACGACATGTGCAGGATTTCCTTCTTTGTCTGTGTGTGCAGTGTACACCTTTGTGACTGTGTGTGTGCACATGTGTGTATGGAGGCGTGCATGATGTTGCACCGGAGCTGTGTGTATGTGTATCTGTGTGTGAGTGAGTTAGTGAGAGAGAGAGAGAGGGCGACACGGCATGGTTCAGCCCAGGAATGTGAAACGTGGGTCGGCTGTACAATAGAGCCGGGCTCCCTGAGGGTGGTCAATGGGACGGGTGTCACCCCCCTGCAGCCCCCCTGCTGGGTGATGACCACCACACAACGCTACAGCTGTCAGCTCCTCTTAACCACTGCTGCACATGCATACACACACACACACACACACACACACACACACACACACACACACACACACACACACACACACACACATATATGCATACAGGGTCATCATGCCGCAGCCTCGTGTTGTAACCTGAAGAAATGTATTTCCGCTTTATAGTCCAATTAAAAAATGCTCATTGCTAATGTGATATGGATATGATATCAGCGTGACATTATACAGTATACAATAGTTGGTTAATTCTTGAGTGCAGAGTTTGTACTTTTGGCTGTAAAATGTTATTTTACTGGATTTAGATCAGACTCACGTAAGTTGAAGAGCAGGCCTCCTTGTCACTTCACCATCAAAAAAAAACAACAACAACAATAACCACATCCATCCACAGCACTGAACTCTGACCTAAAAAAAAGAAAACTATGGCAGACTCTAAGAAAGTGTGGTTAACACAGGTGCCATCATGTTCTTGCTGTGGTGGAGTCAGGAGAGTAACACCAGAGACAGTAGAACAACCAACTCATCTTTACTACCATAACAGACTGACTTAAACCAGACTGTTAACCAGAGACGGACCGACTTATACGAGACAGACTGGTAAACTGGTGAGGTTGATCAACTTTATTATAAAAGAATTTATATCACTTGATGTCTGTGCACATGAGGCTGATTTAAAACTCAAACAGATTACATCCACAGAGGCTGCAGGCAGAGATAACGTACCTTAGCATAATAATACCTGTTTTTTCCAAACACGTTAGTCTGACTGAAATCACTTGATCAACCTTCTTACAGCCAGACTAACAGGCCTGGTTATGTGGTTACAGATTGATTTTCTTTTGCATCAAACTGGACGGAGTGTTCAGAGCATGCTCCAGAGTTTACACGCCAGGCTCTGAGCTGAAGGTTGAGCAGCGTAAATACGGAGACAGCAGGAAGTGAACATAACCCTGACAGATTAGGAAAAGAGGTCAGAAAAGATGACACACTGGCACTTTGAACAGCTAAAGATACAGTGCTGTAAAGGTGGTGTGTTTTTTTTTCATCTTGTTAGCATCTTAGCTTACACACATTGCTAACCGTTGTGCTAAAGGGCAACGGGTTGGAGTAATGAGCTGAAAGGGGCAGATTTGCACGTAAATGTACTGAATGTGTTTTTGTAAAAATCCATCAAAAACCAGTTTATGCTGAGAAAGCCTTGTAAATTTAATTGTGACGGGTATGGAATAATGATTGAAACGTGTTGGTATCATTGTTGGTACGCATTGGTGTCGTTAAAAGAAAATGTTGGTATCTGTGTTTTCTATCAGCTGTCCGTCAAACTGTTCTCTGATTTTTGGTTTCAGCTGTTAAAAAAACAATCTTAGTCCACCACCGCAGTCAACATGTTTATTTCTGCTGTTCAGTTTAACATGGGGCTCAATGGGGACTGACTCACCGTAGGACTCAGCCTCTAGTGGACACGAGGGGGACTGCACTTCAGTGTTCGCTTCATTTCTCAGACTGTGGAGTTTCTTCTCAGTGTTTATGTGAAACTAAAACCTCTGCAGAGATTCCAGTGTGTTCTCTGTTTCTGTCAACTCATTGACCCCTCTCTCTCTCTCATACACACACACACACACACACACACACACACACACACACACACACACACACACACACACACACGCACACACATACGCACACATGTTTACTCCTCTGCTCTCTTGCTTCTCATGACAACACTCCAGCCCGGTTAACGTTATGTCTGTCCAGCCTTGGAGTTGTTGCATGTGAGGCGGAGAGGTCAGAGGTCAGGCAGGGTGAATAAGGTGACACACGGACATTAAGATGAGCCCTGAGACACACTCTCTCTCACTCTCTTGCTCACAGAGGTCTGATTTATTCTTTGGTTGTGACTTTGATTGTTTATGTAGGTGGATTTGTAAAGTTCAGGTTTGTCCCTTCTGAGTGTGTGGAGTAAACACCCCCCACCCCCTCATCTTACCCTGAGGGCTGTGTGTGTTTCTCTGTTTTCCCAGGGATTACAGGAGCCTCATCCAGTTTCATAACGAGTACATACATGAACATACATGTTCTTGCATGAAAACGTAGAGCTGACTCCATGCAGTGTGTTGTCATCATGAAGAAGGATGACTGCTTTCACATTTTCATACAAACACTCACCGTCACAGTCCGATCTAGTTCTGAATAATGCTCTCCTGTTGCTGTCGTAGAACGCTGACTTGTTGATCGGCTCCCCCTAGTGAGGGCACCTGGAATTGATTCAACATCAGTATATACAGTACTGTCAGCTCAGACCTGCTGGTTTTTAGGCAGCAGAAGTTTCTCTGTTTATTCTTGGCTGAACTCAGAGACATTTTACACATTTCCTCTCAACATCAATAAAATATTAGAAGAAAAATTGACTGAAGCTTCCTCCAACATCCTTTTGATTCTTCTTTTTCTCTGGTTCTAGGACAGTAAAGATGCAGAGCAATGTTTCTCACTCACCGCCAACCATAGCTGTTGGGACCGGGTGAGGAGGAGAGAAGAAGAGAGAGAAGCAGAAGAACGACTGACTGAGCGAAAGAGACAAAAGATTTAACAGGTAAGAAGAGGCGAAAGACTTTCATCAACACCTTAATGAACCCTCCCACCATCCCTCTTCTACTCCAGTAATCCAGCCTACAGCGCTGCGGGAACATCCTAATTTAGAGTCACTTACCAGATAATGAAACAGAAAAATTTTACTGTTTGATGAAAAATCCGTCTGCTTATTTTAAATCCGATCAGACCAACATGTTTGTATAAAGAAGGATCAGTAGGATATAGTTGGATCATATGTCTCCCAGTTTGTCATCAGCTTTTCTTTTCCCAACACATGACATCATCAGCTCATTTATCCCAACCTTCTGTAAGCCTTAGTGAACAAAGGAGACCAGTTTTTGGAGTTTGAAAGTAAAATGTTGTCCTATTCTTGCCTGATAGAGGATTTCAGCTTCCCAGGGTCTCCTTTTTTGTGTGTCATGATGCTCTAAATGCTCATTTTATCAGCAGGACTCTTCTACTACAGAGCCATGCTGTTGTATTCCCTGCAGAATGTGGTTTGTCATTGTCTTGCTGAAAAAGTCAGGTAGTTTTCTGGTCATTGCTGTCAGTCACTGCAGATTTGAGCTCTTTAATCTTTAAACTGTAAAATTTCACTGGTGCACAAACACCTTTCACTCAGTATCTGTATTCACTCTCTCTCTGTGTTTCTGCAGATTATATTTGGCTTCGTTGTTCCCCTCACTGTGAGCTGGTTAAATTCTTCTGCGTCACCCACCTGGCAGCGTCCCACGTCGAGCCTGCACGGCAGGGGAGCCTCAGGTGAAGTTTCATGGCAGCGGCACTCTGAGGCTGCCATGGCAGCTGCTGCCGCCGATGCCTCACACCGTATTACCGCACTGACGCCGGAGGAAGAGGGACGACGGACTGCCACCAAACTGTTTGGGAACGCCGCCCCGCTGCCACGGACCGAGAGAGAGCGAGAGCGAGAGAGGGGGAAAGAGAGAGAGAGGGGGAGGGAGAGGGAGGGAGAAGAGCGAGGAGGAGAGAGTGGGAACGAGTGTTTGGTGTGCGGGGGTCTGTTCGCCTCACCGGAGAAGCTGCGGCTCCACGCTCTGAGTCACACAGGAGAGAAACCCTTCCACTGCTCTCAGCCGCACTGCCCCAAGGCCTTCAGCTCCAAGTACAAGCTGTTCAGGTGAGACACATTCAAAACACCTGTAGCATCCTTAACCTTAGAATACAAGCTCAGGTAATGTACAGCAAAAACACCAGGTTTTCTTTCAGTTCCAAGTACAAGCTGAGGTTTAACTACCTAAAAACACTTGTAGCATCTTCCTGCAGCACCCTTATGCTTCAAGTACAACCTTCAAGGTCACTCACAGTCAAAACACCTGCGTTATTGGAAAGGTTCAGATACAAACTGCTCAGATGTGCAGATTAACACATTAAGATCACTTTTCAGGAGTATTTTTAGTGATTTTTTTAGTGATGCTGCTAAAGCAACAATTCAGTGATAGAAACAAATGAGAAATAAAGTTGCTGAACATGTGTGAACATTTAATTATATAACTGTTGACAGAAACATTTATTGCAAAGTAAAATGTTGCAGCAAAGGAACTTTTTTTTCCGCTGCCTGCAGAAAAGAAAACTGGTTCTCAGACTGTTCACAGTTTCTGGAGGATGTGAGGTCTGAGTCTGTGCAAGTGTGAGGTTTGAGTGAGTCAGGCTGAAACTCATCCTGTTAGCATGTTTGGAAACTGATGAATCACAGGGGGTGGTCAGTTTGAGTCCTGACTTGAAGGGATATTCCGGCGTAAAATTAATTTGGGATCAAACATACCATAACATCGAGTTAGACACCCCCTCGAGGGATTAATGTTGCCGACCGCTTGCTTCTCTAGTTACAGCAACTTAAGTAACGACTGCAGGATAGCAATACACAGCAGTCTGAGGAGCCATAAACAAACCTCAACCAAAAAGCCACTCTATAGCCACAAATAATACTCAGAACAGCACCTAACTTCAGCAAGAGTACATATAGGATCCGAGCCATAGTACTAGCCACCAAACATCTTTTTAACTTTGACTAATTTCTTTAGCAAAGAGACTAAACACAACTCACCTACACTCTTCCAGCAGCCGCTTGTTTGTAGTGAGACCTTGGGCCAGTCCATTACGGACTGCAGCGGGGTGACGCAGCTCAAGGAAGAACATATATGATCATTACTTTATCATTTCCTTGAGGTAATAATCATCATATTAATCATTTTGCACTGCAGACATGGTAGTTCTTCTGCCTTAGCATCTCGGTCTGATGGCATTTCCTCAGACCGCTGTGTATTGCTATCCTGCGGTTGTTACTAAAGTTGGTATAACTAGAGAAGCAAGCGGTCGGCAACATTCATCTCTTGAGGGGGTGTCTAACTCGGTGTTACGGTGTGTTTGACCCTAAATTAAGTTTACGCCGAATGTCTCCCTTGAAGATCAGTGTCTCACTGTGACTCAAAGACTCAGGCCTGACTTCAGCTGAACTACAGACATGATATCAACAGTGAGTGACTTTACTGTTTATTTGTGTTTGTGTGTGTCTGCAGGCATATGGCCACACACTCTCCACAGAAGACCCACCAGTGCTCGTTCTGTGAGAAGATGTTCCACCGTAAAGACCACCTGAAGAACCACCTGCAAACCCATGACCCCAACAAAGAGGCCTTCAAGTGTGAGGAGTGTGGGAAGCACTACAACACCAAGCTGGGGTACAAACGCCACGTGGCTATGCACTCGGCCACTGCTGGGGATCTTACCTGTAAGGTGTGCATGCAGACGTTTGAGAGCACGCCGGTTCTTCTGGAACACCTCAAGAGCCACTCCGGGAAGTCTTCAGGGGGCACGAAGGAGAAGAAACATCCGTGTGACCACTGTGACCGCCGCTTCTACACCAGGAAGGATGTGAGGCGCCACATGGTGGTACACACCGGTCGGAAGGACTTCCTGTGCCAGTACTGCGCCCAGCGTTTCGGCAGGAAGGACCACCTGACGCGCCACGTGAAGAAGAGCCACTCCCAAGAGCTGCTGAAGATCAAGACGGAGCCTCCGGACATGCTGGGTCTGCTGGCGTCGGGGTCGCCGCCCTGTTCAGTGAAGGAGGAGCTCAGCCCCATGATGTGCGGCATGGCACCCAACAAAGACCCCATGATGGGCAAACCCTTCCCTGGAGGGCCCCCCTTCCCCATGGGCATGTACAACCCCCACCATCTCCAGGCCATGTCCAACTCTGGCGTGGGTCACCCCCACCCTTCCCTCATGCCCCCCTCCCTGTCTGCAGCCATGGGCATGGGCTGCCACATGGAGTCCCCCGGTTCTCTCCACCCACACTCCCTGCACCACCACCACCACCACCACCATCACCACCATCACCATTCCCCCCCGCTGCCCCCCCACCACCAGCCCCCTGCCCCCCAGCAGCAGCACCAGCCCCAGCAGGCCCCCAAGTACCAGCTGGGATCTACCTCATACCTGCTGGACAAGCCCCTGAAGGTGGAGATGGAGAGCTTCCTCATGGATCTGCAGAGTGCCTCGCCGGGCCCAGTTCCCTCTGCGGACCCCCATGCCGCTGCCTCGCCCCCCAAGGACGGACTGGAGCCCTCCGCGGGGCTGGCGGATGAGCTGTGTGGGGACCCCCTCCTGTCCAAGAGCCCTGCGGTGATCGCTGAGTCTCTGTGTGCTGCTAACATGGACCTCTCCCACCTGCTGGGCTTCCTGCCCCTCAACCTGCCCCCCTACAGTGCCCCCATGAGCACGGGAGGCCTGGTGATGGGCTACACCTCATCTGCAACCTCCTCCTCCTCCTCTATCTCCTCTTCCTCATCTCTGCATGCTGCAGAGCCGCACGCCGCTGCAGTCGCTGCAGCAGCAGCCGCCGTCACCACGGCACCTCTTACCTCTTTGCAACCGCAACCTCAGGAGCCGCAGAGCTCCAGCGGGGGCCTGAACCTCGGACCCCTGCACCCCCTCCCATCAGTGTTCAGCTCCAGCCTCAGCACCACCACACTGCCTCGCTTCCACCAGGCCTTCCAGTGAGAGCCCGCCCCCCGGCCCTGCTCCCCGCCCAGACATGCCGAGGGGGCCGACACCCCCAGCCTCAGCTCGGCCCTGCTCGGCTGTTTGGAGCTGAGGTTCGAGTCAGGGCCCGATTAAAAAAAAGTCTGATCAGAATAAAAACTGAACATGTGAAGCCTTAAAGAGAGCGCACAAGACAGGAAGTTAACCCTTAAGAAACAGGAAGTTAACCCTTTAAACAGACAGGAAGAAGGTGAGCAGAGAGTTAAAGCAGCTTTTATTTTGGCGTTTTCTTCCTTTAGTTATAACCTCGTATTAACCCATTATTGTATCAGCAGTTACTCCCTCCCATGGTAGTCATGTAGAGGCAGCATCAATAGGCCTGAAGGCGTGGTTCTGCAAACTTTCTAAAGTAATAATATTAAAAATCAAAGATCATTTTAGTGAAGATTATCGTTCTTGTTGTGACCCAGAAAAAAAAAGATTTAGTTTGAAGTGGATATTTTGTTTTTCTTCTTTTACTTTTCTAATGTAAGGATCATTTTAGGACGCGTCTCATCTGGAGTTTAAACCTGGAAAAACCTGAAACTGTCCCCACCAGCAGTCAGAGAGATCAGAGAAGGAATGAAGAAATAATCCTCCAAACAGCCATGATATATATAAAAAAAAAAAAAAAAACACCTGCCTGTAGAAAAAGAAAAAGTGCTCTTCAAATAAGACAGTAAAAATGTCCCTTAATTTGACTGTTTCCTGATGTGCTGGTAGTCAGGCCAGTTTGGAGTCAGATTTCTCTCTAAAGCTCAAACTCACACTGTGAGGCAGAGATTTAATATCACCTGTAACTCTTCCTCCTGAGAACTGTCAAATACTTTTCTGAGGTCAACGCTAAAATGACAAACAGGAAACAAATTCAAACCAAAAACTGAAACACATCCTCCTTTTCTGGTGCGAGACTGAAAAACAAAGTAAGGAATAAAATCCGGTGAATGGATTATCAAGTGACACAGAAATCAAAGTAAAATGTCAAAATAAAAGCCTGAATCTTTTTTACTACCTCCTCTAAAGCAATATTTAATCAAAGAAATAAATAAACTACATTAAAAAAACAACAATAAACTTATAAAAACAGAACAAAAACAAACAAAAATGTTTCTTAATTACCATATTTCACAAGAAAACAGCAAAAATAAGTGAAAGAAAAAGCCGAAAATATGAAACATCACTGTGCATGTCTGAAAATATACAGACAACAATAAAGATCACTTAATTTTATTTTCATAATTTTAATTAAGTTTTAAAATTATTAACTATTTTAATAATATTATAATTAAAATATATAACATTAATATTTCAGATGCAGCGCAGACAGATCAGCACTTGTTTTTCATTCAGTTTTTCTATTATGTAACTTTGTTTTATCGCCAGGCAGATGGAGCTGCCACTAGATGGCAGTAAAAGCGCATTTTTACACCAATTATTGCTCATGCTAACACTAATAAGACGGAGACTGCTAGTGATTGGCTCAAACATTGTGTGTATGCTGAAGGCAATTGTAACTTTATATCCAAGGCAGTCTTTGTTCTAAGGTGCCACCCACATTTAAGCGTCTACGTTAGTGACCATGGGGGTGCTGGTCTGGAAATAAGGTGCAAAAGTGGCGTATTGCTACATTGAGTAAGCAGCAAGTGTCTGTCCCTCAGCCAAAACCTACTTGGAAAAATAATACACTTACTGTTACTAACTAGGGCCAATCTGTTACATGGGCTTTTATTTTGAAATTTTACATGAAGAAAAAAATAAATGTATCCATCAGAGAAACTGAGGACCCTATCATGAGCTGAGCACAAAGAGTCTAACTGTGCAGGTGAGGGTCATTCTTTTATTTTACCTACTCGAGTCTGAATTTTAATGAAAAGTGACTTGGTTAGTGACCACATCAGCACCGACATTGGCGATCATGTTAGCACTCTGTGGGTGTTAAGATGGCTTGTTGCTGTATTGAGGAAGCAGAAAGTCTGCACCTTATACCAACAAAGACCAGGTCCATTTAAGAATATAGACACTGCTATCTATTCTAGTCCCTGGGCTTTTATTTTGGAAATTTTCCCATGACTGCTATGTCATTTCTCTTTTCTTTTCTTTTTTTTGTAAAATCAAACAAAGACTTGGACAAACACAATATGTGGCTGTTTTTAAAGTCCCCCCCTCTTTTTAGAGTTTTAGTCCAAAAATCAGTAAAAGAATCTCTGAACTTCTATTTTACTGTTTTTGGTTTTAATTTGAAAAATCCACCAAACGAGCTGTTTCCTCCTTTCTCATTTTAAAACCTCAGAAAAAAAAACAAACAGCCTGAGAGGAGAGGACCCAGAGAAGCACTTTTTAGCAGAAGGCACTTCACTTTTAGGAACCTCAGCAGGAAACCTTCGTCTCCTTCCTCCTCACCTCTGGAGACAAAGTCTTCCTCCTCCTCCTCTCTCTCATCCCCCTCTTCCTCTCCTCCTCCTCCTCCTCCTCCTTCCTTCTGAGGGAGCTGCCTCCTCCTGGTAAAGGACCCTGACATATGTGAAAGGTAAACAGACAGAGACAGGTGAGGACAGGTGTGTGTAATGGTGAATGTTATTGCAGTGTACGAAGTATCTCAGATGAATATGAATATGATGATTATTGCTTTGATCTCAGTAAAGGTGTATTTAGGTATTAAGCGGATGTGTTGATGTCTGGCAGGTTTACAGTTTGTGTGTTTCTTGCTTTTTTGATCATATGGATGAAGTATTAGCTTTCCTTGAAGCTTCCTGTCAGATCTTTACCTGTACTTGTAGGAGAGTCAGCGTGGCTGCATCAGGACTGTGGGCGGGGCCATCTGTGGTGCCTGTTAGTGACCCATGGTCAGGTAGATTGGACAGATAGACTGATGCCCCTCAGTGTGAGGGGGTTTTAGATCTTTTAAAACTTTTCACCAGCAGCCTTTCTAACCTGAGCCCAAAGCTTCAGCGGCAGACCGCTGCTCCCCATCTGACCTGATGTCTGCAGCTGCAGAAAGAGGGCGGAGCCTCTGCATCACCTGTCACATTGTCTATTCTCAGACGAGCCCCCTGCCATGAGATATGTCGAGAAAAACGGAAAAAAAAAAGAAAAAAAAGAAAAAGGAAAGAGAAAAATCAAACTCACACTTTGCTGCTTCCAGCTACGATTGCTCCTCGAAGGCAACGTAGACCATGAACATTTCAGTTTACTGCAACCTGGACGAGCTGAAACATGCACAACCTGAACCCGCAGAGTCTTCATCACCCCCTCCCCCCTCTTTACTCTCCTCACCCTCCTCACCCTCTCTCAGCTGCTCGTAGAGTCAGAGGAAAAGGGTCTGACAGTTTCCGGATGATTCCCGTCTTTGACATTCAAAGCTCGGGGGACTCGCGACTGACTTGGACTCGGCGTTGCTCATAGTTGTTTGTTTGTTTGTTTGTTTATTGTCATTTGATATGAATTTATTTTCTGTTTGTTGAAAACAGGACCTCGATAAACAACACAACACATCACCTCATTTTTATTTGTTATTTTCTTACCAAAACCTGGGGAGAAGAAACTGCTTCTCACGCCATCATCCCTTCTTGAAGACCAGAGCCAGCCTGAGCACTGATCAGAAACCTGTCTGCAGTCTGACTGTTCAATTTGTGGTTCTGATCTGATCTGAGTTATTCTTGCTCTGTCCCCCTGCAGCGTCATTAACGTGAAAATGAGCTGTAAAAAGAAAAGATCAACGTGTGATCCTAAATAGATTTACTGTCAGCACCTTCCTGAGAATTATATGAAAGAAAAAAAGTCTAAATTCAAATCTGATCTCTATGAAAACCTTCAAAAAAGGTGTTTTTAAGAAAAACTCTTCTGGCTGAAGCCGAAATTTGTAGCAATCAAATTGAGCATTTGTATTTTTCTATGAAATACTCCTTTAGTTTGAACAGAAAGAAAAGCTTTTGGCCTGTTTAAGTTTGTCCTCCCTGGGTTTCTGTGAGCTAATCTGAATTCTAGCACTTTCAACCTTTAAAAGAGTATTTTTTTTTCTTTAAATTTCAGCTTATATGTTCATATGTTTTTAATTTTGTATTGATCCTGTATATGTACGTGCCATTAGTTTGATGTGTAGACTTGATGTATTTCTCTTCTCCAAAAGAATAACAGTATTTTTGATAGATTTCCACTAATATCCCTCTACATATGAGCCCCTCCTCCTTTCTTTTCTCGTTATTTTTGGTAACCAGCTTTGCTTCTCCAACACTCATCCATTCAAGCTGCAGCCGAGAGCAGAGGAGCAAAACTGGCAGCATCATGTGTTATTCTGAGGAAGAGACGGTTTGTAGCTTAGAGACAAACCACAAATCAACCACAGGCTGTGGCGACATCTCCACCTGCAGACGTTTGCAGAACGAGTAACTGAACAGAAAGACGACCCCAAAGGAAAGCACTTAGACCCACTGAGCGAGCTGCTCCCAGACTGTAACGCACCAACAGCCCGGAGACCAGGTTATAAATCAGACTCAGAGCTGAGCTGCAGGCCTGAGGACAGGCTCAGGACTTTATTTCAGCTGAGAGCGCAGAGGACTGACCAGGGTGGAGCAGGTGGAGGTGGATCAAAACTTAAACCCTGTATTAGACAAATTTAAACGGACTGAAATCAGCCTGAGCTGATTTACTCTGAGTAAACAGACTAATGCTCATCTTTACTGGGATCTGGGCCATCTTTACTCAGAGAGGATTTTATGTGAGATTATACTAGGAAAAAAATTCAAATTAAGATTAAAAAACACACTTATTTGATTTTTCCTCAGTGGGAAATTTCTTCTGCACAAAAGCACAAACAGGTTTGGAGGAACAGACTCCAATTTTAACTTGTAAAATACTTTATAACTCATAAAAATTGTTCAATGCTTTAACCTGAAACTTAACTGCGTATCACATGATCAGAAACAATTAAAATTTTAATTAATTTTTTAACATGTCACAAAGTTGATGTTATTTTTATTATTTTTTTAAACTAAAATTTAAGAAGCAACAACATTTAAAGCTGCAGTCTGTAGAATTTAAAGGTGCAGTCTGTAAACTTCAGAGCTGCTGTCTTTAGAATTTAATCAATCCTGGAGCCTTTCCTGAGCCTGTCTCCTAACCCCTGACCTCTGACCTCCGACAGTGCTGCAGCTTTTGCTCCTCGGCCCGGCTGTGGCTCCGTTACCTCGAGCTGCACCTCCTCTGGATGCTCCTCTCCTCACCTCCTGGTCTCCAGCAGGAGGTGCAGAGCTCAAACCTTTAAGGGAATTTAATCTGAAGAATCCTGAGATTTTACAGATTCTCTCTCTCTCTTTCTCTTTCTCTCTCTATCTCTCTCTCTCGCTCTCTCTCTCCGTCTCCCTCCTTTTATCTTCTTTAGTTAAACTCTGGGTACTGTCTGCTGCAGACCACATGTAGGTTTATATATTTTAGCTTATTGTAAGTCGTGCATTCCAGCCTCTTTGTGTATCTTTTTAGTGACATAGCCCTTTATTTTGATCACAGCCACCTCTGGAAGAAAAAGGTGAAGAGACACAGATCATTCATGTACACTATTTTCTACAGTGTGGAGTTTCTGGACTACAGGGAGAGTCGTGTCAGAGAGACAGACAAAAAAGATGCTTTTGTTACATATCTCACATGCAATCAGTTGCTGCAATGTAAAAGTGACGGATTTGTATATTGGTTGATCCAAAGAGATGATGAACACAACAACAGAACTATGACTTATTGTACAGTACAGTGTATCTTTGAGTTGTCATGTGTTATGTTGAAATGATTAAAAGACAAACCAGCGGTTTCATACTTTCTGTCTCTGCTTTTCTTTCTTTATCTCTCTGCTGTTAAAGTGAAGAAATCACCCTTTTTTGTCTGGGAACCTTTTCTGCTAATTGGACTTTTTACCTCCGCCAAGGAGGTTATATTTTTGGAGGCATTGGTTTATTTGTTTGTGAGTTTGTTTGTCTGTTAGCAACTTTATGGAGAAAGTTACAGACGGATTGACCTGAAATTTTCACCAGAGGTGCGTCTCAGCCCCAGGAGGATCCCATTACATTTTGGTGGTGATCCAGATCGCCTTCTGGATCCAGGAATTTTTTGAAGGATTCTTTATCATTGTGAGATAGGGCAAATGTTGAAATTTTTGCATTTAACTATAAAAATGGCCAGAGTCTTTAGTAAAAAATTACACAAAAGGATCTCAGTGAGTTTTATGAGGTGTCAAAGGTTGATCCTGATCCAGACAAAATTCCGGATACTGTGATCCAGAACACACAAAAATAAGGGTGTTGTTGGAATTTTCAATGCTGAAAGATAACCAATGGGCGGCACAGTGGTGTAGTGGTTAGCACTGTCGCCTCTCAACCAGAAGGTCCTGGGTTTGAATCAAAGTCATGGCATTTCTTGTTTTAGGAACATGATGAACAGTGAACATACCAGTTTAAACACAAATAAAAGTTAATAAAAGACACGTAACAGTAAAAGTTTTGGTGTGAATCACAATAGAAGGCGGGACATGAGCTGCTTGGCGGAGGTCTGCGCTCTCTGAGTGCTTTTCTAGTTTATTTTATATCATGCATCATGTATTATATATTGTATTTAGGATGCACTTTAAGTCCTAAAGGCCAAGTCTGCTGCATGCACACCTGAACTGTTTGGTCCAGGTAACACAAACCTAGCCTGGCTGGGCCATCCTGTTGCGTGAATCACTTGACGTTCCTTCCCAAAACAGTCTGGACTTCGGCCCATTGGAAGCCCTGAAAGTGGGTGGGAGTACTTTCCTTGATAGACAGACTACTGTAACCAATCACCGTAACCAAGCATGTGACATCATCACAGATGCTTGGTTACGGTGATTGGTTACAGTAGTACATGGACCAATCAGGGGCTGCCTTTCCCTGTTGTCCGGGTAACAGTGGAAACACGGTCTCTGATTGGCCCTGTTATTTTCAGATCGGGCATACACGATCTCTATGGGCCGAAGTCCAGACTGTAGTGGGAAGGAACGTCAAGTGACTCACGCAACAGGATGGCTCAGCCAGGCTAACACAAACCCTGGTCTTGGGTGATCAATTCACTGCTTGGCATCTGTGTTACCATGGTAACATGTCATCTGTGTGGACTCACTTATCTAATATAAAAATCATCACACTGACTGCCCCCAGCCTCATACTGGACATCTGCTTGTCAAACATGTTATTCTATGAACACCAAAGAAAAAGCTGAAACAGCAGGATTTTAGATATCTGCTCTGTTGTTTATGTGGGAAACAAACCCCTCCATCATTCATTCTTCATTCTTTTGATTCTTCATCAAATCATTCTTACTATTCACGCATTATTCATTTCTTTAAACAAACTTAAACTCATTCAAACTGGTTCAAACCTTTCTGATTCTTTAAAGCTTTTTCATACTTGAGGGTCTGTAATAATTAAATTTTCCAAACATAGAACTTTTTTTATTCATGCATTATTACCTCCGCCAAGGAGGTTATGTTTTTGGTAGCGTTGGTTTGTTTGTTTGTCTGTTAGCAACTTTACAGAGAAAGTTACAGACGGATTGACCTGAAATTTTCACCAGAGGTGCGTCTCAGCCCCAGGAGGATCCCATTACATTTTGGTGGTGATCCAGATCGCCTTCTGGATCCAGGAATTTTTTGAAGGATTCTTTATCATTGTGAGATAGGGCAAATGTTGAAATTTTTGCATTTAACTCTATAAAAATGGCCAGAGTCTTTAGTAAAAAATTACACAAAAGGATCTCAGTGAGTTTTATGAGGTGTCAAAGGTTGATCCTGATCCAGACAAAACTCCGGATACTGTGATCCAGAACACACAAAAATAAGGGTGTTGTTGGAATTTTCAATGCTGAAAGATAACCAATGAAGATACAAGGAAGTGTACACTTACAAATATTGCATAATAAATCAATAAATCAGTGAACATACCAGTTTAAACACAAATAAAAGTTAATAAAAGACACGTAACAGTAAAAGTTTTGGTGTGAATCACAATATAAGGGGGGACATGAGCTGCTTGGCGGAGGTCAGTGCTTTTCTAGTTACATTTATTTTTGTTTCACTTTGTTCCTTTGAAAAGTCCCTCTTAGTCTATATAAAGAAATAAGACAGTGAAGTTAAAAAAATCCTGCTAGGTTCCAGTTTATTTGCAGCAGAGCCTTTGGTAACAGTTTACAATAACCATAACTTATAAATGGTAAATAGACCATTTATAAATGGTAAGCAGATAGTTTATTAATGTTTAATCATCATTTGTAAATAGCATATAGACCATTAATAAATTGTAAATTTTACGTTTTTAAAAACCTAACCCTGACCCTAACTTTACAATAACCATCTAAGTAATGTTTATAGATGGTTTAAAAACCAAATATTAACCATTTACAAAGTCCTACTGACACACATTTTAATCTAGATGTCTTACAACCAATATTTAAACCCTATATAAACCTTCAATAAATAGTCCATTAATAATAAATGAAAATTATTAATCATAATTTCATTGCTTCTTAATGGTAAAGTAATTATGAACTTACATTAATAAACTATCTATTTGCCATTTATAATTGGTCTATATGCTGTTTTTAAATGATAATAAACCATCTATTTACCATTTATAAATTATGGTTATTGTAAAGTGTTACTGAGCCTTTTTTTTAAAAGCGGCCTGAAGCTTCCTGACTTTAAAATTTATCTTGAAGCTAATTTTTTAAAATGTTGCCGCATTCAGAAGACAAAAAGATCAAATGGCTTTAAAGTAAGAACATGAACTGCTAAAAAATAAAGCTGTGTTCAATTACTAGGGGTGTGATTTACTCTGGAGACATCAGTAACAGAGCAGGGCCTGAATTCCGATACCCCAGCAACACTTCAAAATTTGACAGTAACGAAGAGCTGGAAAGAGACTTATGAACAGGAGCTGTTCTTTGTAGTTTTGAGCTTCTATCTCAAAAATTTTTACTCCTTCCTTTATTCCTCATTCGCTCTCCTTGTCTTCTTTTCTGTCCCCTCAGTGACAGCAGAGAAAGATCTGAAATAATCTGCATACAAGAAACAACGATAAAACTTAAAGAGATCAGATTAACTGACCTGGAGGATGATACCTGCTCCAGGCCAGAAAAACACTGTCAGACCATCAGTCTGCAGCTGGAGCGCTCTATGAAGAGAAAACAGAGAACCAAGAAACCAAAAATTGCTGCAAAAATCCTCCTAAAATCTTTTTCTGTGTGTGTGAGTGAGTAAGTGAGTGTGTCTGACCTCAAGACTGGACCAGAGTCTGGACTCTGTCTCAGAACTGTGTGCATAGCTGAGTCTCGCAGTTAGCCTAATTATAGTCGCCTGAAGCTAACCTATACTTACACGCTACTACTAAACATACACACACACACACACACACACACACACACACACACACACACACACACACACACACACACACACACACACACACACACACACACACACACACTGTGCCATGAGGCAGGAATAGAAAGCAAGGAGAAAACTGCAGAGCTTATAAAGACAGTTTGAGGAGATGGAGAGAGAGAGAGAGAGAGTAAGAGAGAGAAAACACAGACTCTGTAATGTGGTCGTAGAGGTTCAGAGACATGAGTTCAAACCAGGAATCAACACATTTATACACACACGTAAACATCTAATCTTGTCCAGAGTTGTTGGGAATGCTCTTAAATTTAGGAGGACAAAGGCGTTGACCATTAGGAGGCGGCGGAGCTGGATGTTCACCAATAGGATACAGTCGAGCTGGATGTCTGTCTGAGTTATAGCGATAGTTCAGAGGACAGTCTGCTTAATGTTTACATCCTCTTGTTTCTATGGTAACCATGATCTGGAGTTTAATCAATATCAATAAAAGCGAACACAATAAAATGATCTTTTGGAAAGATCACAAACACCCTGATGGTAAAAAGTTATTTTCATAACAGCGATTACCATTTGCTCATTAAATCGTTACCATGTGTGCACTCAATATAATTATCTCATGCACACAAGAGAGTGCTTGTGCGTAAAACATAATACTGTGAAACCAAGTAACCCTGTGTGCACAGAAAAGGTATCTCTCTCTCTCACTCACACACACAAGAACATTATCTTGTGCATAAAACAATTTGATATTGATGTTTTTTAATCATTACAAACAACATCACAAAAAGTTTTCTATCAACTTGTTTCTCAACTCTGTAAAGGTGATCTCTTTCACTTCAAGATTAAGTTTTCATATGATCTTTGTTTGGGGCCTGACGATATTATCAGGGTTATTTAGACATTTCAAAGACAAGCTCACAGAGATGGGAGTGGATCCTTCCTGTGTTTCCTGGATCGTAGATTACCTGACAGGAAGGCCACAGTTTGTCAGGTTGGAGAACTGTGTTTCTGGGACATTAATGAGGAGTACAAGGGACAGTGCTGGCGCCATTCCTGTTCACACTGTACACGTCAGACTTCAAATACAGCACTGAGTCCTGCCACATCCAGAAATACTCAGATGACATTGCTATTGTGGCATGTATCAGAAATGGACAAGAAGCTGAATACAGAGATCTAATAAGAGCCTTCAGTGACTGGAGTCACAAAAACTGCCTCCTCCTCATCACCTCAAAGACAAAGGAGATGGTCATAGACTTCTGTAGATCCAAACCCCCTCTTCAGCCAGAGAACACCTGTGGAGTGGACATTGAAGTCGTGACATCATATAAATACCTAGGTCTACATCTGGATAGTAAGTTGGACTGGTCTAAGAATATAGACTTCATCTACAGAAAGGGGCAGAGCCGCCTCTTTTGCCTGAGAAGACTCCGATCAGTAGACATCTGTAGTAAGACGCTGCAGATGTTTTATCAGTCTGTGGTGTCTACAGTGTTCTGTTCTACGCTGCAGTCTGCTGGGGAGGAAGCATCAAACACAAACATGCAAGACGTCATTACAAACTGGTGAAAAAGGCTGGCTCTGTGGTTGGACTCAAGCTGGACTCAGTGGAGGAAGTGGTGGAGAGATCTACACTGAGGAAGGTGGAGGCTATTCTAAAGAACATGGATCACCCACTTCACAACACCTTGATGGACCAAAGGGCCAATGGTGGTAGACGGTTCCTCTCACTTCGCTGCAGGACAGAAAGATTTAGAAGATCTTTTGTACCCACAGCCATCAGACTTTATAATTATTCTGTAAATAGTAGATGACTTTCAAATTGACATGACAAATGAGACGACAGACAATTGAATTTCCTTTCGGGGATCAATGAAGTTCTTCTTTCTTTCTTTCACATCGACGGTCTGACATTAAACCACAAACATGTCCCAAACACAGCTGAGGCTGATTTTAATATTCAACCCATCACTTTATTATTTTAACTTTGTACAGTTTGTAATCCGACATTCTGTAAAAGAAAGAAAAAGAGAAAATGAACAGAAAGTTTTTTCTTTGAGTCACCATGAGCGTCATGCTTTTGGCTAAAACAAAGACAGAATCATTACAGAGAGCGCCACGAACAGAGAAACGCAACAATACAGAGCACTTCTCTTTATGTACAACTGAGACTCACTCACTCACTCACGCACGCACACACGCTCACAGACACACGCACACTCATGACCTGGCCCTCTTCAAGTCTGTCTGTAAAAATCTCCTCGGCACTTTCGCATGAACAGCAGTCAGAGCTCAGAGACTGAGAACAGAGAAGGAGGAGGAGGAGGGTCAGAGTGGACAGGTATCAGAGACCAGGACAGAGCAGCTGCCATTTCTGTCTCTAGGCTGGTGGTCTCTGTCCCTCTCAACTGTTGGACTGATGGATCTGAAGGAGGAGAGGGACCAGGAAAGTTTAAGAGGATCTGGGATGATCTGGTCTTTCTCCTCCCCCTCTGTAACAGCTCTGCATCCATACATCACACACACCTCTGTGCAAACCACAAGCTGTTTAAAAGCATGAACTGAACCAATTTAACCCATCACCATCAGATAACAGATGTTCAACATTTATCAGCCTGTTAAAGTTTGTGGTTTTTTCACCTCCATTAAACCGAGTTTGGAACCGGAGTTTTGCTGGATTAACGCAGCAGCGGGGAACCTCCAAAAGCGACTGTAGATTAGTTCTGATCTTGTTCATTTGCTGAAATTGAATGCAACAAGACTAAAAATGATCAAAAGTTCCCAGAACCCGAAGTGATCTCTTTAAATCACTTCTTCATTCCACACCCACAGACTGAATGGAGCAAATGCTAACTTTAAAAAAGACAGAACCATGTTTGACATTTCTGCTCAAAAAAAAAAAAAAAAAATGACAGAGCCATTACTGGATTATCAAAATGATTTTCCTTCAGCCAACAAATTATCTTACACTTCAGCTCTGGTCCTCAGATAGATTATGAGGTTATGAGGAGAGTTTATGAAACACTCGACAACAAACAACCCCAATTTCCTGAAGACTTAGGACACCGTGTAAAATGATAACAGAGTATGATGGTTTGCTGACATCCAGACAATGACCTTCATAGTTCTGCAAGACAATGACAAACCAGTTTCTGCAGGGATTACAACAGCATGGCTCTGTAGTAGAAGAGTCCTGTTAATAAACTGGTCTGCCTCAATCCTGACCTGTCCCCCATTGAAGAAGGAGACCCTGGACTGATCCTCTATCAGGCAAGAATGGGACAACTCTTCACTTTAAAAAACTCCAGAAACTGGTCAGCTAGGTTCACTAAGGTTTACAGGAAGTTGGGGAAAATGAGCTGATGATGACACACATTAAGAAGTACTTTTGACAGATGTCAAATTTAAAATGAGCAGATCAATTTTTCATTAAAAACATTTTTTATGTCTCAACATCTGATCTATTCTTGGCTTTATTCTTAAATAACCTACAAGATTCATAAACCATCAAATCCTGTCTTCATACATATTTAACACAGTGTCCAAAATTTTCTGGAATCAGGGTTGTCGTGTCTTTGACAATTGGATGTGCTCGTATGACAGCATTAAAGCTGCCATGAGGAACGTGTTGTTTCGACTCTGGCGCCCCCTATGGACAAAAGACTACCGCTTGCTGATTATTGTGTAAAATGGTGTTTTACAATGAAAAGTTTCATCCTGGTATTTTTTCACAACCATGTGTATCGCTCCGGTGTTCCCTCAGGTGTGCTGTAAAGTCTCTCCTTTGACACCACCCACTCACAGCAGCTCTGGGTGTTAAAAAACCACAATGAAGAAAAGATTTCTCTGTCCTTCTTTGCTTTTTTAAGTCTTAAAAAAAGCAGCAGTTTCATACCCAGATAAAAACTTCACCCTGGTGTTTCAGACAGAAACTGTTAGTCTCTCCAGAGATTAAATCAGATTATGTGATCAAACATTGGACTAAATGTGGATTTGGACTAAAAATGGACTAAAATTGGACTTTGGACATTGGGCTTAAAATGGACTCTCTGTGATTAGGATTACTATGCAGTTTGATTGACTTATACTAGATTTTTTGTATTTCAGCCTTAGTATTACAGCTGTGTTGGCTCTAACAATCATTTCATCAGGTTCAGCCCACCCTTTAAAAGCAGGTTTGGGTAATTCTGCTGAAAATAGAGAAAATCAGAGTCACATGAATAAAACTCCAGACTATCATTAGTAAAGAAAACGCAGTAACTGAGGAGTATGTGCATCAGAGTGCACAAACACTGACTGTACAGATCTGAAAAGAACACATAAAGGTTTCACTTCACTGCTCTGACTCCGCCCACACAGCCTCACGCTGAGCTCTACCTGCACAGGTAGAAACTCTGACAGGTGACCCTGCAGCCTGTCAGTGATCATTCTTCATGTTAAAGACAAACATGTAGAGAACATTAGATTCACACACACTCAGAGAAACGGTCCGTAGGATAATCAGTTTGCTCTTTCTTTGCATACTGCAGAGATCAGCGGCTCTGCTAATGCTACGACCACAGCGAGTGTCAGTGTTTCAGTCCTCTTCCTCATCCTCTCTGCAGCTCTTCATCGTTCAGCATCCTCCTCGGCTTCAGTCCGTCACGCTCCGAGCTGTGGTGATAAGAGAGCTGATACTCTGAGGACAGCTGTTTAACATGGTCACACCAGAGACATGGAAATAGAGTAAAAAAACAACAGTACATTTAATTTATCTGCTCTGTTCTTACACTGAACAACTTCCCGACATAATTCCCATCAGATCAGTCCAACACAATAACAAGAACGCCACACTTAGACTCCCTGTCCACCTTTGAGCTCAGGGGACCAGGAGGACTTCTCAAAGCAGAGAGAAAAGGAGGAGGAGGAAGGACAGATGAGATGGAGAGAGGAGGAGGAGGAGGAGGAGACGGCAGAGAGAGAAATAAAAACCTGATAAATTAACAAACAAAAAGAGAAAGGTGCAGAATTTTTTGACAAGCTTTGGCCCGCTGTGCTGTGTGCAGGAGAAACAGTCCCATCAGAGGGGGGTGGTCCTCTGGGTCTCTGTCCTGGAAGGAGGAGGGGGGACTGAAGCAAAGGGGGGTGGGAGAGGGTGAGACAAACAGCCGGCTTAGCACTGAAACCCTGCTGTTCTCCCTCATGAGGCCAGTAGGGGGGGCTGAAACGCCGTAAAAAGCAGCCCTGCCTGTTCCCTCCACACACAAGTCAGTGCTTGTAGGACACGTAGAATAAAAAATATGTACATTAAACAGAAAAACTGAGTGTGACGAAAATAGGAAAGAAGGAGGGGAGCAGCGGCAGCAGCGATCAGTCGATCTTCACGGCGGCGTAGATTTTCCTGATGAACATGTAGGCGGCGTAGAAGCCGATCGTCCCCGTCAGCAGCCAGAAGGAGAGGACCATGAGAGCGGTGTAACCGAAGTACAGCAGGGAGGGGATGAACTCCACGATGTCCAGCTGAGGAGGACGAGGAGGAGGGGAGGTGAAGAGGAGGGTTTAGTCTCTGCACTGATTTTATTTACCTCCTGATATCGGTGCTTTGTGTAAAAATTACTTCAAAAATACAGACTGAACAGATGGGATTCAAAGAAGCTCTCTGAGTAACACAGCCTTTCTGCTCTGGTTTCATTAACCTGTCAGGATAATGATCTTAGCTCCTGAGTAAGGTGTGAATCAAACGTTATCAAGATGAAAAAGTCTCCATAAACTATGGAGGCCCTGAAGGTCAACTGCACAAACATTTAGAGACCTTACAAAACACGGCACTGAATGCCAAAAATAAAAAAGGCACATTTCCCTGAAGCCAAAAAGGTTTTATCTAACACAAAAATGCTTCATGAAAAATGAAAATATTGGATTTTATGTGATGCACAAAAAAAAAGTCCCCAAACACCAAAAATATTTCCAGAAATAAAAAAATGATCAAACATTTAAGTATGGTAAGAGCTTAAAAAGAAATAGGTCCGTTTACACAAAAATATTTTGAAATTAAATCTGTGAAATGTTGGTTTCTCTCGAATGTTTGTGCATTTTTTTTAAAAGCAGTTCCTTATAATTTTGTGTTTTTATCAAATATTTTAGTTTCATGAAACACTCTTCTATGTTGTGGGATATTTTTGTATTTAATAGAATATTTGTATGTTTGAAGAAATGCTTGCTCAGTTGACCTTCAGGGCCTCCGTAGTTAACTTTTTGTGAAAGACACATTTTCACAGAGTAACGTGCTGTTATCTGCACCAGTGTTTCCACTGTAGATATTTTATTGTAATGTGCTGAAGGTGAAGTATTACTAAATAATTACAATACAGCTTTATATTTCTGATATCAACTGACGTGAAAACTGACTTTTCTGGGAAAATACGTGAGTTAAGTTTCAAAAATATATTTTTATGTATTTATATCCTGTGTAACCTTGATATCCATGATTTTTAAATTATTTTTATTTATTCATTTTACTTCTTCTCCTATCCTATTTCATACGTGCTTATCTTGTATTGATCAATAAAATATTGTTTAAGCTTATACTGTCTTGCTTATACTGTCTTATAAAGTTATTTGACAGAGGTGTTTGCTAGAACTTGAAGTCAAAATATATCTGTATTACCTTGTTGACAAAGTAGAAAACTGCATAAACAAGGACGTAGAACGCTGAGCCTCCTGAAACCAGGAATGTTCTCCACCACCACCGATAGTCCTGACAGAGAAACACAGAGGAACAGCGTGAGGACAGAGGAAATGACACCGTTTATGTTATCCTTCAAAAAAGAAGAGACATTGTCCAATAAAAGGGGAAAAGCTTTCAGAAATCACAGCAGGAAATCCTCCATTTCCTGCTTCATGATTTAAGGTCAGTCAGTCTGCAGCTCTGCTCACAGCCCCTCTCAGCTGGTCTGAACTCACCTCTGCACAGAGCTGGAAATAGACCATCACAATGCTGATCTGAGAGCAGGACACCACCAGGATGATAAAGACCAGGAACAGGAAGCCAAACAGGTAATAGAACTGGTTCTCCCAGATGGCCTGCAGGGGGAGACACACACACACACACACATTCTGACATTACTGAGTGAGCTGGGATGAAAATCACTGACATCTACGATTAACTTTTAAACTTTCTCTGACACTAAGCTCCAGACAGAGGAGCAGATCTGCACACAAACAAAGTACAGATTTAAATAAAAGGTCTAGTCAGGACACACTCTGAGTGTTTGTACTCACACTGAAGATGAAGAAGAGCTCGATGAACATGGCTCCAAACGGAAGAATCCCAGCCATCAGGATCCTGGAGATTAAAGGGGGACACATTCAATCATCAGAAACCCGAGGGAGAGGTTTAAACCACGACGATACAGAGCCTGAAAAAAAAAACAAAAAAAAAACACTCACCCCACAAACTTGTTCATGTACCAGCGCTGCTCGGGGACCTGTCGGGGGATCTGGTTGGTGCGGACTGGGTTATCATAAGGCTGCTTACGGAAGCCAAAGTAGTATCCAAGGTAGACCAGGGGCATGGAGATACCGAACCACATACAGAGCAGAGCCAGCATGGTGGTGAAGGGGACCTACAGGGGGATGAGAGTGGGGAGGGTAGGGTCAGGACAGACTGAGCAGACTCTGGATATGTTTAACTCTGACAGATGATCCAAACTAATTCATCCACGTCATGTTGTTAACCCAGTCTGAGTGTATGTTGACTGTCTTATACTCACCGCTCCAGAGGAGTGCTCCCCCCAGATGAAACAGTTAAGGATGAAGCAGATCCCAAAAACCACAGCAGGATACAGAGTCGCCGTCTGCAGGGACACAGACACAGACACCTGAGTTCACAGACATTTCAGGAACAGAAGTGTTCACTAATAACACACTCTGGTGTCTATCAGTGAGAGGTACTGCCTGATAACGTGTAGGTCAGCAGCTCAACAAACTGATGCTCTAAGCGTTCAGTCTCCTTTCAGAATTTAAATTTCTGTTCCCTTGTACTAACCTCTGCAGACCAGGAACAAATCCCCCCTCTCCCCCCGAGCTTACCTAACCATCACACTTTTTCTTGCTGTTTATGCTTTCCGTTTTTTCACAAACTCAAGGACAAAATGTTCAAGCTCTGCCGAACATGCTCCACTGACAGGTGTCACTGTTAGGAGATATTTACTTTACCTGTCGGTGGTCATATCCTAACAGCTGATGGATTTAAAGTCATGTCTTTGGAGACTGGTGTATGTTGTGTTCATACAATGTCAATAAAGTCAGTTGTGCTGAAAATAGTGCCAGCAGAGGTTCAAAGGTCAGAGTGAGTCATGACTGACTTACACAGAAAGCCCCTTTCTTCCACCGATGGCCCTTCAGTGTGCGATAAAGTCTGCCAGCAAAGTAACCACCAAACACGCTACAGGACAAACAGCACAGGAAGAATCAGTACAGCCGAAGTCAAACACGTGTCCCTGCTTTATCTGTGACTTCATGAAGGAGGATCAGAGGGGTCACTCTGAGTTCTTACCCCATGAACATGAAGAGGAAGCAGGATGTGGTCATCAGGGCTCCTCTGCTGGATGGGGACAACATGCCCAACATGGCTACAACTGTGACACACACAGGAACAGAAGGAGGGGGGTTATGGTTCGAGTTTACAGTCCTAATTCATCTTAGCTGTTCACAAATGTTTCAAACATAAAAACAACAGTCAGTAAACAACATGATACAAAAAAAATCAACACTGAAACGACCCTGATGAGTAAACGAAAGAAACCGACTCACAGATGACGATGAGCACCATGCAGAAGAGCTGGATGCCTGAGCCCAGCAGAGAGCTGAGGATCATGGGATACTGAGGCGGCCTGAAGACATCCCCGTGGACGTTCTTCCATCCGGACTCCTCCATTGTGTCCTCCTGTTAGAGAGGAGCAAACACAGTCATTAAAATTAGAAATAGACAGAAACAGAAAAATAGAAATTAGTTCAACTATTCTTATTATCCTAAAGTCAGAGTCAAAGAAAAGAGATTTATCAAGTCCAGAGTCAGCACAGTCTGAAGTCTACCAGGAGTTTTTAGAGACCTTCATGTTTCCACCTGCTGAGAAGCTTTATGGAGATAAGAGATTTCCTCTTCCAGCGGGACTTACCACCTGCCCACAGCGCCAAAACTTTTGCTGACCATGATCTCACTATTGTTAATTTTCAGATTTTCGATTTATACCTGTACAACATCAGACAGTAAACATGTTTGATTTCATTCTTTTCTTACAATGTCATCCTCTCTGTTGTAGTTGGCGATGTCCTTCCTCAGAGTCCTGATGATGATCATACTCAGAATACCTGAGGGAGAGGAAACGATGTCAGCTACAGAGACAGACACCTCAATGCACCATCATCAGACCATCGTAACACTCAGATTTTTATGTATGAGAGAAAATGTTTTAATACTTCAGGTTCACAGTTCAATTCTAGGTTTCAGAGAAGTTCAAACAAACTTTCATATTTTACATTTTCTCCACTGTGAGGAGTCTTCAACAAGCCAGAGGTGACAGACATACCAGACAGGAAGAAGACGACGACCACGGAGTTGACAATGGAGAACCAGTGGATCTGGACGTCGCTCATCGTCAGGTAGGTGTCCCATCGAGACGCCCACTTCACCTCGCTCTCCTGTAGAGACACGACAAGAGCCTCAGCCTTCGTCTCCCCACATTCATTCATGTTTTCCAAACCTACATGTCCCAGAAAGCTGGAAATATATCATGTCCCCTCTATGCTTTAACGTCTGTGACTCACTCTCTAAATATTTGGACTGTTGCACATGAACTGATTGCACATGGCTGGATCTGAATGAAGGACAGATCTTCAGTTTAGAGACGGAAAAAGCTTTGAGATGATTACAGGAGTAATTCCCTCAGTATACAGAAGCTAAAGCCCTCATCTTAATGGCTGCTTGCTCGACTCAGGGGTGTAAACCTTTGCTGCATATCACCTCCCCCTCCCTACTCCTTTTATACCTGTAAAACAACTGTAAGAAACTACCAGTTAGCCAAAGATGTGCTGGAGTCTAACTAATCCAGTCAAACACAGCTGTTTGGGGGGGGTTTATGGTGGTCTGACTCATGATTACAGGCTGTTTCACGTCATAGAGAGTCCTCGCAGCAGTCACTGACCTCCCAGTGCACCGAGTAGGTGAAGAGGACCTCATTCTCCTTGTTGGGGTCGATCTCCTGAGGGGCGGAGCCACTGGCCTCAGGCAGCGTGCACGTCCTCTCATTTTCCACAGCTTTCAGATCTGAGAACGAGAACACGTACCCAGGGTCAACACCTTTGAGCTTCACCAGAGTTTTTATTCCTGAACAGTTTTAAATTACTGTGACTCTGAAACAGAAACATTATATAACTCTGGGAAATCCTTCAGAGCACGTTCACACCTACCTTCTACTTTTACACTCTGGGGAATGACCTCAAACCGCACCACCCTGTAGTTATGGACGTCCCCCTCCTCTAGCTTCTCTTTGTGGTAGTACAGGATGAAGGACAGGTGATTGTGCAGATAAAACTGAAGGAGAGAAAAAAGAGATATTATAACTTCTTAATGGACTTATAATAAAGAAATCTGGACCTATTTTATTCACGCTTATCAAAATCTCAGGAGTTCAAAGATTTGACAGATTACAAATCTATTAAAAATAATGAAAATAAACACTTAAAAGGATTTTGAAGCCTAAACTTTTTTGGTCTGGATATTTTTGACTTCTCTTTTTTTGCAGCTAAGTCCTGCTTACCATCACACCAGTCAGGAGAGTGAAAACAAAACAAATACAGAAATCTGATAAAATGTGACACAACTAAAACTATCTGAACTTTGGCCAAAAAGGTCTGTGGGGGTTTAAAACGGTGCAACTCAAGTCTCTCTAACTGCACTCAACCCCAGTAAACTCTGCATCAGGTCAGTCAGACTTAAAATAATATTAACTTTATTTACATAGCACTTTAATAAAAACAGGAAGAGCAAGCATTTAAGGACTTAATTAAACACGCACCTTATTGTTGTCAAAGAAGCCCAGTCTGTAACCGTGTTCAAACTGGATATCTTTCACAATGTCCTTCTTCTGCTCCTCCTCCCCTCCTGCCTCTCTGTTGGGATAAAACTCCAACCTGGTGGCGACTGGAAGGTTATCTGCAATACTGAAAGACACAGAGACAGGTTAGAGATTATTCTCAGTAAGAATCATGCTAACTTTGAAAAAAAGAAAAAAAAAGGATTGTATCAACTTAAGAAACTACATTTTAACAACACATGAAACAAAGTACCAACAGAGTCAGTTCAAATCAGTGACGTGTGTTTTCTGATGGGATTATATCAGTATGATTATGAAGGAATGCTCACAGGTGAACATAATACTCCTCCTGGATTCGCTCAGCGACCAGCTTGCTCTCGTCTATGCTCAGCTTTTTCTTGTTACACACCAGCTCACATTTCTTGTCCTTGGTCATCGCCACATTGTAGAGAGTGTTCACGATACGGTCCCCACGCAACACCTCACCTACAGGGTGGGAATACATACACATCCATGAGAAAGGATATAAATATATCTATTTATTCATGCGGATGAAAGAATTTCTGCGTGTTCAGTCTGCTCACCCAGGTTCTCTCCCTTGTAGAAGACAGCTCCAGGCTTACAGAAAGGCAGGGAGTAGTATTCATAAGGAAGCTGTGTGCGGGAGCTGGTCAGCTTCACTGCCTGAAATATTTAATTAAATCAACACAGAGCGTGCACATTATTGGGAGCTGTCAGCAGCTGTGAGATTCTCAAAGGCAACAGGAAGATTTAAGTCTTTAATAAAACCTCGGCCCACCATGGAGCATCTCCCTCTGTCAGCAGCCAGCAGGACTGACTGACTGACTGACAGGCAGAGTCAGACAGCAGACACTGTCCTCTGTTTCTATCAGCCTCTTGTCACAGTTAGTTTTATGGTCTGTGTGTGACTTTGTAAAGTTAAAGTCTGTCACAGCGGTATTTCTGACCCAGTAAGGACACAAACTCACAGAAACTTGTTTGATAAATGTGAATCAATGAACTCTTGATGACTGAGACAGCTTTCCTCTTACCTTAATATCTACTGTATCACCGTCGTGAAAATCCCGGGGAGCGACTCCAGGAACATAGAAAGGCTGGACTACAGGCAACAAGGACAACAGCAGCAAGGCCCACCACGTCTCCTGCAATACACACAGTCAAACACACACACACACACACACACACACACACACACACATAAACAAATAGCACATGACGAGTGAGCAACATTAGAGCTAATTCTAAAGGTCATTAAACAAGTGAGTGGAACACATTTATACTCCCTGAACTTCAGCTACCCTTTGAAAGTCAACTTAACAAATACGTCAAAATGCAAAAAATTCTCATCAAACACGTGGCATTAGGTAACGCTAAAATTTGTGGCACAAAAAACAACAATAAAATAATAATGAAATCAAAAAGATGTTTCACTGACACAAAAAAAAAAACACTCCACTAGAAGTGAAAACATTTCATCAAACACATTTATATTTTATCGCAAAAATATTTTGTGAAATGCAAAAAAATCATGTTTTTAAACAAAAATATTTCAAAAGTATGTGATTGTGAAGTGTTTTCGATCTGATACAATAACTTTTGGAGTTCAGTGAAGTTTTTGTGTGTTGCTGGTATTTATCTGGAGATCATTTAAGGTCTGTGCAGTTACCTTTAGGGCCACCGTACATGATAGTTACTATGTCCTCACAGACACCTGTAACGCCTTTGTTCCTGAACTGCTGGGACCTCTAAAACTGTGACTGTGTTCACTCAGCTGCAGCGCTGCCAGCTCAGTCTTTGTTCTGGGTTTACCATGAATTATTACTGACATCTTGGGCGCAAACAGTCAGGAAATGTGTGAAAGAGCTGATGTTGCACTGATCACCACGATTTACCATCTACTCTGTAGATTTTCAGAGCTGCAGGGGCGTCGGATGGTGTGGTTGTTTTAACCTGCTGACATTTATGATTCATTTAAAAGACAAGAGGCTTTAGAACAAACTGTTCAGCTGCGCGAAATGATGGAGGACAAGGTTACTGTTCATTTCAAACACTTATCAGACTATATAGAGAGAAGAACTGATAGAGTGAGGTTTCAGTTCTTCCTTCAGAAACCACACTTTCATAAACTACCTTCAGACTCTTTCAAAAACAACCGAGTGAACAACATACCCCCCCACACACAGGGGTTTACTTTCCTCTCTGTCTTGATTTGGTTTTTATGCTGAAAATGTCTCTATTCCTCTGAGTCATAAAATATGTGAGAAGCAAACAACAACTTTTGTTAAGGTTGCCCAAACGTTCTCACCCCACAGTATTTCCAAAGCACTGAAACCACTCAGCTGTATAGATAGTTTGGTTTGCTGTATCCCTGAGAGGAGAAATCTCTAACTTCTCCTCAGTCTTACAGGTTGTGGCCTGTTGATTTTAAGGGAGGTTTAAAGACCATGAAGCACAGATTAAACAAACTGTGCATACATTCACCTGTTTCAAAGTGGTTCAGCCCTTGCAGCTTCATGGCAGAAAGCCAGAAACAAAATCCTCAAAATCTTCATTGTTGTTTTAATGACCAGACAATAACGGGCACGTTGCCCCTTGAGAGTCTACACACATTGACTGAATACGACACTGCCGTTACTCACTGAGAGAACATGCAGTGCCAATAACACCTCAAGCTAAGCTGAAGTCACTGTCTGCATGGTTGAAGTTTAAAGTTGAAGTTTACTCATATGGAGGAGGTTTGGCTTCAAAAAGGCAGACAATACTTGATCCGCAGACTGTGTCAGACAGAGACTGCCGTTGTTTTTTTCATCTGTGAACTAACCATCACACAGAATATGAAGAATATGACGAGCTACGGGGGTCAGCATTCAACTGGGGCTGACTAGCTGAAGAACCAACAAAACTAAAACAAACTCACGAACTCTGACAAAGTCATTCTGCGAAGGAGTGCCTCATGACAAGAATGGAAACAGGTGTCCAGACATAACAGTCAGACTCTCATCAGTGACACAGACAAGCAAGTGTTACATTCAAATACCGTCAGTCAACATCTAAGTAGATATTAACAAGAACCAGCTAACTCAAAGTAATGGCTCATAGGGGTGGAAATCACTGGTGGCCCCATGATACGATATTATTGCGATTTTAACATTTTGCAATACAGTGAGTATTGCGATACTATATATTGCAATTTATACACTTTTTCAACTGTTTTGCTTATTTAGCATTTGTCTTCCTTTATGTTAGTCTTATTTACACTGGAGCCCAACCGATTTATTGGCGAGTTGATTCAATTGGCCAATTTTAGCCCCTTTGAGACTAATTGGCCAAAACTCAACGATTTTCGCAGATATTTTCAGAAATAAAATTGAGAATGCTTTTCTGGTCCGAGTTTGATCAGTTGGTCTTCCCGTCGGTGTGTCTACATATATGTCTACATACATCTACAGTATATAGTATACTGTACATATCTACAGTATATACATTTTTTTATAACTTTATAAAAAAATTTAAAAAATCAGCCGATTTTTTTAATAATACAATATCGGCATCAGCCCCAAAAAATCCATATTTGCTTGTTCCATTATCATAGATTTGATTTCAAATTAGCAGTTGATTTAAAATAAATCGGTACTTGGTAAATGAGACCATATGATATATCACCAGACAAAACATCACGATTCTACGCTCTATCGATTTTTTTCTCCTACCCGTAATAGCTTGTAAATTAATACATGACTTTGACAAGCATTATTTCGCACATTGATTGAGGGATAAAAAAATACTGTCCATCATCCCTCAGAGCAAAATCCCAAAACTATCCCACTATTATTTTTTGTCAATATCCCACACCCCTATACAGGCCGTTGTAACAGTCTGTCTTTATGCAGCATTACAGGATATTAAATCTCCCTTCATGCCAGGAAAATGTAATATCCTGCCAGACAACCACACTAAACATAAAGCCACAGATACAGAACCATTATTTGACAGTGGTGTTAATGTCTGAGTACACCTTTGAAATAGTCTATAGGTTCTCTGGGACACCAACTCTGACTCATTTCAGTTCAAGTGATGAAAAAGAACAACCAATTCTGTAGAGGAAAAGAGAAAATGCATAGACTAAATGAGTTTTTCCACATTCTCACAGAGACAGAAGGGTTGAAATCTGTTTAATTTCCACTTAAATCCACTCCAAGGTTGGAATAGAGAGTTTCATGGTGATTGGGCTGAAATCTGTTGGTCTAATTGCTTTGTAATTTACTCATCTTTCACCCTAATGTAGGCTCATACGCAAATGCCAGGGAGGTTAAGTGCAAGGCAACAAGGGTTTAAGGTTCACTCAAGGACACTTTCAATGAGTGCATGTGGATGAGACAGGTACTTAACAAGAGGTGAAGAGTCCTACTCTCAGCTGTGGACCCAAGGTCACGACAGTTTGTGTAATACCAGTGGAGGGTACAGGTTGGTTTTAAAAGTCACAGGTTTTCAGAAACATGTGTGCTGCAGGAGTAGAGGGAGTCCGTCTGTGCCAGTAGATCCATAGCTAACATTTTACAGACAATTATTAATATTTTTCATCCTTTGCAACATTCAGACCAACTTTAACAAATAGCCAAGAACAAGACAGCAGGAAGGGTTGATTCCCTGGTGTTCCCTTGTGTTCATATCACAAAGGGTGAGACAGGAGTGTGATGATAAGCAGAAACAGAGGAGACTGGAGCAGAGAGAAGAGGTGTCTGAGTGAATGTGCTGTCTGTGAGTGAGCAACAGAGAGAACTTAGAGCCACATGGATAAAAATAAAGCAGTCAACATGTGTTTTATGAGGTATTTATCAATAGCAAGTGTATTACCCTCAGGGGATCCCAGTCAGCTCAGCCTCTTTGTTGAGGCAGACAGCTGTGCTTTTAACAGCTTATCAAAAAGCTATCCAAAGCATACAGTCTAGACAGGTATTTGGTTAATTATCTGTACAGTCTTTAATGCACAGTGTTTTACTGACCTTATCGCCTGGGAATCTGTGTTCTACATTATTGCTTTTAACCATGGCTTTTGTCAACATCTTACCCCCTGATTTTTTTTTTAAATGTCTGTATATGTTGTCTCTGTGAAGCCCTTTGTGACACTGTATAAATGTGTTTAGCTTCTGTTTTTTTGTTTGTTTTTTGCAGGTGACATGTCTGAAAATGGTGCAAAAACAAATGGGTTCACCAATGGGCGAGATTACACACTAAATAATTCACAAGTACAAACAACAATTACAATTACATCAGTTTTTGGATTGGAGTTAGTTAAAATGATTTGAATAACCTGCGTGAGCTTAACTCGTTTTTGTCCACAAAGAAGTCTCCTCTGATTTTAACTCAGTGGAACTCAGTTTAACTCATTTTTAACAGAGTTAAACTCATTTGAGTCCACAGAGAAGTCATGTCTCATATTCATTTAATTCAATTCACTATAATCCACAGACAAGTCTCTTCTCATGATAACTTGTTACAACTGAATTTAACTCATTTGAGTCCACAAAGAAGTCTCCTCTCATTTTAACTCACTTAAGTCCACAGAAAAGTCTCTTCTCATGATAACTTGGTGGAACTAAATTGAACTTTTGTTAACAGAGTTTAAGTCATTTAGGACAACTTAAGTCCACAGAAAAGTCTCTTCTCATGATAACTTAGTGGAACTCAGTTTAACTTGTTTTAGCTGAGTTTCACTCATTTAAGACAACAGAGAAGTCTCCACTCATTTTAACTCACTATGGTCCACAGAGAAGTCTCCACTCATTTTAACTCACTAAAGTCCACAGAGAAGTCTCCTCTCATTTTAACTCACTTAAGTCCACAGAGAAGTCTCCTCTCATTTTAACTCACTAAAGTCCACAGTGAAGTCTCCTCTCATTTTACCTTATTTAAGCCCACAGAGAAGTCTCCTCTCATTTTAACTCACTAAAGTCCACAGTGAAGTCTCCTCTCATTTTACCTTATTTAAGCCCACAGAGAAGTGTCCTCTCATTTTAACGCAGTTTAACTCTGTAGCTTCTATCGGACCTTGATGCTAACTGCTAACGTTAACAAACTTCGTCTCGCCGGTCTCTCTCTTCTCTTCCGTGCCTCTTATGACAGTCTAACAGCAGCTTTCAGGCAATGTCAGCTCGTTTTTGTAACCCTCACATTGATCACAGTGATCACACTGGTCACTCTAATCGATCATAGTGATCAGTCAGCTTCCTCTCAGCTCTCTTACACTGAAGCTAGGAAACCACAGCTAGCTAACTGAAGCTACAGCAGGCAGTTAGCCGGACCGTCAGACTACAGCTAACGGCGCTAACGTGACCCGGGATAAGGTAACTACAGTGTCGATAAACGGAGACACACCTTTCCTCTGTCACACGTACAGTCCCGATTCTAACTTTACTTAGACAGACAGGATGACAGCGGTGTAGTTAGAAGAAAAAGACTTCGCTTTTACACTCACCATATCCGCGGCCGCCATTTTGAATACGTGTCATTAGTGACGTTCCGGAAGTGCCGCGATGTTTGGATTAGTGGTGATTAATTTATTCATTGATGACACGCCCACTTACGATCAACTCCTGTGGTTTAAACTCCTGCTGAGGTATGTTTTTAATGGTTTTAAATTAAGTAAAACATCTGTTTGTATCTGGCCCGGTGACGTCAACCCTTAACCGGTAACGTTAGGGTTTTATTCGTAACTTATTTTAGTTTCCGAAGTCCTTTCCAAATTTAATGTAATCTTAACAGAGTTTTATCGTCAACCAAAAATAAGAGAAATGAGGAAACGCCAAACTTTTGACATTATTTTCACTTTAAATATCTCTGAAATTTAATATTTACTCTATGCACACGTTCAGTAAACTCTGATAATTTCTTCCCTCTTATTATAACTTTGTATGAACTGTAAGTGTATTTGTCAAAACTTTATTGCATATCTGATAATGTTTTATATTTTGATTGTTTTCCTTAAAAGTGCTGAATGTCTTAATATGTTCAATGAATAAAGAGAAATAAAAGCTATTGAAAAATTAGAGACAGGACAGTCAAAGAGTTGCTATTAAATTTAACATCATTGGTCAGACTTTGGACAATCATCTGCAAAAAAAGCTATAAATTGTGACTGACATTTCCAGCTGAAATAGAGGCACACAGAGGTGGACCAAAAGCCCTCTTAAATATTTGACCCATTTAAAAATAGGATTTAATTTAGCAGTGTGCTGATCGACTCAAATAAAACCTTAATTTGAAGCCCTAAATACTGACTTTCAGCCCACAGCGGAGGGAAACATCTTTAAACACACAAACCCACAGCTTTAATGTGTGAGAGGGATTTGGACTCCGGTGAAGTAACTCAATAGTTCTGCGGCGTCTTCTGTCAGTTTTGTATTTTGTATTCACTGAAGTCATGGCTGTGCATAGAGGATTATTATTAAGAGCTTAGTTTACTGAAATGAATAAAAATGTCTGCTAATGCAGGTCACTTTAACCATCACTTCTGAAAAACAAACCTTCTTGCAAACTTTTTCTCATTCATACCGCTGAATACCTGCTGTATAATCATACCTCTCAATTTATATTTCCAAGATTGTTTGTCATGTATTATCAACTTGCTCTCCATGTCTCGTGTTGCTGAAACAGCTGCATTTATCTTTTTTATCTTATCAGACATTATTTTATTCATGCTACAAATAGGATTAAATTAACTATACAGCATTTTATGCATTGACAGTAGGGTCACAAGTTGTTAAGTAATTACAAAAAGCGCATGTAGTTTCTGTTCCTACTGTATCTCTGCAGCAACAATCAAAAGCGCCTGACAAATGAACAAAACTTATGATGGATGATACAGATGGTTAGTCATTTCCTTATTTTTGCAATAAGTCATGTGTTCTCCATCTTTTCTGTGACATTTTCATGAAAGCCCAAAAGTTATTACATCTTACTGATTATACTTTTTATATCAGAGCCGAATCTTAAAGTACCCATCACATCATTAGACTGTCCAGAAATAAAAATGTTAATAGAGTTGTTCATGGCCAGCACACCTCAGTATGACTGAAATAAACTTCTCATTGTGTAAAAAAATAAGGTCAGCTCTTTCTCATATAAATACACATTCAGGAGGTTGTTTCTGAAACCGTTTATTCAAGTCTTTTCACATCCATGAAATTCAGCTTAACCTCTGACAAATGTATAGAGAGTTTTGTGAAGTAGAAACATTTTTTAACATAAAGAATTGTATTTACAGTGATAGGTATTGATTTCATACGAAGATATAAGCTCTTAATAAAAACAGTAAACTGATCCTTTTCCTTTACTATGTTCACTGTTCTGCTCTCTGTGTGAAATATTCTGTTATTACTGTTCAGCAACATCAGAAACACACTGTAAAAATCAGTCTTGAGTCCTTCAATAAAAAGTTTTAAAAAAGCTTTTACTTTGAAAAGATCACAGCATACAGGAAACTCTGACATTCTCAGCTGAATTACAGCCTTCTCAGCTGTGTTTGAGTAATAAATTATTTTCACACAGAAAGAGGAAAAATATTGCATCAATATTTCATCAGATAAACAGCCAAAGCTTCACAGATCAACCCGCATCAACAGTTATTATGGCTTCATACTCAAGACTCCATTCCTAAATCAATGCATTTATTTGTATACATCAGTCTATACATACAGAGCATGTGGAATATACGAAGAAGACTAAAATAAACCTATGACATCTGAAGGCACAAAGAAGGGGAAATGCAGAAACAGAGAGGAACAAATCTGTTTGAAGAAGTAAAAGTGAAAACATGAGAGCTCTCCACACAGCTGAACATGCTCGTCAGTGAAGATCCACGCTAAGAAGGCTCAATGTTTGATGAAGCAGGTAAAATACACCTGTTTAGTTTAACCTGGTGACTGCTTTCAGTTGACCCACAGACCTCTGTCTGAGGACACCCTAATGTTTAACTGAGTGAAATCAAGTATTTCTGATAATTGGCCAAGAACATGACAGTAGGCCCTTACAGCCCGTTTGACACCTTAAATATGAGTTTGAGGGACTGAACAAAAATTATAATGAGGAGAGTGTAAGAGCTGATGATCTTGCATGGTAGAACCCAGATTTCTATGACCAAGCATTCTTGAAAACAGCATTCTAGAACATGATAATCAAGAAAACATTGCACTCTGGAACCTGAAATTCTGGTACACAGTTATTTGGAACTCAACAATGTGGAGCCTCGTGGTGTGAAACCCTTCATTTTGCGGCACAACATTCTGGAACCCATTATTCTGGAGCCTAAAATGTTTGGACCCTGCATTATGTAGTCTTGAACTTTGATCCTGAATTCCTGAATCTAGCACTCTGGATCTTATCTGTCTTTACTCCAGCATTCTGAAAACCTGCACTTTGGAACCCTCATCAACTGCTGGCAGGCTAAAAGATCATTGCTATTTGTTTAATGAAGAAAAACGTCTCTATGTTTTGCACCCTAAAACTTATCTGGTGTGGATTTCTCCACAATAAGTCAGCAGTTTCTTTCCTCTCAATAATTTTTTTTCAGTCCCTCACCAACAATGAATATGGGTGTGTAAATCAGAGCAAGAGAACTGGACAGTGTGCGTGCGTGCGTGCGTGTGTGTGTGTGTGTGTGTGTGTGTGTGTGTCTGAGCTACATGTATAAACTGGACCTGCTGTTAAATGAATGTAAGGTGGTTTTGCAGGTGTCATGGCTGCTGCTGGTACTGGCTCTCTGTGGCTGTGTAGAAATCTTCCAGGACACTCTGCAGGTAGTCGAAGGTGGGCCGGTCCTCGGGTTTGTTCTTCCAGCACTCCAGCATGATTTCATAGAGTTCAGTGGGACAGCTGTCCAGACGCTGCATCCTGTAACCCTTCTCCAGAGAGCGGATCACCTCAGGGTTGGTCATACCTGAAAAACAGGGGCGAGTGTTTTAGTTCAGAGACTTTTTGGACAGTCATAACCCCAGCTGGATTCTGTGTGGTGCTGTTCATGGTTTACTGCCAGCTATAGAGCTCTAACAGACATGACTCTTTGTCCCTCTCTCTTTATCCATCTGTTCACTTTCTTTAGTCTCTGTTGACATCAAACCTGACTAAGCATATTTTACTTGGATGGGGCTCAGCTTTGCTAGGCGTGTCTGTCCTTTCCTCAAACATCAGCAATATTCAAATTCATACCTGTCTGCAGTAACCCCACCACTGAATATCTTTGAGAAAGGCCATGTGGTGCAGAAGAATTCAGGAGTTTGAGAAATAACAGAACTAAACTCACATTTTGTATCGTTAAAACGGAGAGCCACTTACCCGGGTATGGAGTGCGCCCATAGCTGATGATCTCAGTGAGCAGAATGCCGAAAGACCAGACATCAGACTTGATGGTGAAGGAGCCATAGTTGATAGCCTCTGGAGCTGTCCATTTGATGGGGAATTTAGCTCCTGGTTAAAGAGGAAAAACAGAGACTCAGTCATCGTTGGTTCCTCTCTCAGACTCTCGCCCTTCTGCCCTGATCCTCTTTTAGTTTCACAGACTGATGTTGTTATCTGACATTTCTCTGACTCATGCTTCATCAGTCCAGCAGAGTTAATATCATTCCTCTGTTGACACCTGAGTCTCAGGTGTTACAGCAAACATGCGCTCTTACCCTCTCTGGCTGTGTACTCATTGTCCTCGATAATTCGGGCCAGGCCAAAGTCTGCAATCTTGCAGACCAGAGATTTGTTGACAAGGATGTTTGCAGCTCTCAAGTCTCTGTGGATGTAGTTCCTCTGCTCGATGTAGGCCATCCCCTCCGCAGTCTGAGCACATGGTAAGAAAAAAGAAAAACAGTCAGACCAGACGTCAGTGTAACAACATTTAACAACATTTAACTTAAACTTTAAATAAAATTAGCTCTTTACTTATTCAAAATGTATTTTTTAATGTTTTGTAATTACATTTTTGAAAAGCCTACACGGAAAAAAAATTCAGCAGAAGAAACAGGTGATGATGTGGCACTTAGGTGGACAGGCCGTACACGTCTCTTTAAAGCTTCTCTGTGCATCTCTGGTGAGAGAGACTAAGACTCATGGAAAAAGTGCACATGTGTGGGATTCATGGATGTTACTAAGGAGAACTACTAGAGATTCTAGAGAGGCAAAGTTCTTCCACCAGAGCAGGAAAAGAGGAGAAAGTGTGAGGAAAATGAGGATTTAATACCCCTAAAGGCTGATAATAACATGTTCAAAAAGACATTAGACGAAAACCTGTAGAGGGCCACTTTATCAACGTTAACTCTAGGCCCCAAATGAATAAATCCACCACTGAGTTAAAGTATACAGAGTCTATAGTGAGACCGTTAACATGGCTGTGGGTTTATTCCTGCTTTTTCCCTTTTCTGCATGTCATCTCAAACTCTTTAGATCAGAAACTTTCTATTTTTCTTCAGCTGCTCTGTCAAATCAAGGCAAAAAGGGCATGAAATACCAAAAGTCTCAGGAACTTTTTGTCCCTGGAACTTCTCCTCAAGGTTCCTGTGGCCGATTGTTCTGTGTTTCCACAGCAGCCTGGAAAACATGATTGTAAGTGCACTACACTACCAGTCTCTAACTTTAACAAGTCATGTACGTCACTGAGCGCATTCAGAGCTGAGCTTAAGTAAAGCTCTTGTGACTGTAGAGTCTTATCTCCACAGGAAACATACACACAGTCAGTGGCAGTCAGAAGGAAACCTGAAGTCACTTACTGTCTCTCTTTCCTTTTAGCTTTTAACCTGACAGACTTTTTTGTAATATCTCCAACATTACTGCAGTTAGAAAACCTGAAATCTGTTCATTTTGATGATCAGATCCTCCTCATCATGTCTTTAATATTTGACAGGGTAACTTCAAACAGCAGGCTGATGGGTGTATTTGTATCTACAGCTCTGAGCTGATGTTACTGTGCAGGTCAGACTGGATCTACAGGTCTCTGTGCGGGCCGCGGCCACGCAGCTGGATTATTTCACCTGTGCAGGTGAATGTGCTTCCTTGTCCAGAATATCCAGTCTGTTTGTCAGACAGCAGCTCTTTGTTAAAGACCAGATACCGATTCAGAGTTTGTCTGTCATCATTATGATTGAACACAAAGACCTGAGCTCCTCTTCCTCTCTGCTGACACTGAGGAAAATGGAGATCAAGTCTTATCTCTGTGCTGAGCAGGGTTTGAATATTTGATGGTACAGATTTTCAATTATGTAATTTCCTAACTGAAGGTTTTACAGACTGTTAACTGCAGATTTAGTACTGATAGATGTCAGACAGACAGTCAGAGAGATAGATCCATCAGTGTGTTACCGGAGAGCTGCTGTTAAAGGTGAACAGATGAATGAGTGAATCTCACCTGAGCAGAGAAATCAATCAGCTTCGGCAGCTGGACACGGTTTCCTTCATCACTCTTTAAGAAGTCTAATAAACTACCTGCAGACACACACACATACACACATCAACACACACTGAAAAGTGTGCACACTTGCTCTGTGACAAATCCTGAATCAGGTGTTATTCTCATTAAACTGATATAAACACAGGGTATAATATGTGAGCAGCAGACTCTGACCCTTCTCCATGTACTCTGTGATGATATAAATAGGTTCTTCTTTGGTGACCACTGCGTTAAGGCGGACCAGCTTGTCATGCTGCAGAGTCTTCATCAGGTTCGCTTCAGCCATGAAGGCTTCCACCGACATGCTGCCCGGCTTCATCGTCTTCACCGCCACCTTGGTGTGCTTGTTGTACGTGGCTTCACACAAAAATAAGGAGGTTAAAAGTTAAATAATATTCACTCAGTCATTGATAACAGGAGTCTAAACATCATGGAGGTCTGCCTCACCCATCCAGACTTCTCCGAACTGTCCTGCTCCCAGTCTTTTGTCCAGTTTGAGGGAGGACCGGGGAATCTCCCAGGCGTCTTTCTCCCAGGGTTTCTCAGGTTTAGGACTCAGGCAAGGACTGGTTAGGGTCTGACAGAGGCCGTCTCCCTGCTCTGAAACACACACACACAAACACAAAGTTGATAAAGCAGGATTTTGAAGAGTTCCTCTTTTTCATGCAGGATGGACACAAAGAGCTTTAAATCTGTTTTACATCTAAAGTACTTCTGCAACACAGTAATGAGACTGATGGTGTTTGCAAATGCGACTGGCTGATATTTTAATGCTGTCCTGCGGAGGGTGCTGTTGTTGAAAAGTGGAGCAACAATATCAGCAATTTTATGTTATCTCAAAATTCTCCACATTTATAAAATCTGTGAAACTTAATCTAAAAGTCTGAAAGAAACTGATATTTAATAAAAAAAAACAGAGAAATTCTATCAAACAAAAACACAAATATTGAGACTTTTTTGTCAAGATTTTCTTTAAACACTGAAAACATGTGCCAGCAGATTTATGAAAAACAGACTGGGAGCAAGTCTGGTTATTTAAACTCAAAGATTTATTATTAAAGTGGTGAGAGGAGTGTAAAAGCAATTTAGTTCAGGATTTGTGTGATTTTCCCATCATTTTACATGATGTTGTTACTATTTTCTGTTTTTATTCCATTTAGACTGGGCGCCTTTTAAAAGCATGACATGCTGGATCAAAAACCCCCTCAGTTAATTAAAATAATATTAACATTATTGATCATTTTTCTTGCTGTTTTATTAATCAGAGTATTTCCAAATGCTGCATTACCCTGAAGTCTGCACAGCCTCTGGATAAATCTTTGCTTTAGGCCTTTTTGTTAAATCAATGTCAACAGGGCTCAGCATTGATTTGTGCCGTGTTAAAGAGAGAGGAATGACATGTAGCAAATCATGTGAGGATCAGGGATCAGTCCTGTAACTGGTGCATTGAGGGCAGTAGTCTCTGTATGTGCACCTGCTCTGATCTAAAGCAGCATCCTCCCTCTCTGTGTTTGCTTCTTTTCTGAGCATTAGAAGAGTTTGAAGAGTTAAACTCCTCAGTTTATGTTTTCATATGTATTAGGCTTTTGTTGTTTTTGCCTTTCTTTACTGGAAAGCACTTTGGTAGACTGGTAGGTTTCAGTCAACTCACTCTTGTAATGGGCGACCAGCTCCTGCAGGTTGCCGAAGGTGTTTCGTGGAGAGATGTAAAATCCTCCATTGTCCAGGGTCCTGATCTTATAATGTTTGACTGTGTCAGCAGAGCGACCGTCACTGTCCCGTACAGACAGAGAGTAACTTCCTGCGAGAGAGAAAAGCAGGTTAACATCGGGAGATTTATTTGTACACAGGTGTGAATTAACAAAAAAGACATACAATTAAATCAACCTGAATTAAAGGCTGAACTCTAGATTCAAGCAAAAACGAGCACTTTAACTTGCATCTCCTCTCACCTTTGGTCGTCTCGCTGTCTCGGATCATGAAGGATCCCACCTTGTTCCCCGGGGCAAGTAGCTGCCGCTCAGCGTCTTTCCTGCTCACACCTTTAAAGAACCAACTAAAGACGAACAGACAGTAAAAAAACAGGCCAGGCACCCCAGAACACCTCTGATGCAGACACAGCTAATACAGCAAAGCTGCAGTTCCTCCACTGTCCACTAGAGGCTGTGTCCTGCAGTAAATCATCCACAACAGAGCCCTGTATTAAAATTTTACTTGAGATAAACTCATTTGTTTACGTCAGATTAAGGATTAATCTCACCCATTTATATGATAACATCAGATTAAGGATTAAATTCACCTGTTTGCTTTAGATTTAGGATTAAATGTGCCTGTTTACTTCAGATAAAGAATCAAATTTACCTGTTTATACCAGATTAAGGATGAAACTCACCTGTTAACAAAATAAGCAATAATCTGACCTGTTTACATCTGATTAAGGATTAAAGGTGTAAATAAATAGGGGCATGGCTCCATTAAGGACAGGTGCTAGCTGCTGGCTGTTGGTTAGATGTCTGCTCAGCTAATTTAGTCTCTGACCCTTAATCCCTGTTCATGTTTGAGGCATAGCACCCTTTGCAGTTTTGTTCATGTAAATATCAGATTACTTAACTGTCTTTCCATGCACTTTAGAGGATTAACACTTCATGCCTCTGACACAGTTTTCACACTTTCAATCTCGTTACAGGGTTATTTTATTAACACATTACTTCCAGTTATATTCATGAACTGGGATCAGTTTTTGACTCTAAAGGTGTTTTATCATCATGTTTGTGTATCAGTGAGAGGAAACTTACTCTTCTGCCTCCAGAGTGTCTTTAGCTACATAGTTACTGGGAATGTAACCCTCCTGACCCGAACTGATCAACATCGCCCTCCACCACTCCCCCGACCTGAGAGAGAGAGAGACAGAGAGAGAGAGAGAGAGAGAGAGAGAGAGAGAGAGAGAGAGAGAGAGAGGGAGAATATAAATTAATATTTTTCATCAACAGAGATTTAACAATCCACCTGTCTTACCCGTCTAAACCATGAAAATAACATTAAGGTAAGTGAATATTTGATCAGATTCTTTATTAAAGTTACGAAATGGTCTGTTTAACTCACTCTTCGAGAATTTTGAGTTTGTCTCCCTTCCTGAAGCCAAGGTCTCCGTCATGGATGGCCTCATAGTCGTACAGAGCCATGGCGATGCTCTCTCCTGCAGCATGAACAGACACACAGAGAGAACAGTCATGATGGTCTCAGATTCACATCATCTTTACTGTCTGAAATAGAAAAAATTGATAGTGGAGCTGGAACCTCCACTGAGATCAGACTCATTACTGAGTGCTCGTTAAAATCAGGGATGTTATTAACTGAGTATCATTTAACTGATTGTAAAGAGCACACTGAAACTAGCACACATTAGAGACACTTGGTGAGGAGCTGCAGCCATGCAGCAGCAGCCGTGCATGCAGCAGCCGTGCAGCAGCAGCCGTAGGTCTCCATCAGCTCTTTTTATCAACTGCTACTAATAACAAAGATGACACAAAGGTCAATACGTTTTTGCAAACATGCAGAGAGATTTCACAAACTGCCAAAAGTGACAGTAAAGTCAGGATCCCTGCAGAGTGGTTACATCAATCCAGATAATAAACACATGCCAGTATCAAGTCTGACTCAAGTCACCACTGCACTAACATTTATGAAGACATCGTTTTTTTTACTACCACAGGTTATTATCAATGAAGACCAATTTCACCTCACAGACAGGAGGGGTGAGCAAGGGAACAGTTAAACTATGTGACCTCCAGATATCATCAAATATTCACATTTCTGCACTATGGACCATTTTGGAGACATCAAAGTTTTTGTCATCAGTGTTTAAAGTAAATTACAATTAAATCCTACAATTAGTTTAATGGTTCCAAAAAGTAGATTTCTAATATTTCTAATATTCTAATATTATATATTTCTAATAAATGTCTTTATAGCAGTCTCTATAAAATAATATGAAAACCTCAAATAAACATCACAGATATTATAAATATTGTGAAAATAATGAAAATTGAAGTATTTGATCTGGGACAAAAAAATGATAATATAATATATATAATACATAATGTAATAAAATAAAATGTTTAAGTTTTACTTCTTCCGGTGAAGTCATGAAAAGGTTAATTTAATAAAACTGAGATTACTCAGAGTGATGTGGTAAACACTCACCTTCAGCACAGTTCGCATTAGACGGCACTTTAGTCTACAGAAACAGAAAGAGACACAGACAGACAGACAGACAGAGACACAGACACAGACAAACAGAAATGTGGTGGTTAAAGACTTTTCTGTGAAGACACTTTATTATTTTGTTAAATGAGTATTAGAAGAAAAGTGGTCCCTGAGCTGAAGTATCTGTTACGGCAGAGAAACCTCCTGGAGACTTAGACTGTCACTCTGCTGAGTGTATAAACCTGCTTTAAACAAACATGATGTGTAATGTTTGTTAATCCCATCTAAATACATCCACCAACATTGTCAGAAACAGGTGTGTCTCCAGTTTACCTGCTACCAAGCACCTGGAGCCTTAGCTGTGTCACAGTTCAGAGGCTGTAGCCTTCAGAGACCACATTTACAGACTGTTACATCACAGCTTCCTCAAAATACAGCCAACTGTGTCCTTCTTTTCTTTGCCCAACAGCCACGTACTAACTGATGAAAACAGTGTTTGGTTTGAAATTGATCGTGGGCTGTAACTGTTAAAAACATGTATGAAATCAAACCCGATATTTTATTTAAAATGTTGGTGATGAGGCTTAAATTACGTGATGTTAGTTGTGGGTCACAGAGGCCAGGTCCTTCAAAGTGAGGTCCTATGAAAGCCATTTAAAATCAAAAATAGGTCCTACACAGCCCAGGTAGAAGATGTGTCCTATAAAGGCTCAGTCTTCCAAAAGGCTGTGTCCTACAAAGGTCAGGTCTTTTAAGACTAGGTTCTTCAAACCCTGGGTCTTTCAAAAGCCTAGTCCTAAAACAGCCAGGTCCCTTAGAGGTCAGGTCACTTAAAACCTGGATTCTTCCAAGGCTGGCACCTATGAAGGATGCAGCTCCTGAATTCGAAAGCTAATAAACAGAGCTCCACCTGCTGGTTCTATTTAGAATTACGGGCAAATACACAGAAAACTGACACATCTCATTTGACCATGAATTAAAATATGAGTTTATTCCGTCACAAAAAGCTGAGGGGTTCATTCATTCAGTGTCAGTAAAACTGAAAAATGTGAATCTAAAGATAACTGAAACATCATAACTGATGTTTAATTCCAAATGAATTAAATCAAATGTTTGTGTTACAGCTGTTAGTTTAATAATGTGTGTGTGTGTTTCCAGCAGATAGTCCCGTTAGCTCGAAGGTTAATAACCCTAACCCTAACTGTTAACCCAAGGTGTGAGATGAGGGTTTAACCATCTGTGAGGTGGTAAACTCTGGGTGTCTCTGGGTCTCTGTCTGTCACTTCCTCTTCTTCACTGAGGCAGAGGAGGGTTCCAGGCAGCTCACAGGAAAAGGAAGCTCGCTCATATGTAGCGCCTTCACCACCCAGCGAACCACCATCAAAGTCTGACCAGTATGCAAACTAAACTCAGTCATGTGACCGCGTTGAAAAACTGTTGGCCTGTTACCGTCACGCTGTTTCCCCTTCAGACTCTCACTGTTCCTGCATCACTCTGCCTCACCCTCTCCTCGCCTTCCTCATTCTGTGTTCAACACAGAGGGTTGAGACTAAAGACAAGTTTTTAAAGGTTAATTATTCATTAAATTCCCTTTGAAAAAGAAACCAAGATGGCAGCCCTCACAGAGCAGCAGCAGCTCGATGCTCTCAGAGCAGATTTAAGGTTTTAATGTTTTTACATTTAAGGTTTTAAAAGCTATTATTTGTTAATATTTTCACCTGTTGTTCATGTATTTGATCTCTTCTCTTAATCTCTGTACTATTTGAATTTATTTAAAATTATATTTTTATCTTGTTTATTGCTGCTGATCTGAATGCCCCCAAAGAACTTCAGCTGCATGCTAACAGTGAAAAAAGAATATCTTATTTGTTTAAATATATAAATATACATATCACCTATTTATATTCTATCTTTGACCACTTTAGAGAAAAACAAATCTAGCCGAGCACTTTGTCCTAATCGAAAACCATAAAGGAAACCATCTGCAGCCACCGCAGAGGATGAGTCGGCTGCAGCCAATCACCTGCTCTGCAAAGAGGGGGAGAGTCTCTGAGGAAGATCTCTGATATACCTAAACAAGTGACAGCTCTGTCAGAGGATGGGGGGGGACCGGAATTAGTGAGAAGAAACTATAAAACGCCATCTCCCCCTTTTTTCTGAAATCTTCTACACAAGCTTCTGTCCCAGAAGTCTGTTTGAGCTCAAACTTTAAGTGATTTAAAATGTCAGTAAACATGAGACAGCGTGTAGGAGTTTCTTCTCAATCTGTCAAATCTGCAGGACCTGCAAATCCAGGACCCTGTGGCTGCAGGTGAGACTGTTGCTGACCCTTCTAATCATGGATATAGATTTTTTTAGGACCTTGGGGGTGTTGCTGAGTTTGGGGTGGTGGGGGGGTGCAGGTTTGTACTATATACTCATGTTTATGAGTGTATGGTCAGAGACTGCCCAAACATTGAACTCACTTAACCCTCCTCCTGTGTTAGGGTCTGCACCAACCCGTTTTTATTTTAAATGCTTAAAAGAACCACTTAAATTAGCTTTTTTGCACTGATACTTTTTGACTTTGTCAGGAAACTCTGTATCAACAAAATAAAAATAAAATATCTAAATTGACTAAATTATAAAATATTCATTAAAATTATGGCACTTATGGTGTTAAGAACGCTGTTGACCTGGTTAGATCAATATTTAATAATCAGAACAAAAACTGAAATCATAAGTGTCCTGTCAGGAAACACACTGACCGTCAGATCCTCTTCCAATCATGTGAGATTTAGGAAATTCTCATGTTGCCTGTTTTTTCATGCACAAAAAACAACGTCGGCATGTCAGTGTAGATGTCAGTGTGAGGGGTATATTGACAAAGAAAGGCCCAGAGGACCACTACAAAAAATATTATACGCAATATTTTCATGGATAATGAAGCCTAACAAGGTAACCAAGGGATGAGAACTAAATTGGATGATAGAGAATTGTTTTAGTGTAATTTACAGCTGATTCAAGACACGGGTCAACACCGACCCTTAACATAGTGGATGCGTAGTAATAGCTAACACAGGAGGACGGTTAAGCTAATTTTAACTTATTTTTAATCTCTTACGCTCATTTGAACTCACTTTAACTTATTTTAATTCTTTTTTTTACTACATTTAACACATTGGAACTCGCTCTAACTCCTTTTTACTCAATTTAACTAATTTTAACTTACTCCAACTTTGTTGCACTTGCTTTAACTCATTTTTACTCACTTTATCTCATTTTAACAAATTTTAACTCCTCACGTGTTTTTTTTTTTCAAGTGCCATATTTGAACTTTAGATGTAGATCACCTTTATCCCTCTATCACCAACTGTCATAAAGGTTTTATACTCAATAAAGTGTGAATGGTATCCCCTTTGTGTGCAGACTTGATCAGTGTGTCAGTGTTTCTGCTCACAGCTTTGCTGCCGGTGGTTGGATCTTTGACGTAATGTGCCGTCTGCGAGCGGCTCTGCACATCATCGCCCCCTGATCCTTTTCCTACAGGCTCCGGGTCCTTCTTAGAGCCCACACAGCCCATCTTGACTCCTGCAGGAGGAAGAGAGGAGAGGTTAATGAGGAGAGGAGGAGTTACTGTATCATGAGGAAACTGGAGTACAGTCGCTCTGTGTTGAACGTGGTCAAACAAGGAGACATGAAAACAGTATAAATAAATTTGTTATGACCTTTTTATCTGATTATTGTCTAAGAGTTGAGGCTAGAATCAAAACCTAAATTACTAAAGTGCATCAGAAGGCAAGAATTAGAATAAACATCATATTTATAGAGTGTAGTTAAATCTGTTGGATGATAACGTGCTGCTCTGTAAGGAAAGGCCACCGTGGAAAGTCTTGAAACATTAACTATAATCTATAATATACCAGTTTCAGTTTCAGAAACAGATGAACAGTCTTTCAAAATGTAGTGAACCATGAAGTTTATGCAAAATAAACTGTGTTCAGGGAGTTAAAGTATGAGTATAAGACCAAGATGCTTGCTTTTGTAATCTGGAACCTACAGTAGACAAATATTTAGCTTCACTTTGAGTTAAACGTGTGTGAGTAGCTCTGTCTATTAAACTCCAGTTTAATAGATGATCATTCTGAGTCTGAAAGGATGTCTGACTTCTGCAAAGGAATATTTCCCATGAAACACAGAGACTATAAACCGAGCTCTTCCTGCAGAAACTGTTTAATCATTCATGTGCTGGGTGTTTACAGCATCTGCTGGTAATTATTAATTCTGATGTTATTGCAGCATTTTTTACTGTTAAACGTGAAGTTACTGAGAGTTTCAGTCGGAGATCACTGCACAGTTTTGCTCTCAGATCTGGTGAGGATGAGTTTTTATCAGCTTATGAAAAAGACTGAAATAATTACAGATGCATCTGCAGCAGCGTGAACGCTAACAGACAAGCAGGAGCAGGATAGGAACACCAGCCTGTATCAGCTGACGCCTCAGCTTTAAATGAGGAAATGATCGGTTTTATTTTAAAACGCCTCTCTGATATTATTCTTTAAACAAATGTGGTTTTAACTGAGATATTTATATATTCATATCACAGAACAGTTTTAACTGAGCAGCAGCACCTTCACCTGCGTCTCTTTTAAAATAACCACGAGTCAAAAACTTGGCCCTTCGTAGAAAAGCCCCGACATAAATAATTCTGTACTTTTCTAATCTAATGAATGAAAATAAAAAATAACTTCTGTATATTTTAGCACTGAGTCAGAAGACAGATATAAAAGTTGTCCTCTTCCCTTTTCAGCCAGAGAAGATAAAAATAAACCAGAGCATGGTAAGAATGTCCCACTAAAGGAAATTCAATAAAAATGAAATTATTACAATTACACTCATGATAAGCAGAGGGCTGCCTTTGAACTCTTATCAAATAGAGATGTTGGTTCAGTTTGGGTGAATTAAAAAGTGTGTGTTTGGGTGGAGCGCGTGTGAAAGTGTCCTCGTCTTCTTATGTGATGCTGTTGGATAGTGGAGGGCGTTTGAAGTCTCTGTGAGATGGTCAATGAGAGGTCGACACTGTGAGTCAGCTCTGCTATATGGAAATACGAAGTCTGATACAAAGTCCACAGGTATTAGGGACTATTGATAATCTGTTTTTAATTACCTTTTTTTTAATATATTACTGATTAATGGTGAAAATTTTAATTTGTTTTTGATAGATTACTTTATCCTGTTTCACTGAATGTTATTTCTATCAGAGTGAGGCACTTTATCCACTCTGTTTCTCACATCTTAACCTGCGCTGTTTGGTTTTTAGTTTGTTTCTCCAAGAGTGAGAAACAATAAAGCTCCCTCTGTCAACTGCTGCAATAATGATTTACATGCAGCTGCAATAAAAGACATTACATCTGCATGTGTGTGTGTGTGTGTGTGTGTGTGTGTGTGTGTGTGCGTGTGTGTATGACCATGCAAATGTGTTCACAGTTCTGTGGATGAACACACAGAGTGAGTGTGTGATGGAGATAAAGGAGGCTGTGTTTTTTACAGAGAAGAATTGCAGATGAATCAGGGAATATATTAAAGTTTAACGTAAGCCGGAAACAATTTCAATTTGATCTTAAAGGTCTGAAATTGGTGGATGATATTTCAAAGCAGCAGAGAGGACTCTAACAGCACTGAGGAACAACAGCTCTGATGGTGGGACTCTGAACTTCTCTCTGTAGTTTGTTTGCTCTCATTAATATTCTCGCTGAGCTATAAATTCTTATCTATAACTGAGTCTATCAATAAATAGAGACCATAAACCAAACTCCAGACAGGCAGACACAGAGACTATTCTCTGATGAATGATCTCTAAACATGGTTTATAATCCACCCCCCTTTACGCAGTGGAAAAAGTTTCATCTGAACATTTAGACACAGGAAGTTTTGGTGTTGCTGAGGTCAAAGATGGTGTCAACACTTGGACTTCCTTTTTTTCTATCTTTGTTCCTCTTTAGCCGTCTCACTGTGGACCTGTTAACTTCTTTATCAAACTCCTCTGCCACTTACTGAGCATGCTCAGTGACATAAAGTGGCGCTCAGTCTTTGTTTTACCTGCAGCTGAGGCCTCTGGTCCAGGTGTGAGTGCAGGTTTACACCTGCCTCTATGTGAACACAGAGAGATGCAGACTAAGCAGCCAGTATCAGCTAAGAGGACTTTATTTGACTATCAGGTGACACATTGATGGAAACAGAGCTGATAAACTGTCCACATGTAGATCCATAACAACCACATCAAACCATCTTGATTGTTCAGATGGTAAAAAGTTCACGTTTGAGGAGCACTTTTAGAAACTCTTTTCATAGCTTTTTCTGCAGCTTCAGAGCTTTCTTAAACGATCCATTCATAAATCTATGCATGGAAATGTCTGAATTTCTGAATATACATGAGTAAAGATAGAGCAAAGATCAAAAAAGAAATATGTTTTGATCGAAGATTAACCGATCGTGACGGTATGCGGCGAGATGGAGGATAAAATTTGTCTGTGACACAAAGACAGGAGTAAAAAAGAGCTCAGCTGACAGAAAGAGAGCGAGGAGGTCTGATTATCCGGTAAGTTATTTAAACTCAACAGATTCTCACAGTGTGGTCAACCTCTGATATGTCTGATGTAAACAGACTGACCTGACATGTAGGAAATCCTCTCTGTCTTTGCTTGGTGTGAACGCAACATGACTTAAAGCACCAGCTAGATAGCTTTATGGTTTCAGACTGGATTCTGGTCGGTAAATTGTGATTTCAAGTCCCTCCTTCTCACACCTGGCAGGTCTTTGGCCAATTTTCTGTGGCAGACATCACAAATGCTTAAAGTTGTGGACCTACATGTTAATAATATCATACCCACATATTTCTGACAGATGGATGAATTTTTAATGTCAGGTTCAATCAGTGATTATGAGCTGCAAAGAGTTTGATCATTTCACTGAGAATCGACCGATCAGCTTCAAAGGGACGTTTCTCTTAAGAGGAAGTTTCCTCTGTGTTTCAACCTCCTCATAAACAGAGTTTTGGGTCTCCAAGGACTGAGGTTTGAAAAATGTCCTTCAATATTGAAAATGCTGCTTAGTCTGTAGCCCTTTGTCTGCCCCGAATCCTCTCTTCTCATTTCACTCCAACCAAAGTCTAGGTGAAGCTCTAAGCTGCTTTATAACCACCAACAATCAAAACAAAGTAATCTACTGGATTACAATTCCAGTATGAACCTGAAGGTTAGCAGGTGCAGACTGAATCAGATGTACTTAAAAAGAGAAAGGTCTTTACTCCATCCCAAGTCCTCTATCACTGTAGCATGATCTGAGCAGGTGATTTGAGGGTGGAGAGGAAACCCGAGCTGAAAACTTTCACCTACAGCTGCTGTCTGAAGAAACCACAGATGAGGAAACCTCAGCAGACCCTGATCCTCACAGAGGCAGGGAACTAAAACAGGTCAGTCTGAGAGGACGTCTACAAGACAGGAGGTCTCAAACAGGTTAGTCTGCAAGGACATCTAAAACAGGGAAGTACAGTGTTACTTTCTTTTCTTTACTGTTTTTGATCTAAATCGAAAATGAACACTATTTTGGTCAAACTGTCATTTTCTGCTCTGTTTAGCATTTTTTTTGTCTTCTGTTAGGGATCTGAAAGATAACCTCTGAGAAATCTGCCACCTCTTTGGCTATGCAAACAGTTTCACTTCTCTGCTCTGGGATTATTTCTGTCTGAACTTCAGGGTGACCAAAAATAGACCTTAAGAAAGATCCACTATATGACTGTTATGTTAAACAAATCAGTCAAACTAGCTTTCCTCAGACTTATTCTTATTCAAATTCTGAGAAATTCTTACCGTAGGTCTGAGGGATTATTGTTGTAGGTTTGAGTAATTCTTAGGCCTGGACGATATAGAAAAAAAGCATATCGATAAAAAATAAATCATATTGATCGATATCGATAATTATCGATATAATTATTATAATTATTTAACATATATTTTAATTGCAGCCCTGGATGTTTTATGCTATTGCTTAATGACCTACTTTTAATAAAGAACGCACAAGCACTGAATTCAAATTCAAACCTTTATTCAACCACCTTTTTTATTTTACCACAACTGAAAGTTTTTTAAAAAAGAACTAAAAAAAAAAAAGAAATCAACTTAAGTGGCCTGAGTGACGTCAGTAAATACTGACAAACATAAAGACTAAAGTGACCAGAAAATCTGATAAATAAATATTTAAATAGTCTTTTGATGAAAATAAACAAAACAAACAAATATATAAATAAACAGAATAGCTTTAGGTGGGAATAGCATACTACCAGTTTTAACTGTGTGGGAAACTGCCCACAGCCTGGTGTCTGAACACTGAAATATTTCTCCCGGGGTCGGGAGATTTATTTTTTTTAATTATCATGTGATTGACTTAATACACAAACTAAGCACGAGAAGCAGGACTTATCCACGCCGGTGTTGTGTCGTAGAATGCACCCCTGCCGAATGCACCCCCTGCTAGTAGCCATGATCCAAATACTCGCGTCTTTGTAAAATATGAGCTCATTTGAACGTATTTCCTCCGCACCCTTCTCACCTTTTCAACCCCTGACCCATTTTCATGCCTGAAGCGCTGTGTTTGAGAAATACTTGCGGCCGGACACTTCATATCGCGGGTCGAGAGTGGCTAGAAGCTGTTTGAAGCCAGGCTTTTCAGCGGTAGTTATTGGCAGTATGTCCCTCGCTATGGAGCATGTTACTGCATGGGTGATGTCCTTATGCCGCTTGGACGCTTTGTCGTATTTTTGGCAAGAAACGAAGTCCAGTTTGGTCTGCTTCACATGCTTTGTGCTGGTGCTGGCAGCGGTTCCAGAGGATTCCTCCTCCGACGACGACGTGGAGCCGCGGCGCGGCCGACACAGCTCGTACTCCTGCGGGTGCGACCGGTTTAGATGGTAAAACAAGTTGGTTGTGTTACCAGACTTGGTTTTTACTAATTCTCTGCAAATTTTGCAAACGACCGCTGTTCGCTTTTTGTCAGACTTGTAAAAACCAAAACATTGCCATGCTGGAGAACTGCTGAGACCTTTTTTCGGGACAATGTCCTCCGCTTCTCCTTGCTGTATCATTTTTTCTAATACACGTGCTGTCTGTTGTGGTTTGATAGGGGCTGGGCTTGGTGCCGTAGCGTACCTGGGTCTGCGTTTGTGATTGGTTTGGAGGAAGTAATGACTGCAGTAAAAGCTACATGATAGGCTATGATGAAAAAGAAAGGGAAACTGTGTTTTTCTATCGAACTTTTTATCGACCCGTTTTTTTTCTATCGCACCACACGTCTATCGATCGATATATATTGTTAGGGATTATTACCGTAGGTTTGAGTAATTCTTACTGTAGGTTTTGGTTATTGTTACTGTAGGTTTGAGTAATTCTTACTGTAGGTCTGAGGGATTATTACCGTAGGGTTTGAGTAATTCTTACTGTAGATTTAAGTTATTCTTACCCTAGGTTTGAGTTATTGCTACTGTAGATTTGAGTGATTCTTACTGTAGGTTTGAGTTATTGTCACCGTAGGTTTCAGTTATGTCATGGACACGGGTGAACTATGTCAGAGTGTGTGCTCTCAGAGGGTTTACGGCATCATGTTGCGGTGGAATAAACATCCGTGTAAAAACTGAATTTTGGTTGCTTCTTTTTGCCTCTCAAATTCTCAAAGAGGACGAGGAGAGAAATTGAACCTGTGAATAAAAGCTCTGACAGTAACAGTGATGTTTACTTTTGTCCAGCCTCTCTAAATCATCATACATCCACCTCAACGCATTTGGTGCACAGTAAAAATGTCAGAATTTTTCCCATTGATATTTAGAAGTGCATTAGTAAGATGGAAGGGTGGGCATAAGAGTTTACAGCATGCTCTCCTCTGATTTACCCTCACTCATATGGGAGTAGCATTTCTTTTCCTGATACACTGAAATTTAGACAGAGGGACTGAAGACGCTGGTGTTTTTTTTTTTCTCATCTTCATCAATCTGAGGATACCAGAAGATGAGGACACCTTTACTTCTACCTCCTCACACCTGCTTCACCTGAGCTCTCAAAAGCTGACTGAGACCTACAGCTCCAATCATTTAAACACAAAGACTGTGTAATTAGTATTACACCTGACCACAGGTGCATCGTACTCTTAAAGAGATTGGGTTCCATTCATGAAATGTTCATGAGTAGTTTTACATATTAAAGTCCCCAGTACTAAAGAAACAGCTCTGGATTCATGAATGTGGCAGTAAAGGAAGGAAAATCAATCATGAAGTAAAATCAGCACGTCTAATGTGAAGTTAACAGATCACAAAATACACAAAAAAGTGATTTCTGATAATATCAAGAAGCATTTCTGTGAATTCTTCGCTTACATAAATTATACTTGTGGTCAGGAGCAGGTGTAGCCTTTGTTAGTAGTCACACAAATCAGACCTACTAAAACAGTGATAATTTTGACCTTAAATTTAATCCTGCTCACCTTTTAATAAATTTAGATTTTTTAAGACTTTCAGCCCTGCATCCAGCGTTTCGGCCCCAGAACTACAGTATACCAAAATGCAGTGGGACACGCCCTGATTCAGTTTGCTTCAGGCACTTCAGACAGTGCGTTAGTTTGGTTTCAATAAAGCCCTTTGTGCGTCTCTTCATTACTTCCTCCATGAAAGTTCTCTCTTCTCTGCTGGGACGAGCTTAATGAGGGAATCAAGCTAAAACCGGTGACAGGGAAGTTTGACTGCTGAGCTTTCTGTTATTTAAAAAAAAAAACTCCCTCAGAGATTAACCTTTTGCTCTTTTGCACAAGACCCTGACAGACCGTCCCTGAGGTTTCTCACTACCCTCGATGAAAACACTGAGGTCAGAGGCAGCTCACTTGACCATGTACGATGAATACATGAATCTTGTCCTTGGATGACTGTGGATGACAACACACTGAGTTAACAGCAGCTGTGCCCAGGTCTGCAGCCACCATTTAAAGGGTGAATGAACTGCGTTTCTCTACCTCTTTGACATCTCATGTCACATTCACACTACAACCACACACTGATGGCAGGGGCTGCTATGTAAAGCACCAACAGTATAAGCTTATCCCATTTGCACAGGTCTAGAAACGAATAAATCTCGAGGACAAGAGTCTTGTCCAAGGCTACTTTGGCATGTGGACACCAGGACCTGAGCTTGAACCACCAATCATCTGAATGAGAGACCGACTCTACTGCAGAGCCACAGCCGCCCTCCATGTCTGAAAACAGATAACTGATGGGAGCTGAAGCTTCACCTCCCAGAGTGATTTTATCTTGACAGACACTGAGATTGAACAGGTAGACGTGTTTAAAAGACACAGATATTCGTCACCAGTTCAAACATAGGAAAACAGAGCCAGTATGTGGACACAGACAGAGCAGTCTAAAGGGAACATTAAAAACCTAAACCTCTTTTTAGCCCGTTTGAGTTTCACTGAGTCACAACTTCAGCTTTGACTGTGGAAGAGGAAGAAAGTGCTGTTTGTTCTTTAAAGTTCGATTTTAGAATTCACTCAGTCATCTGAAAGGGAAATGCTGAAGTGTGAATGTCCTCACAGTCAGAGAAACTCTGAGACAAAACAGTGATACCCAAGACTCTATTTCTGATCCTACCACACAGAGTTCATTTACTTCTCTATACAGATGATTTTTGACTCCGCTATCAGGCTCACTCTCCTCTTCAGCCAGGGTTAGGGTTTGACTCTACAGTCACTAAAACAAGGACCGACAGATGCTGCAATACCAACAGTCATTATAAAAGAGCACAACCTCAGGCCAGAGCTGTGACCCTGATAACCCCAGCTGTTGGTGTTTCAGACACAGTAGAATCTCACAGGGTCCTGAGGTCCTGAGATTAGGCCTAATCCATCAGTGTCAGACATCAACACTCTCATATGATGGTCAGCAGTGAACAGTGAGTCCCTATGAATCACTGATAGTCACTGAGAGTCAATGAGAAGCACGGAGAGTCCCTGAGATTCACCGAGAATTTCTGAGAGTGAGAGAATCTTAGAGTCATAGACAGTCACAGAGAGTCTGTATGTATGTATCCATGTATGATCAGTAGTTGAACACAATTAAATATTTTTAAACTAAAAATCAGTCTATCACCCTTCAACAGAATTTACAGTTTAGTAAATGTCAGAAATAGAAGATCAGTGATTGGAACAGTCGGACAAACCTTCTTAAAAAAAGGAAAGGTGCGAAGTCCAGAGGAAGTTAAATATTATCAGAGGAGCTCTTTGTCGTAAAATATGGTCTGAGATTTACTCTGAAGATTTTACTTCACTGATGCCATCCGAGTCAGAAGACCAAAACTTCAACATACGACTCGGCAGGTCCTCTAGAGTCTCTCCTCTATTCTGTTAAAGTCAGCGGCTAAAGTTTATAAAGTTCCTCCTGGAGTGAGGAACCAAATTAGGACCTTCATTAAGGTCTTATATAAGGTCTGATTCCTGTGTGAAACCAAAAGTCAATGTTAACTTCTTTAAAGTTACATAAGAGAAGTTATTAGTTATACCACAAACTTCATGTTCACAGAAGTTGATAAGAAGTCATCATCTGATTATCAAATTGATACTGGAGTTTTAGTTCCTGAACAAAATAACCATGAGCGTTTCTCAGCGGTAACCACGACCAAAACATGTTTACAGCGAAGACTAACTGACAGGACTTACAATCCAAATACACACGGATGTGTCAGAGTAATAGTGGAATAATATTAATAAATGGCTGGTGAGTACAATCATGATTTTATTCTCGTGAGTTTTGTCAGCCAGTTTATCTTTAAAAGGCTCTTTTGTTTTGACTTAAGTTAAACTTTTTCATTTTTGATATTTTGTTAGTTTTCATTAAAAATAATAGCCTAACCTCTGAGTGAGTCTGATTGGTTATTCGTGTCTATGCATCAGGCCTGAGATTGGCTGGCCAATTTTCAGGTGTAACCCTTCATCTTAACTGGCAGTAGTTGGACCGACCCCCTCAGACCCTATAAGAGTGAAGCAGTAAAATCTTACGGATGGATGGGTGTTGCATTTTTATTGTTACTGCCTATTTTTCTGAGTCACAGCTCATGAGGCAGTAAGTGCACATAATGAAGTTCTACATTGTCGTTTTGCGTCATGTCACTGCAGCAGGTTGGTGTCAGACTACACGCTGCAGAAAAATCTTAAAGCCACCTTTTTTGCACAGTAAAGCTTCACAGAGTTGTTTAACACGATGAAAACACCAAAACAGCCTCAAAGACTCACACAGTGGAAAGCTCCTGTCTTTCCTACAAGCCTGATATCTTTGAATCCAGTTCCCACTAAGAGTTGTGCATGTCCTATTATAATATGTCTGGTTTGAAAAAACACCCATGTATACACAGAAAAATATCAGCAAAGACAGGAGATACCACTTTTGTCCATCAGCACATATTTAGAGTTCCTGACAGGAGCTTTAATCTGCAGAGCTTCAGACTGAGAGCATGTTGGGACAAAAGCAGACTTATAATATAAATAATTAAAACACCATAACCTTGAGCTGTGCTGTTTTATAACTCTGTAGGAGGTTTATCACACATCATCACTACATGCAAATAAAGTTCTGCAGACTGCACACCGCTCACTCAGAGGAACATGAAGGACTGATGGAGCATCAGAGACCAGAGGTAGCAACACCAGACAACACCACAATGACTGTAGCTTCACTCCAACAAGCACACAACGTCAGAATAACGTCCACACCTGCAGGCCAAATAAACACACCACATGTTCACGGTCATCCTGTTTACATGAGCTGCAGCCAGCGTCTATTGTAGACATGCTGACCTATTTATCATCAATTTAATCTAGTCAGCGTTGGTTTACCACATGGTTATTATAACATCTATCACCTCGACAAACACGGGCTTTCAAAGAGTCTTGACACAGAAACAAAAGTGTTTATACGAGCGAATTAAGCACGAACCAAAAACTCTCCAAAAGAGCGAAACCAAAATTAAACCAGAACACAACTGAAACACAAACACTGACTGAACCACCGTCAGGGAGGACTCAGGTGTCCTCTAAGGCGTGATTCTTCTTCTCCAGGTGTAAATGATGTAGCTGTGAGCAGCTGACAGACTGTGTTCACCTGTGAAAGAGTGCCTACGGCCAAAACAACATCGCCTGCTCAGCTGGCATCAAACCAGTGAGACAGACGACACAGCGACAGGATGTCCCAGAGAGACATCTGGATTATTCACCAACTCAGAAAAGTATGGAGTGTCCTGTTACTGCAAAAACTCTCAAAACTCTATCCTGAAAGAGTTTAACCATGAAAATCCTGAGGTAAATATCTGATAACTACTGTATTAATGTTTTGTGTCTAAATATCTGATCACATCCCTTTCTTTTTGTGTTGTAAATGTGTTTAATTTTAATTTTTTTAATAAAGGGTTTGGGTTAATTTGGAAAGAGTGACAGCTTATTCAGAAAATAACGTGAAAATAACTTTTATTAGTCTACATCTCTGAGATCAGACAATCAGAAATGAATGTGAATTGATCTGTTTTAATGATGAAGGTGGTCTGAGTGTATTTCTCAAAAAAATGAAGTACGCCTCTATCTGAACATGTAAATGAAGTTCCCCTGTCACAGGAAGAGAAACCCCAAAGTTGAGTCAGAAACTTCATTGTTGCAGTGTCTTTAGTTTTTACACCATGAGGGAAAATCAGGCGGCAAGGCTGCGGAATAAAAAGCAACAGCTGCTTCAGAAGCACACAGAGGAGTTTAACTGTGACCTCCAGAGTGATGTAATGGTGGCATTTCTGCACACACACACACACACACACACACACACACACACACACACACACACACACACACACACACTTTCTGTGAGATTACAATGACAGCAGTCTTCAGATATAAAAATATAATCTTACCAAACCGTAGAGGGACAAATTTAACACTTGAGAGACAAGAAACAAGAAACAGAACAGAAACCAGCCTGCTCTTTGCTGCAGGCTAAAATTAACACACACACACACACACACACACACACACACACACACACACACACACACACACACACACACACACACACACACACACACACAGAGCACAAAGTTAGGAAATGACATTGAGAAAATAAGAACATGGTGGACAGCAGTGTTTTAAAACTGAGCTCAACGAGTGTATTTAACAATTATTATTATTATTATTATTATTAATATAATTATCATTATTATTATTTCAGCAGCAGTAGCACTAGTATTGGTGTTGCATTCTAAATGTGAGTCTGCTCACTTACTTATGTAGGCGGAGGTTAAAGTTCCTCTTTTTCAGCCTCTCTATGATAAAACCTCTAATTCATCTATCAGCATTCACCTTCATCATTTTCTCCGTATTTTCTGGCTCTTAAACTCCTCTGTCTCAGATTTGGTCGTTATACTTATGTGTACTTTTTGTGGTGTATTTGTCGGGTTCCCCCCTCCTTCCCCTCTTAGAGCTGAACAGATCAAAAGGACACTCACCGCTGTCCTCTCTCTGTCTCTTTTCTCTCTCTTACTCTCTCTGTGACTCTTCTTCCTGCTGTTTGCTGATCCTTGAGCCTCAGATGAAGATGATGAAGATGAAGTGCTGAGTATTCCTCATGTCTTTAGCTCGGCTCCATCCTCTCACGGTGCCTCTCGTCGCTGTGTTTGGAGTTGGAGATGTAGTCGGTCCGGCGGAGCGCAGCGCTCTGGACGCGCAGAAGGAAGTGCTCTGAGCGCGCGCCAGGCTGAGCTGTAGAAAAAGAGGAAGAGGAGGAAGAAACAGCAGCCACTGATGGTGTCAGAGGCGGAAACAGAGGCACCGTATCAGTCACTATCAGCTGCGGTTCACTCTGAGAGGCCGTTTCGGAGGACAACTTTTATTTGTACATCACTAGGTAACACCTGAAAACATAAAGCCATAATTATGTGTATGAACATGATAAACAAGCTCTTACTAGCCGCAAATTTACATTCCTCTAATCTCTCTCTCTCTGTTGGTTTTTTTCTACACTGTAACATCCAGGCAGGAGTTTAAGATCAAAGTCAAACACTGCAGTTCCACTCCTGTCCACTAGAGGCTGCATCAAAAAATGAGTCAATCCCCATAGACCCCCATGTTAAACACAATCATAACTTTTTATGTCATGTTTATTGCTTTTGAATCATATCATTTCACTTTCCAAGAAGACAAAAAAATTATCTTGAGCAAAACTTTTTCACTCTGTTCGAAGAAGTACAAGAATATTAGAGTAATTCTCTTCTGAGCACGAAATAATTATTTGCACAAGAGATCATTATTTGAGAACGGAAAATATACTGTGTGCAATATATATAAATAACTGCTGGTCAAAAGGTTTTCCTACAAAATAGCTACATCATATATCATATATATTATCCAGTGCACATAGTAAAGACAGTATTTCTGTTTGGGACTTTAGGTGCTGCATAATTTATCAGACTAACAGACTGTTGTAAAGTCCAATTCAGTTTTTACCCTCAGTCACATTATAACATTATTTTATTTGCTAGCACTGATCAACATCTGTGTGTACCTGGATTATTAAAACTGCTTGTCATAACTTTATATATCTTCATGAGGGTAAAGGTGGTTTTTGGCTTCATCCTGCAGAAAAATTGAAGATGTGGTGATTCAAAATGTTCACTTTAACAGTCAGCTCTGATGGTAGTATGTTTGATGTGCAGAGGTGAGTCTGCCTCCTCCAGCTCTATATCTTTCTCTCTATCTCCCTGCTTTCATATTTTAACTTCTGTGGTTAGCTAGCTCAAAAAAATACAACCTCACACTGTGGGAAACAGGGTGGAGTTGTTATAATGTGTTAGGTTTAACCTAGCAGCAGTAACTAGATCCAGAAGTACAAGATAGTAGCTTAAGCCCCCTGACTGGAGACTTTACAGCAGCAGGAGACAAAGTGATGGGTTAGATTTTTTTTCTTTTAGGGCTCTATGGTTTGAAAAAATGCCCGAAACACTAAATGAAAGAGTAGATTATTAAAGCTGGCAATGACAATTATTACTTTAATATTGCATGATCTATAAAAACAATCATTATTTGACATTTTTTAAGGAGGTTTGGATTTCCCCCCTCATGGTCTGATTCTGTCTGTGTGATCCATGAGACAGAGGGGAGGGGGGATAAATGGATCAACTGGACAGATGTGAGGGACACATTTGCATGGTGTACAGAACAGACCTAACATGTATTCAAATGATGGTTTGACAGAGAGAGAGAGAGAGAGACAGAGAGAGGAGAGAGAGAGACAGAGAGCGAGAGAGCTCAGGCTGCTGTAATCCTTAATCAGCGGCTGGATTAGATGCTGAGTTTGTTCTGAGAGAGCAGAGATGGAGGGAGGAGGTGGAGGGAGGAGAGGATAAGATGAAATGATGAGATTAGAAATAAATACAAAGGTAGAGCGTGTGAAACTGCTGAGGGATAAAGAGATAAAGAGACCCTAGCAGCACTGATGGATGGATGGATGGATGGATGGAAGGATGGATGGAGCCTCTGGTTTCGTAGAGAACCAAAGCTCACAGAGAGGTAGAAATAAAGATCCAGAAAAACACGAGGAGCTCAGTGAGAGGATGGAAACAAAGAGACATCAACAACCAATGAGAGGGGAGGACACTGAAAACACCAACTATCACCAGAATACAGGTGAGACAGGTGACGTTGACTTTACATAAACCTGGATTTCACCTGCACAAACGATCTTTCTCCCAGTGAGTGTGAACACAATTTGACAGTATCCAACATAGTGAACAAACCTGTAGCCCCCATTTTGAGGCATGCCTAACCTCAACCTCATAAGTGAAACACTTTGTAGCATGTAATGACAGAGGAGAGGAAACATTTCCTAACAAATGTGCAAACATCAGTTTCTGTGCACACGCCAGGATAATGACATCTGTCTGGTTTTCTTCCTCTTGTCCAGATCTGGGTCATGTAATCCCTCCATTGTCCCCATGGTCTATGTTGAGGTTGCCTCCCAGGTAGATCACCTTCAAGGAGATGCATCAAGGAGGTATGCTATCAGATGGGCCAGTCACTTCATCTGAAACTAGAACTGAACCAGAATCAAACACTCATGTTGAAACAAAGTAAACTATTCAGTCAGTAACATAAAACTCTGTTACTTATGATATGCAGACACAAATATGAATGAAAAAGCACAAATGTGAGTTTCACATTTTAACATGGGGCTCTATGGGGACTGATTCACCTCAGGGGTCAGCCTCTAGTGGACACTAGAGGAACTGCAGTTTTTACAACTGGTGTGTTGGCTTCATTGTTTAAATGAAGGATTCCTGTTGGAATTGGACTCTGGTTAAACACAGAACTGTTATTTATTAATTTTACATCATATGGACCAATAATAGGCAGACACTAGAAGGACCACTGGGTCTACTGCAGGGATGTCTACATTATGATGTGATTATAAATAATTAATACTAGTAGAGTTTTGATATTTTATACAAGGAGCACACCTACAGCAAACATTACTTTTTCAACAATTTATTCAAACAAAAAAATAAAATAAAATAAAAAAGTAAAAAAGAAGCTGGAGTAGATGTTTGAAAAACCCCAATAATTCTTTTTTGTTGTTGTTTTTGGCTTGTCCCATTGACTTCAATACAAAATGTTTATGCATTTTTTTGCAACATAAGTCATGAAAAATTCATACATAATAGAGAGAAGTAAGAGCACACCACTCCTGATCAAACCACACATTTTTGATCAACAATTTGTCCGACAACTCTTCAAACAGTTGAACCAGTAGCGAATCAAAATTTGTCCGGAAGAGGTATAAGAAAAAAATTCCACGGTATAACAACAGTGCCTTGGGGGGGCTCTAATCAATGTGATAATATTGATTTTTTTTTTTACTATTCAGGAGTGATTAATGATGTGAAAACTAGCCAATGACAACTCTAGACGTGAGAGTGGTGGTATCATGACTGTGAGGTCGGGGTCAACTTTGTGGGCATGAAGGAAAATCTATATGCTCTTTAATAATCTCTGAGAACAATATGAAATAAATCATCCAGACTCTGAGCTTTTTATTTCAGAAATCAGATTTATTTTAGCATCATACAGAGAGCAGTGTATTAATACACAAAGTGATAACATTCAGACAGATGGATTATCAAAATCAAAGCTCATCGTGACAAAGTCAGTCACATTTTAACAACCCAGAGCTGTCAGGGATTTTAGTCAGTGAACATCGAAGAAAGGTTGCTCCTAATGGACTCCAATGGACAAACAGAGCTGCAGTGGAAACTATAGAAATCAATGGAATAACATCAGAGCTCACACACACTCTCACAGGATCAAAGACTGTGATCAGAGCGGAAACAAGGGAGAACAATGTCTGATATTTACAGTAAAAAACAGTTTTTATACCGTCAATTATCTAAGCGGACAATAATTTATGATTTTTCTCATCATGACACACTGACTACGAGAGAAGGATGAGTTACAAACAAACACTGTTTATCACCTCCATCCGCCTAACACATATACAGTAACACACACAGACACAGTAACACACACAGTAACACACTCGGTCACAGCTGTGAGTGGAAAGTTAAGCGTTGCAGAATATGTCAGCACTCTCAAAACCAGAAAGAGGAAGTGGAAGCAGTTATTTCTCTTAGTTGGTCAGTAAAAAACAGGGCGGGGGGTCTGAACAGAAATAACCGGGTTTCGACGGAGATGCCAGGAAAGAGAAAGAAATACCCAGAATACACTACCAGAAAAATACAGAGACACAGGGGAGAGGCTGTGGGACCACAAAATCTTGAGATGGTTTTTAACAGCTGAGAGAATCAGGAACTAAAACCAGACCACGATCTTTGTCCTCCAAACTCTGCTGTGTTTGTTTTATTTGGTCATTTCCTGACACTCTGCTGTGTTTTGAGCGAACAGTGACTCAGTTTTAAAGACGGCTCACACGCTCAGGGCTTTTAAATCATTGAGACATTTTCTGAGCCCTCTATGTCTCTGTAGTTTCTGTCAGGGTCTGCTCTGGTCCTCAGTGTAGTCAGGTTTTCTGTGTTCAGTTTGAAGACGAGTGTTTGACACTCTCAGCAGGACTGTGGGAGGTTAGAGAGACACTGTGGAACAAAGAAACGTGACTGACAGCTCTCATCTGTCGTAGCTTTCTGCACGAACAAGCACCGCGTTCAAGAGGAAACGGCTCCCTACTGTACTGGTAGAGTATCACAGAGCAGTGTGGATGCCCCTGACCCTAACCCCTACCACACAAGTACACTGTGCCTTTAACAGCAGACTCAGCCACAGTGTAGTTAAACTACTACACTGTGGCTGTATTTAGACTACTACTGAGTATTTAGAGCTGGGTATTGCCACTGGTTTCCTGGATTTATTCAATTTCGTTTATCAAGATCCCTGATTCGATTCAGTTTAATTTTCAATTTGATTTAATTTGTTTGATTCTATATTGATTCATTGAGGGGTGTTTCAGCTACAGTACCTGTTTTTGTTGAATATGATAGGAAGTCTTAAAAAACAAGCTGTAAAGTAATCAGAAACAATATAAGCGCTTTCTTTCATGGAGACAGGGTGTGTGATAAAAGATTGATAATGAACCGATATTTAAAAATTTGATAAAAAAATCTATCTGAATCGGAAAAATGATTTTTTGAACCCAGCTGTAGAAGTCAGACCACTGCAGTGTAGTAAAGAGTCCACACAGAGATCTAAACCAGGCTGTAGGCATGAAAAACTTCCTACTAACACTGTCTGTTCTGTAAAGTATATACATCCAATCAGGAACTCCTGAAGTGATCATGTGATCAGTCACTAGGCAAACAGAAATCAGCATCCACAGACAGTACGTTTGTATTATAAACTATCATGTTTTAGTTCATCACTCTCACAGAGGGGCTCCACTTCATCTGTCTGTGCTGAGTCTCAGTTTCTCTGTAAATAATCTCTCAGAGGCGTCACTCTGGCCTCCTTCAGCAGTGTGAACCTGAAACAGAAACTGATGTTCTTGTGATGTTCTCCTCATTATCATGATCCAGTTTGCTGAATTATTAGATATAGATCTGTCTATTATCAGTAATAAGTCTTTTTGTGTTGTCGTGTGTCTGATTAAGATGTTTTAATTGTGTTCATAGTCACTGAAGCTTCCTGTTCAGAGTTCAAAAGTGTTCAAACTGAGAGAGAGGATTTAACTGAAGAGGAATCCTTCACAGGAGGAAACTCACACGATAAGTGTTAACCTGTGAATCAGAAAGTGTGAGTTTGTGCTGTTCTGGGGGTTTAGTGTAGACCGCTGTCCTAATTAAACTGAAGCTTATTTGTATCACAGACAGATGTGAGACTGAAAATAGACAGAAACATGTATGATGAAGACAAGACCTGATGGTGATGGATGATGGTTTAAATGTGAGCAGAAGTCTGAGGGTTCTGCCTCATCACTGTCTGTGTTTTATAGAAAAGCTACAGGTGATGATTCTCGGTTGTGTGTTCAGAGCTTGTTTCTAGTGCCCCCTGGTGGTAAAGCCAGTTAAGACAGCTTTAGATGAAGTGCTGTTTCCTTCCTTATCTGGGGCTTCTCTCCTCTGTCCTCACTGTGATCTGGATCTTCCTCTCAGACTGGACATCTGCAGAGACCAAAAACAAATCAGAGGAGGTGACAGGGTCAGTATGAGATGATGAAACAGGAGCAGCATCATGTCTGTCCTTTTGGGGGTTACTAAAAGGTCAAGTCTGAAAGAAAACAGAGAAGAAGAGTACATCTTCTTCTTCGTCTCACCGTCCGTCTCTGAGTCTCTGTCCGTCTCTGTCTCTGCAGACGTCCTCTTCCTCTTACAGCTTCGGTAACTCTCAGGGCCGGACGCACACTCCTCCTCCTCCTGTCCGTCAGAGCCGCTTCCTGTCTCTGCTGCAGGTGAGGATGACTGTGTGGGTCAGAGGAGGAGCAGGTGAGCAAACGGCTGAACCATCAGGTGAGATTTACCTGAGTCTGTGCTCTGTCAGAGCTCTCTCTCTCACCTTACTGTCTGAAGTAGAGTCCTGTTTTTTCAGAGCAGAGTTCAGAGTCTCCAGCACTACTACTGTGACACACACACACAGATAGGAGACAGGTGTGTTACTCACCTGTATGTGTGATAAGCATTCACACAAAGACACAAAAAGGTAAGAGAGTGAGTTCTGTACCTGGGCGTAGAGATAAGGTGAGGATAGGAACCTTCTTGTTGTTGTTCTGCTCTGTCTGTCCGTTAAGTTCGTCTCTCTGCTCCTGACAGGAAACATAAGTTTACCTTGGGTACTAAGGAGTGTGTATATTTGTGTTCAAATGTGTATATACTGTATATATGTGTGTTTATGCTGTTGTGGACCCTTGTCTTTGAAATAAAGGTCTGTAGTTACTGTGCAGTCGTGGTTGGTGGGGGGCTCCTCCTCCTGGACTTTAGCTGGTGATGAAGAGGAGGATGAGGAGGACCGGGGCACAGGTGATGGTTCTGGTCTCTGTGCCGATGGGTTGGCGTCCCTGTCTGGACTGTCATGAACTCGCTGCTCTCCTCTTAAGGTCAAAGGTGAATAATCTCTGGCGGTCTGGTTGGGTTTGGTCTTCCCTCGCTCTGATAGGTCCAGAGGCCCCTCACACGCCTCTCTCAGCCCGTCTGCAGACCCCTTTTCTGTCCTGGCTGTCTGGATCTCCTTCCTCTCTTGGGGTCTGGAGGGGCTGTCTGATTGGTTGGGCAGACCCCTGAGTCTGAACAGCACTGTGGGTTCTTTGGTGGGTGGTTTCGGGGCACCCTGTTTGGGCCACAGAGACCCGAAAGCCTGCTTCCTGCCAGGCTGACCCATCTGGATCAGGCTAGGGAATCGTAGAGGGTGGGACTTAGGGGAGGGAGGCATCACCAGGATGGATCCTGGAGCAGAGCCCCAGTCAGCGGGCTCAGACAGAGGCCAGTTGAGGGACACAGGGCTGCTTTTGATTGGCTGAGGACGACAGGGGATAGACGGGTGGAGGACATGTCTGCTGGGGCTCACATCTCCTATGGATGTTGAAGAGCAGTTTTTCAGAGGAACCACCTGAGGAAGGATGAGGGATCTGTGGTCTAGTCCTTCAACGCCCTGAGATCTAAATCAGGAGGAACAAGAGGAGGTTTAGATGTTTAGATGAACTAATATTTGGAACCAAATAATTGGACTGGAACCTAGACGAGGCTGTGACAACATACAATACATACCAATGAGATTTTAATTACTAGTACACCTATCTTGGCCTTTATTGTTGTCTGTTGTAATTAGAAATGTAATGTCGTCATAACTCTTGTTTCAGTTTTGATTTTAACATCTCGATACAAATGTTTACTGTCTTCTTGCGGACCCCAGGAAGAGAAGCTGCTACTTAGGTAGTAGCTAATGAGGATCCAAATAAATAAAACATAATCAGTCATTGATTAACGAACATTTGATTAATCATGTTTGTGAGACACAACTAGATTCATACCCTGGACCCTCTCTCAGCTGGTTAATGCTCTCTCCTCTATAAACTGTGTCTGGATGAACTTTCCTGCTGCTGCATGCTCTTTGAGGATCAGGTCCCAGTTTGATGACCTATTAGCTGAGATCTAGACCGGGATTTCACAGTTTGACACCCAACTACCAGTGCTCTGTTTCAGCTGTGGAGCACCTGTCCTTCTGTCTCTCCTGAGTCTCAGTTTCACAGTAAATGATCGTTCGAGGGTCTCTCAAATAGATAACTAACGCTGTCACAGAAAATCACTTAAACAAACCTTAGCAGAACTTTTCAGCATATCAACACAACATAAAGTGCACCCCTCAACCTTCCCAACAGAGGGCGTCAATGTTACACACACACACACAAAACAGTGAGACACACTTTCAAATACATTAATGACAAACTAAACTCTGTGTATAAACTCAGTCTAACCTTCTCTCTGTAGCCCGGCTCACACTCTGCTGCTCTGGTTTCCAGCCCGGTGAGGACAGAGGCTTATACGACTCCTAAGAGAGTTCACACAACATCAACACAGAAATGAATAGTTTTCACTTTATATCATCTATATGTCATATAAATCTAAAGGAAGAGTCTATACTTTGAAAAAGAAAATCCATTTCTATGATTTAATTAAGAAGTTATAAAATAAGAAGTATAAAAACAATCTTATTGCCTTAAACTGCAACTTTCTTACCCTGAAAACAGTAGAGAGGGAAACCTATTTCATTTCACAATTTATTAGGAGTAAAAAGTTAAAGGTCTGTTTTAGTAGATGACTAAACTTACAAGGTGGTTTCTGTGGACCCCTCTCCATGGTCTGTGCTCGCTCTCTGCTGATAAAAACACAAACTTATTAAAATCCAAATCAAATAAAAAGCAGACAAACGCTCTTCCCCTTCCTCCTCACCTTCACTTTTGGGCTCTACCTCAGTTTTTACTGAGACGTTGCCTTCTGCTGGCTGGATGCTGCTCCTGCCGGTTGCCATGGAGACGAGGGAGACAGGTCCAGAGGAGGGGGAGCGGTCAGAGGGGCTGCTGATTTTAACCTCAGAACTGCTGGAGGAGAGGTCACTGTGACCCTTGCTGTACACACACACACACACACACACACGCACGCACGCACGCACGCACGCACGCACGCACGCACGCACGCACGCACGCACACACACACATTGTAATTACAAGATAACATCTAACTGTTAAGGTGTCAGTAACAAAAGTATAATCTTGTTGCTGAAAACTGGCTGTCAAACTATTTCAAACTTTTAAGAAGAAATTCTTAAATTACCATATTAATTTGATCAGCTGATCACAGATACAGCCTCTGATTGATTGATCAACAAATCAAAACAAAGATGGCAGACAAAGATTTATAAATTAATAATAAGTCAGAGTTTCTCACTCCAGAGCTGCTCTTAAGGTCCGGATCTCGTCCCTCAGCCTCTTGTTCTCCTTCTTCAGGTTGTTCATCTCTGTAGCTTCAGATCAGCAAACACAAATGATGCTGTTAACAAGTGTTTATTTAAAAGAAAGATGGATCTAAATGTGTTAGAATGAAACTCAGAGGTCCAGAGCCAAAGCAGGGATTTTAACAGTATAAAATGAACTGTGATAGAGATGAGAGGATAAGGGTTTGAATTAGTGATACCCAGTAGAGACATGTGTTGAAGGCTCTGCATCTGAGAGGCTTCAAACTCCTGCTGCTTTCTCTTCGCCACCTCCTGAGTCACCGTACACCTGTCACAAAGCCCCGCCCTCAACCTGCCGACAAAACCACACATCATCAGCAAGTCCCTAATCCCAGTAATATAAGCTGTATATACAGTACTTATTGTAAATCTAGCACACTGAACTGTCTCCCTACCATGTCCTAACCCTCATGGTCAAGTCTGCTGTACTTCTGATTGGCTAATCTGGTAATAACTTCAAAATGAACACATTACTAAAACATTTCTCTCATGTACAGTGGATGTCAGGGAAGCTCTGAACTATTCAGGATGAAACTGTTTTTGAACCAGGCCGTAAACCTGCTTCGTCTTTAGCCTCATTTCTTTAGACTAGTTGTTGCGGCTTGAGACAACAAGAACACATGCAGGTGTTGTGATGGATTATAATTACCTGTTTTCCAGACTCTTGATGTTCTCAGTCAGTAACCTCTGCTGCTCTTTCATCTGCTGGTTTTTAGTGAACAGTTCTTCCATTCGCTTTGTGTCACTGTGATTAAAATATGTTGTAAATTTTACAATCAGCATGTGAGCTGGGCCATAGTGATGTTGTCTGCTCAAGTGGAGCTCATTTAAAACCAAGTACAGAGGCTCTCACTCACCAGCCTTTCTTATTAGACAACTCCTGGATCTTCATCTGCCAAACTGAACATCACAACAACAACACAAAACAACACAAAAACACAACAAAACAACACAAAAGCCAAAAAAATTCATAAACACAACAAAACATAAAAAACAAAAGAACAACACACACACACACACACACACACACACAAAAAAAAACCAACACAAAACAAAGAAACAACAAAAAACAGCTGGTCAGATATACTGTAGAAATCACTGGTGTAACAGGTGTCACGGTTGTAACATGTGTAACAGATTTAACAGAGCCACTGGTGTAACATGTGTTACACGTGACCCAGGTATTACAGTGTCACAGATGTCATTGGTGTAACATGTGTCACAGGTATCAAAGTGTCATAGGTAACACAGTGCCACAGGTGTTACAGGTAAGTGTCATGGGTCCCACAGTGTTACAGGTCTCATACTTGGGTTCATCTAACCACATCAGATGTTTCAGATGAGTTCATACATATAACCCTCTGTCCAGTGTCATGGCTCTACTTACCCTCCAACTCCCGCTCGTGGACCTCCCTCAGCTTCAGGAGGAGGCTGTTAAAACACTCCATCACTTTGCTGACCTTTGACCTTTGACTGAAAGATAAAGCGCATGTGATCATTAGAGAGTTACACTAAAGATTTTAGACCAAGTATTTCAGATATATTCAGACCTGACCCTTCATGTCTCTAAATGCACCTGAACACCAGCACTCACAGCAGACAGGCTCAGACAACAATAAATCAAGAGTTTGTGCCTGTACGTTATAGCCCGCGGACTCTGTGTGTGTGTGTGTGTGTGTGTGTGTGGGTGTGTGTGTGTGCGCACTCTGATAACCTGCCCCGCTTCATGTGGGAGAAAATGTAGTTTTTATTTTTCAGGAACATTAAGCCGGTCTGACCGGTCCTGCAGGCTCAGGGCTTCAGTTTGCAGTTTAAGTTCCAAAGACATGAAAAACAACTTTCACACACTACATACATAGAGAGGGAGGGAGAGAGAGACAGAGAGAGAGAGACAGAGAGAGAGAGAGAGAGAGAGAGAGAGAGAGAGAGAGAGAGATTAGAGTATGTGTGCATCGTATGATGACAATTAGAAACTCTCTATAGATACTCATCTTTAGAGCAGCTTTCATTTAAGAAATAAAGCAAAACGAAATACAGAGACACGTTTTCCACCTAACATGCAAAGACTTACTTTAAAAGACAACATTGACAAGAGAGAAAATTTATAACATTTCATGACACAAATTGTAAATGAAAACAACTTTTTAGATGTTAAACAGTCTGCAAACTGCACTGATGGTATCAGTAATAAAGTTAAAAATCAGACTGTCAAAATGTATCTAATCTAATTTGATTTAACCTATTCTATCCTATTCTTATCTAATCTACTTTAAATTTATCTAATCTATTCTAATCTAGGAAAATCTAAACTAATTTTATCTTGTCAATTCTAATCTAATCTAATCCACTTTAAATATACAGTATATATATATATGTTCTTTTCTATTCTATTCTAATCTATTCTATTCTGTTCTGCATAAAAATAATAATTCATCAGTCTGTCTAAGTCAGTGTAAAATCAGCTGACTACCTTAATGATGAAGTTTAAAGGAGTCTTTACACCTCTGGTGATCAGGTCTCCTCTAACAGTGAGGCCATCATCTCGCACCTCTGGTTTCTCTAGCAGCACAGAACAAGTGTTACCTTCTGTACTCTTTATAGACATTACTGCACAGATGACTCTGATCCTTTTGGAGACTTTTGTGAAAGGATAGCTGTGGTCTTATAAAGGTGCCTGTCTGATGTGTCCCCTCTCTTTATGAATCTACAGGGGCCTTTGAGGACAATAAAACAGTCTTCCCATACTGCCACTCTTCGATCAGATCTTGTATCTCATGCAGTCTCTCACAAAATACGAAAACTCAGTGTCACGAGTTTGTCTGTTCTGTGCTCCTGTAGAAACATGGTGGTGTGCTCTGTAGAAGAGGACCTGCTCCTCTGTAGATATAAAGACTCATTCTGAGTTGACAGAAAGTTTGTGATTCTTGCTCTTCATTAGTCTAGACATCCCCCAAAGGGTCAATTCTGGAGCTCTGCAGTGGTAGAGCTGCTGTGTCTGTTAACATAAACACAGCTTACTTTCCCTTATACACACACCATCAGTTATAAACACACACACACACTCACACTTTCAGTGAACAGTGTCAGCAGTTTGATCAGACTTTGAACATGTCAGGATCCGTCAGCTGAGCGACTGTTCCCATTCAGCCTGTGAGCAAGAAAAGACCTGTCTGTAGACACACACACACACACACACACACACACACACACACACACACACACACACACACACACACACACACACACACACACTTGTTTTTGCAGATTTCTTTGTTGCATATATTGATTGCCAAATCAAACCCTAACCTCACTTTTACCTGAGATCACACCTCCAGCTCACCTGAAGCAGGACCTCAGAAACCTCAGACCTGATGACTGACTGACGCTGGATGAGGAACACACTCTCTACATGAGTGAACGGGTGCTCATAAATCCCTCTGATCAATCTCCACGTAGGGATGCAGACTCAGGTTCACTGTCCAAGCTGTGAAATATCCTCACAGTGTACAGAGTCAATTAAGGCTCTGGCTCACACACTGAGGACCTGCTGCTGATGTTTGAGTGCAGATACCTCAGCACACCTTCAGAGGTCTACAGAGTTCAGGTCAGGGGTAGTTTGGTCACAAGGGGAGCTACTCCAGATATGAAACTTGGTAAATTTGGTATATTTATTTTGATCTCAGAACTCATTCACAACCATTTAACATTTGTAGGAGAAGATGTTTCAGCCAACCCAGTGTCTCCACTTATTTAGCAACAAACAACATCGAACAGCACGCTGCATCAACTGTCCAATTAACACCTCAAGACGTGAGGATGTGATCACACCAAAATGAAAAATGCAATTCATTTGATTCCTCTCCTATCTGATGATAAATGATCAGTTTCCCTGTTGAAAGTCCCTCAGAGGCTTCACTTTGGCTTCCTTCAGCAGTATGAACCTGAAGCAGAAACTGATGTTCTCCTCATTATTGGGTCTTCGGTTTGCTGAAATAACATCATGGTGAAGATAAGTCCAAAGTCTTGCTTTGTCGGGTCTTCAAGAGGAGAAGAAAACTACTTTGAACATGTTTGTTAAACGGAGGTCAGATCCATCATTTATAAAATATTCAGGAAAGTCAGGAAATCTACATGCTGACTCAGCATCAGTCAAATTAGTGTCCAGAGCAGATTGGTAGCTGACCTTTATGCAGATATCTGTTTATACAGAGAAGGAAATCCTCCTCAGATTACCAAGCACCGGAGCTGGAGGTCATTATGGACGACTGTGTTCCTCCTGCTTTTGCTCTCCATACAGACTATTTCTCCGACAGACACCTGATTGGTCAGGGCTGCCCAGTCTACGAACTGAAACCTGAACCCTTCTGAGAAATCTAACCCCCCTGATTGAGATGAGTTTATCCTAAAACTCTTTCTCTGACATGTGTATCATGGTGTAGGTAGAGGCAGGCTGTGTGTAAATATGCAGCCATAGATACCACACCTATCCAGAAACATGCAGGTGATGTAGATAACAACCAGCTGCATGTTTTTAATGTAAGCTCGCCCTTCAGCTGGGACATTTGTTCACAGAAAACCAGCTAAAGGTGTGAGCAGATGGAGGCTCTGAAAACTGAAGAGTGTCATTGTAAGTTCATGTAGAAGGTCAAAGGTCAAAGATTACTTTATAAGCAACTTCAAACCACAAGACAGAGAGGAAGCTGATTGATCAAGTACTGAGCATAGAAAAAAACACACCAAATATTAGCTAGTTTGAGATCAGATGGTGATTTTTAAAGCAAAAATGTCAAACAACTCAAAAGTTTCAGTTTCTTAAATGTTTGAAATTGCTGCTGCAGCTTTTTGTATTTTTTTGCGGACGAAAAATCTGAGGATTTAACCAAAGGAAACATTTCTGGTGTTTGATAGACTAAAAGATTCTCCAGTCGATTGTAAAAAGCTGATTCATTTAAGAGGAGAAAAACTGTGAGTCACAGCTAAAATTAATTTCATTGAAGAAAACTGTAACGATAAAAGTTCCTTAATGACCCTTTTTTACGTAAAGGAGACAAGATGATGACCAGCTAAAATGCATCACTAATAACTAACTAAGATTTTGGTTTCTATCAGTGGTAGAATGACAATGATGTATTTCATTCAGTGGGGGATTTTCAGAGCTTTCAACAATAATCTCTCCTTTTGAAGAATGAAACACTGATATCCTGCTAATACAGTGAAGCATGCTTCACTGTAGGGGGCAGTAAAGGGTCTTTACGCTGGTCGTCAGCCACCATGAAACCAAAAGAGAAAGAAGACTCGGTCAGCAGTTGGCTCGACTTGATCACAAAGTGAGGCTACAAATGCAGCGCTGATCAGGAGGAAAGCCAGGAGCTCGACCATAGACTTTATATAGAATGTACGCCATCTGCCTCCTCACTGGGTGAAGCCACCGTGAGAACAGCACCCTCTGGTGACAGGCTGCAGTATAGGTCATAAATCCTGCCTCCGCCAGCAAAATTTATGGGCCTGTGGACAAACTTTAGAAATTAATGACAAAGAATATGAATTTTTCACCCCCTGGTTGTGATGTTGACATGTAGTTATTTTGCACTGGTTTGTGCTCAAGTCCTCTTTTTTTCTGTACAGCTCCATTTTTTAAAGTTATTAGGGGGTTCATGTTTTCTATGATTGACACTTGATACAGCCTATACGTAGATTGTGTAGCTCACCAGGGGATACGCTGTTTGAGTCGAGCGTCATCACAGCGACTCTTGACGACTCTTCCGCCAAATGCGTATAATGCTTCTGCGCAAGTGGTGGAGTGCATACAACGCTACTGCGCAATGTTGGTTTCAGGAAATGGAGAAAAAATGCGGAACTACCGAGAGCTTTTCAGCTACAAATCCGTATACTGGCTGAAAGTGGAACCAAATTGTCTATGGTATATACAGTCTATAAGCTTGACCTGAAGTGAGTAACCTGAACAGTTTTTTTATCAGACGGATGATGTTTAACAGAGAATAATTCACAGGTGAAGATAAAACCCAACTTTAAACATCATTAGATAAAAATGATGACACAAAAAAGAGACAGCGTGTGTCTAACTGTAAAGTTTAGTAACAGTGGTTCCTCCTTTAATCTGACCAACAGCCATGATTATTCTGATATTTCATATTTGATTTTTTATATGAAATGAACTTATTATATAGAGTTTCTCACAACAAATGCTGACAGATCCTGAGGTGAAAATCTGATATCAGTCCAGCTTTATATTCTGATTATCAAAGAGCCTGTTCCACTTGTGTAGGTGCTCCACCCTTCACACACACACACACACACACACACACACACACACACACACACACACACACACACACACACACACACACACACACACACACACACACACACTCTCTCTCTCTCTCTCTCTCTCTCTCTCTCTCTCTCTCTTGCCCTCCCTCTAACAGGAATAAAGGTCTGATTGATCCCGGTGTCCCTGCCCCCCGGCTCCTTACCCTCACCTCCTCTGCCCACCTGTCAGCCAATCAGCTCCCCCCTCAGGTAACCCTTGATTAGTGATCAATAACTTACCTGGTTCAGCTGAGGACTCCTGCAGCGCTGCGTGCAGCTCTTCAGGTGGACTGATAGAGAGACGGAGACAGAGGGAGAGACAGAGCGATAAAAGAGAGAGAGAGAGGTGAGGGAGAATGCCCCACACCCTCCCTCCCCCTCTCTCTATCATCTCTCCACCCCAGAAAACCGGTCGGAGCGCTCGTCCCCTTGAGGAACACAAACACTGAGGCCCGGGCAAGTTCTCCCTCGTTATTCCTGTTCTGCTGAAATCCCACAAAACCGGCCAGACCGGCTCCTGAGGGCCTGCAGGGATACGGGACCAAACCGCCTGTTATAAACAGAGTAGAGGATCCTGGAGAGCTGACACAGACACAGAGACAGACAGATTCCTCTTACAGGATTATAATCAAAGAATATAAACTACCACTTTAACATTATTAATGACCCTAAGAGCATGAGAGCAAGCAGGACAAACTCCCCAGCTTTAATGTCATCTCTGACCTTACTGAGAGGTTTGATACCAGGATAATAACCTCAGAGTCTGTCTTTAATAAACTTCATATCAGAGGTAGCATTGGTTCGTGGCGTCCACTCAGGGTGCGGCGAGTTGCTCTCTGTGGGTCTGGTATGTAAATCTGTGGAAACAATAGAGAATAGAGACACGTTGTCTAAGAGATCAGACTGTGTTTTCTCGATGTGAAAAATGTCATTTCCGGATTCTTGAACCAGATTCCTTATAACTGGCCAGACAAGTTCACACAGCACCTTCATCATAACCATCACTATCATCATCATCATCATCATTGTCCTGCTCAGACAGCCACTCCCTGCTGACACTGCAAACACAAATATCTGCACAGTAACTGCTGAGCATGTCTAAAAAGCAAAAAATATGAAGAGTACAGTTGGATTGTAAGAGAAACTTCTAGATGCTCTAGGATGAAACTTCTAGATGCTCCATGATGGATCGGACCTGAGACACTCAAACACAAGACACAGACATCAACAAAAACAGTACACCATAGGCGATGCTTATATGGCGTGCAGAAACACTGACACAGAGGCAAAGATCAGCTGCAGAGACCCTGCAGGACAGAGTCAAAAACATCCATGAGACAGTAGCTGTGTTTGCACGGATGGTATTTCTTTATTCTGGCTGAAGATAGCTGAAGTGTTTGCGTGGTGTGTCATTCTTACCTTCACCTCCAGATTAAATCAGAACAGCTGAGTGACCTTTACCAAGGAGATGTTTGTCTTCTCTCTGTAAGGCACAACGAGAAATAAACTTTTTCATTTAACAGCTCTCTAGTTGGATGTGTAGGTGAGACTGTTTGACATTCAACAAGTTTTAGTGTTTTTTATGATTGATGAAATGGGCTGTCTAAGTCACTGTGTTGATAAGTGATCACCAACAATTCCTTCTTGGGGTTAGAGTCTTTATCAAACAGTTAACTCCATCGGTTCAGAGATTTTCTTTACTGTAACTTCATGAGACTTGTGAATCAGAATCTGACATTCTTTTTTGGAAATCATGAGCACTATATTCTCCTCTCTGAAGAGCAGAGGACCACCCAGCTTGCTCTCAGCTTCCAATCCAAAGCCAGCATCCCTGATGGTATGGGGATCATCAGAGTCCATGTCATGGGTATCTTCCACATCTGTGAAGGCTCCATTAATGCTGAACAATATGAATAAACAGGTTTAGGAGTAACATCTGCTGACATCCAGACAAAGACTTTTTCAGGGAAGACCTTCATATTTCAGCAAGACAATGACAAACCACATTCTGCAGGGATTACAACAGCATGGCTCTGTAGTAGAAGAGTCCTGCTGATAAACTGGTCTGCCTGAAGTCCTGACTTGTCCCCCATTCGGAGGATCATGAATTAAATAAAATATGATAAAAATGACTCTGAACTGTTGAGCAGCTGAAATCCTCTATCAGGCAAGAATGGGACAACATTTCACTTTCAAACTCCAGAAACTGGTCTACTGGGTTCACTAACGTTTACAGAGGGATGGGAAAAGAAGAGCTGAGGACACATGATGAGAAACATGAACCTCAAACTACTTTTACAAACATCAAATCTAAAATGAGCAGATGCATTTCTTATCAATCAAACATGTTTAGTTTCCATATTTGATTTGTTATTTTTTCCTCTATCTCAGTTAAATGTAAACTTTATTCTATTTTCACACAGGTTCCTGACTCTTTAGATTTGGGTTAAATTAATATTTAATTCTGGTCTAGCTTTTAAAAGGGCAAGTAAACTGTAACGTTATCATTATTTTAGTGTTAATCTTGCAGTGTTATGATCCTCCTCTCCTCCGATAAAAATCTGGAATTGTCCTCATATCATCTTGTGATGTTGGTTTTATCCACCAGAGGGCACAGTTTAACATTTAAACAGAGAATCAACAGGTCAGAGCAGTGTGCATCACTTTATTACCACAGAGGCTTACCCAGAGTGCTTTGCAGCAGAGGTGGTGATAACTCCTCATCTCAGATAGAGTCACGTGTACAGAGAGATCAACAGGTGACTATGAGAGGAGTGTGTGCGGGGGGTCAAAGGTCAAGCCTGTCATCTATCACTGTGTGGGCTGAGCTGACTTTAACTCTTTAAAGCTAAAACAGATTTGAAACACCTCTACAGATCTTTGACAGATCTTTAGTATGGAACCCTCCTCTCAGGTGAGTGAGGACACAGCTGATCCTGCTGGTGCCTGAGCACAGATGAGCCTCAGGTGAGGTTGAGAGGGATGTGATTTATACCCTCTGTGATGCTGATGACATCCTTCGAACATGAGACGGCCATGACAGCTGCTCAGGTGACACCAACTTCCTCAGCTGGTTTCAGACTTTTAAAATCACAGAAGTCAGTCAGCTCTCATCAGTCTTGTTACCAAAGGTTATGTTTGTTTTAGGATATCAAAATAAAAGCATCAATATGATTTTTTAAACTTTTTTTTAATTGTGAAAAAACTTATCACAAGTTTAAATAAATACTCAACTATTTCCAAAGACAGAAAAAACACTTTGTATTTGCCTCTTTTATGGATTCACTAAAATTTTCAGTCCGGAGTCGCCCCCTGCTGGACAACATTATTAACCCAGTTGTGTGCGTGATCTCCAAACTGAGCCTGTGTATGAGGTTTCAGTGATTCCTTTAATAAGTTTACAAGTTCAAAATCTCCTGTTAAAGAAAATAGGAAATAAAAAATCAGACTTTAAGAGTAACTGTAGTATTTATCCTCAGCTGAAGGAATTTAAATCCATCCTCAGACATGTTATGATGATCACCCGCTCTCTCTAACTCTTTCTCCTCCTCCTCCTCTTCGCTCTCTTATTTATGATCATTACCCTGACCTGCAGCAGCCGTCTCTCTCTCAGTAAATCACAGCTCCTCTCTCTGTTACATAAACATTGTTTGGTTGATCTGAGGGGGCCTGAGGGGGAACTGTGGCTCTGAGCTTCTCTGTGAGGAAAAATCCAATGAAACCTGCTTGTTTCTGTTTGTTACTGACTGAATGGACTTTCAGGACTGAAACAGTGTGAATAAACCAATGAGATTTGTCCAAAGAAAGAGCATGACTATGTCTGGGTCTGTATCTGTGTCTCTGTGAATGATGTCCTGACTCTGGACCCCAGCACAGTCCCTGCTTGTTCTCAGTCTACAGGTCGGTGTTTAAATCATGGAGCGGTTTGTCCACAGGGACAGGGGGTCAGTGGTGAATCACACTAATTGTGAGGTGTCCTCTCAGTGCTGATAACAGCTGATCACTGCATGAATTAGAGCCCACCATCACATCAGTTCACCAGTTGCTGAGCAAACATGGAGTGGGTATAAATGTGTCAGTGACAGCAGTAAGGAGGAGGATAAGACAGACATAACCTTAAGCATTAACATAGTATATATTCAGACTGATATATTCAAAAAGAACTTTATTGATCCCATAAGGGAAATTCAGATCTTGCTTTTTACAGTGTGACTCACATCTTAATCCAATTTAATCCAATTGAGAAACATAAGAGCAGGTCAGTTTTGCATCAGAATTTAAAGTCTATTGTGTAGAAATGTAATATTTAACCATATCTAACAGTTGGGTTTAAATGCACTCTTGATCACTCCTCTAATCAGTGAGGTGCATCTGTTTGTATTTTTAAAGGCACAGTCTGTGCTGTTCACCTAACAGTCAGATTTTACATTGTAATGCCCCCTTGCTCACTCCTCTGTTAATGAGGCTATGGTGACCTTTGAGTACACAAAGCTCTGTGATTCATGCTCTGTCCAAAAATATTCATCAGTACAATCCCTCTTTTCTTCACAAAAACTCATATGTTACTAGTTTGTCCATTATAAGCAGCTGTAGAAACACAGCTGTGTGCAATGGCATGACTAGAGCATAAGATATCAAATCTGAGGTCATATATCTGTCTTTATGTCCACATATTTTTTAGGTTCAAAGTCTAATCATTGCTGAATATCTGTTGATATTGAGTGTGTTTTAACTCTATTAAGCTCTCTTTATCCTCTATGCAGTGATTTTTAAAGAAAGTGGCCCAGTTTAAAGGCACATCCAGACTTTGTTTATGAGAATTCATCACTTATATCAGCTATGATGGTGCAGGACTTTATAAATATTTAGGGTACAGACAGTTTGGCTGTATAGTTTATTAATTTTTCATATACAGTGCAAATCTGAGACACTTTTGGTCAGTCTGTTTAACTGACAGTTGATTCAAACTTCAGTAAAAGGTCTTACAGAAAAGACGTCCGACTGAACTCCTCAGAGTCAAAGTTGAATCTGACACCTGGTTTGTAACACAGAATAGGACGTAAATAGGAAAATGTTTTATTGTACTGCTCTGTAGATCACATTGTTTGAACTACAGCGCTGTAACTCAGAGGGGAGTGTTCATGTAGTTTATATGATCACAGTCTGAGAGGCTCTATATCTGCTGTAACGTAAACAGAGTGACACCTTTGAGTTCAGATTATTACTGCAGTTTATTCAGCAGCTCACAAATCAGCTGCAAAGTGAGAGAGAAACTTTCAGAGCCTGGCCGCTGAAGAAGGAGCAAGAGATCAGAGAATCTCCAAAGAAACACCAACACAGAGAAACACCGTCAGAGAAATGCAGACGCATAAACTGACTTAAGACACATTAATAGCAGAAATTTGGTGAAGTATGTCCTTGATCATAATTGATCAATTTTCATAATGATCATAATTCCTGTAAGCTTCAGAGAGGCTGTTAACATGAGAAGAAACCACATAAAATCAAACTTAACAGCTTCCACTGGCTCATCATTTGTGAAATTCTCAACAGTACACATAACTCTCTACAGATATTTATTGATTGATTTCATCTATGATGGACGGGTGATTATATTCCATCATTAACATAATAAAAACAGCAGAATCAACTTTAACCATTTTAATAAGAAAGTAAACTGATGTGAAGTTGGAATGAAACAGGAAAAATCTGAGTTTCTAAATGTTGAGGTTAAGTGTTTGTTGGGTTGATTATATCTCTCAGCTCTTCCTCTCCTCTTATATTCATCCAGATGAATCACCAGTTTGATTAAATAAAATAATTAATCTATACAGGGTTTTGGATTCAGATCAGCAGCTCTCATAGTTTGTTCTCTGCAAAGTAACTTTAAATAAAGTTGGCTCAGAGAGTTCCTTCCCTCCTTTCCATGCATGCTCCATTGTATCCTAAAGGAGGTAATAAAGGAAGCAATGAGGCTCCTTTCCTCATCGTTAGAAGAATTGAAACAGCTCTTATTATGGCTGACACTCAAGAGACCCTGCTGAACAAAAAAGGTCAATTACAGACTACAGAGCTCCACCCTCTTCACCCTGAGAGCGCCTGCTGTGTGAGTGAGGTGCGCACGTGGCCCTGCACTCAGACCTGCCGTAGGTGTGGCTCTGATGAGGGGGCGGAGCTTTATACTGCTGAGTGTCCCACATGAACACATGCTCATGTTCACACACAAACACACACTGAGACTTGTCCATCAAACACAGGTGTAATTTTCACTTTTGGTCCATGTACAGGTGAGGAGGTGTTGTGCAGCACGTGATTGGTGCGGTAGCGCTGGTTTAGAGTAGCTCCTCTCTGATTGGCTGTCAGATTCTTTTTTTAAAATCTTTTATTACTTCCTGAATTGTACCGAAACTCTGGTCTGAGTTCACCTCGAAGTTAAACATGTAAATCTGATTTTAAAGCTGTTTCGGGTCAGACCTGTACCATGGTCTACAGGCGGCTATTGCAAAAACACTTTCTGAATTAACAAGATAATAATCTCAGAATAATAAAGATTAAATTTCAAAGATTAAATTTTTAAAGTCTCCCATAATTTATGAGAAAATTATCTCTAAATTAAAAACACGAACAAAGATAAACATGTGTTTTTCTGAATTAAGGAGATTTAGCTCCTTTAAAATCCTGATGGACCCTCTTTAGGCCGCCTGAGGGAGTGAGAGTTCACCTACTGTCCACAGCGCTGATCAGAGGTCGTAACCTTTAAACAATACAGTGTTATGACTTTTAATCTTCAGTGTGAGTTTAATGATGTTTCCCATCACCTCTGCAGACAAAAAGCTGATTCCAACACGTCTGTGGCTCATCAGGATGAGCTGAGGTGAAAAATCATTTGAATGGTAGGAAACACCAGATAGTGCTTAAAACACCAGATAGTGTAACTGAGGCGCTGCAGTTTGTTAACTCTGAAGTTTACCTTTCTCAATATTCTAATTCAGAAAAACATATCATTTCAAAATACACTTCAATATTAACAGAAATAATGTGGATCTGGTGTTTGTGTTGATCTGCAGAGCTCAGATTGACTCTGATGTCACTCAGGGCTGATTTAGAGATTTTCTGTTTTCAGTAGTTCATGCAGACACTCGAACAGGATCAGGCAGCCTCTTATTTAACTCTGTGTCAGGTCAGCCCTTGACAGAGCTAAGATTTCAGGCTGTGACTTTACTGATAGACTATGCAGTAACCAATCATCAAGACTGATGTAATGACACTGAAAGGGAGTAAGGTGGAGCTAAAGGAAAAATGGCGGAGCTAAAGGACACCCAGAGAAAGGGCTGTAAATCAAGTATAAAGTCTGAATCAGCATGAGTGATATCTACTCCTTAGACTTTAGAGAAGCCTGAAAAAATGATTGAAATCTGAGACACACACACACACACACACACACACACACACACACACACACACACACACACACACACACACACACACACACACACACACACGAGGAGGGTTTATATTATATACATATTTAACACAAAAGCAGGATGGGGGTGCTACTGAAAACAGTGGATATCTACAGTAGTGTGTATGCATGTGTGTATGTGTGTGTAAGTGTGTATACTTCTTCTAGTGTTGTTTATATCATATCTAACTTCAGATTAAACTCAGTGTTCAGTAGAAACACAGGAAAGAACCCGAGAGCCCGAAGGACGGCTGCAGACCATGTTTGTCCTTTGTACAGCTGCTCAACACACCAACACACACACACACACTACACACACACACACACACACATCATGGGGCGGAGCGAAAAACCTGGACCATGCGTGTATACATATCTATTTTTTTAAATGGAGTCCCTTGATGAAAATCTGCTGAAGTGGTAGACGTTTGAAAAACTCCAAGAATTGTTTTTTATTTTTGGCCTGTCCTGTTGATTTCAATGCAAATTTTTTAAAATAGTTTTTTGCATGTTGTGAAAAATTTGCATATAATAGAGAAGTGTTGCACACCAAACCCAGACAAGCCGCACGTTTAGATATATTAAGTGAGTCACTAGTCACAGAGTTGCACTAAGTTATCTTTGGGAGTTTTTCGGGTCAGATCGAGTGCCTTTTACAGGCTTCTAACTCAGTAAGTCCACATGACACTAACTCGAAATTTCCATACAAAACCCCGGACATTTGAAGGATTTTATGAACTTCCCCGGACAAAGCCAGACAAGGCCAGGCAGCCCGGTCAGCCCCCCCGGAAAGAGAACATGACGTATGGTGACCCTTTATTTATTATTTGTCCTACGTTCTTAAGCTGTAGGACTAGTAGTGAATAAAAATTAATCTAAAAGATGAATAAGAAAAAACCCACAGCATAACAATAGTGCAGCCCCATGGCCCTAACGATAGTGGGTGACATTGATGATGATAAGAATATTATTATTTATAATAACAATACCTGTTTACACATACACTACAGGCCAAAAGTTTGGAAGCAAGATCAGATTTGTACAAAAAACGATCATAGTTTCATATATATAATTTGCAACACAATAAACATGACTATTGTGAAAAGAGTAACTTATCAGAAGACATTTTGACTATAATTATTAGGTATTTGAGTTATTGTTGCTTAGACTTTGCTTTCTCCAAAGTAACCTCCTCGGGCTTTAACAACAGCTTGGCATATACCAGGCATTCGTTCCACAAGTTTTTTTAAGGTATGTTCCAGGGATTGCATAACAAGCTTTCTTAAGTTCATTAAAAAGAGGCTGCTGATTCGTGGGACGCATTTTTCTGACCGATCGATCCAATTCATCCTGCACAAGCTCAATTGGAGAAAGGTCAGGAGACTGAGGGGGCCAAACCATCTTTTGAAGAACACCTTCCTCTTCTTTTTTGTCTAGGTAACCCTGACAGAGCTTGGCAGAATGCTTAGGGTCATTGTCTTGCCGCAAAACAAACTTATGCGCCACAAGTCTGAGTCCAGATGGAACAGCATGGTGCTGGAGGATGGAGTGGTACTGTTCCTTCTTCATGATACCCTTCACTTCAAACAAATCTCCTACTCCATCACCTGCAAAACATTCCCATACCATGGAACTACCACCTCCATACTTAATTGTGGGTGTAACACATGGTGCTTTCAGATGTTCACCAGTTTGTCTGCGGACATTGACTCTGCGTTTTGAACCAAACAGTGCAAACTTGTTTCTAGTCATCATAAGTCCAATTTTTGTGAGCTTTTTCCCACTCATATCTCTTTTTCTTGTTCAGTGGACGAAGTAGTGTTTTTTTGCAGATACACAACCCTTTAGACCAGCCTTTCTCAAACATCATTTCACGGTTGTCAGAGATATGGGTTTCGACCTTGTCATGTTGATTTCCTCCCTTATTTTTGGTGCTGTCTTCCGCCGATCTCTCTTACTGGTGACAATACTATGTTCATCTTCTGCTTTTGTAGTAACTCTCTTTCATCCAGGTCTTCTTCTATCATCATAACTTCCTGCTTCCTCTCGTCTCTTCAGAGAGTAGTGGACTCCTTTGTTAAACAGCTTTAGCCGTTTTACAATTTCTCTTTCTGCGTATCCTTCTTTCCTCAATGTACAGACCTGTACTTTTGTTTCTTTACTCAGTTGCTTCTTTCTAGCCATTTTTGCAGTAGTTTGAACGCAGTTGAGATTTATTAGGATTTTTGTATGCAGGCTCTCAAAAGCCAAAAAGTTAAAGGGAATAATAAAAACTTGAAGTTACTCCCAACTGTTCTGCCTGTAATGGCCTTGCCTCTAAACTTTAGTCATTTTGGCGAGCCTTTACAAAGACTATTTTTGACATTTTACTTTAATTACATCAACACAGTGATCACTGTCAACATCCATCTAACTTTCTAACCCCTCCCTCCCCTCAAGCTCCACCCCTTCTTCCAAATAAGGTCATTTCAGAAGAATATCAAGGCGGCAGTCAACAGACCAGCAGGTAGCGTCAGTGAGGCTGTGTCCTTCAATTAAACAGATGTACAGACGGCGGTCAGTCAGCTGATTTGTTAGTTTGTGTCTTTGTCTCAGCTCCATCAACATTGCTGTTTTTGTGTTGCTGCTGACTTCCTGTCTGTGGCGGCCTGTTTCCTGCGTGTCGGCCTCCATGACAGGACGTCACAGGCTTCCTCTGCTGCAGCGGTGCAGCATTGTGTGTTTCTGCTGATAAAGAGCGAGTGTTACTGTGAGCTTTCTATTCCTGTCCCTGTAAGTCTACTTTCAGCTGCACGCGCTCAGACAGCAGAGGAATGGCGTGACGCTGACGCCCGTGTGAATGCTTAGACCTCACATCCATCTTCATTCAGGATAATAGAGACAGACGGAGGACTGAGGGTCTGAGAGAGGCTGAGGTTGGGGGGGTGGATAGATGTATGGGCTGCAGACAGATGTAGGTGGTGGGGGGGTGAAGGATGGGTTTAAGATGGCTGACATGAGGCGTTCCTCCTCCTGATGCTGTGAGCTGCTCAGCCTGGATAGAGTGAGTGTCATGGAGAGGAGGACTGAGAGTGGTGACTCGGTGCTGATTTATGTCCTGTTTCTAGGCCATGGCCCTCAGCTAACACTCTACAGCTCCCTGACTGCCTGTTTTCTGGATGCTTGGAGGAGCAGCTCTTATTTATGGAGCCTAAACAGCTCCAGAGTCAGGGTAAAAGTCACTCAGAGTGTCTTTAATGCTCTACAGTCACACAGCTATGACGCCTCCAGAAAGGAAGAAACTGTGGTTACGTTACTGACATAGACGCTGACTCCAGAATAACTGTTTACTCTCCCGCTCACCCTCCTCACCTCGCCACGGCCCCATTGGCTGTCAGCATAACCATTCCTCCCATGGGGAGCCAATGAGCGATAGACCCTGGCTCTGAACTCAGCCAATCAGAGACAGTGACAGTGAAGGAGATGCTGGGAATAGCTGAGCTGTGATTTAAGACCCCGACTGACCTGACAGAAAGCAGACCCGCGACAGCAGAGAAAAAAGCAATTAGGCAATTATAGTGAGTCATCCTGTGAGGATCCACATCAGTCACAGACTCTGAGAGGGACGATAAGGATGACCGCCACTGCTGCCGCTGCTGCCACCAGCACCACCGCTGCCACCACCATCGAGAACAGCTGACAAACGATCAGAGAAAGAGCTGAAGAGGAGGATGAGGAAGAGGAAAGAAAGAGAGAAAG